ACGATTTGGTGGCCGGAGGGGTTGTCGTGTCCGCCGGGGCATATACCGGCGCGTCTGGCTACGAACTCGGTCACGGTAGGGAGCAGCCCTGGGACTTTTGGGGTGAACCCGATGGCGCAGGCGATTACGGCGAATGTGCTGAATAGGATGATTGCGGATTCGCCGCTGGGATAGCGGTCAGGTGTCGGCATAAGGTGGCGGTCGGGGGTGGGTATGCTTCTGGATAGGAGCGGCGTTCCAGTTCGGGTTGTTCAACCTGCCTGACCTGGGGCCGGTGGTGAACGCGCTGATGAAGAGCGGGATAACGACGGGCGGGTTCGGCGCGATAGCTATGATACTGTACCTGGAGCTCACGAATCCGCGGCGGATGCGCTTTGAGTCGAAGCTGGACATAGAGGTGCTGCCGGAACTGAACGAGTTCATGGCGAGATTTGCGGAGCGCAGGGGCTGGGACGAGGCTATGAAGAACAGGCTGAGCGCGGTCGGGGAGGAGACGCTGTTGACGCTTGCTCCGCTGGACCTTGAGGGGAACGGGGAGGTGGGCGAGGAGCGGCGGCTGGTGGTGGTGGCGTCGAGCGATGGTGAGGTGGCAGAGCTGGAGTTTATTGGCGGCGGGGACGACGAGACGAATATCGAGGATCGGGTGCGGCAGTTGCAGCAGCACGATTCGAATGATGTAGTGGAGATTGAGCTATCTTTGCAACTGCTGAGAGCGTATGCGTCGTCGGTGCGGCACCAGCAGTTTCACGACGCGGACATCATCACCGTGCTGGTGGAGCCACCTAAGGGGTGATGGGCGAGTGTCAGTCGTGCTCCCATGGGTTGACGACTTCGATGTCCAGGTAGTCGAAATCTTTGGTGTTGCGTGTGGCAATTACCAGATCGTTCGCTTTCGCCGTTCCTGCGATGAGGGCGTCTCCTAAGTCGAGTGTTTCGCCGGAGCGCCGCGCGTGGGCGCGAAACCGCGCAGCCCATTCCGCGGCTGCGCTATCGAGAGGCAGGATGCGGTCGTCGTAGGCGGCGATGAATGCGGATAGTGCGGTACGCAGCCTGTCTTGTCTTTGCCCTTCAGGGAGCAGAAGCAGTCCGAACTCCAATTCGTGCAGCACGATGGTCGGGAGCCACAGGTCTTCCTGCTCTTCAAGAAACGCTATGACTTGCGGGGAAGGGCGCGCTTTCGTGACTTCTGATACGACGTTCGTGTCCAGAAGAAAGCGGCTCATTCGTATGGATCGTCGATGAATGGAACCTCGCGTCGAGAGCTTCTGTCAGAGGGAACTTCCAGGTTCGTTCCGCGCGGCATGTTTTCGAGTAGCCATTTCCCCATCGGCTTGCGCTGTGGCTCTTTTTCCGCCCATACATGAGCGGGCACGACTACGAAAGACCTTCTGGTGCCGATGTGTTGGGGGCCTTCCGTTTCGGAGAGACGAAGGATTTCTGAGAGGCGTGCCTTCGCCTCGGCGACGGTCCATACACGCTGGGGCTTTGATCTGCGCACAGCAGGTACTCCTATGATGACTAACATAGACTATATTAGACTATATTCGCTTATTCCTCAAGGCGTGTTCGGAGCAAGCTCAGTTGATGGAGACGGCGATTACTCCGCCGATGGTCAGCACGATGGCGGCGAGCTTGGCGGCTAGGATCTTGCCTTCGAGCGGCTCGTCGAGTACGCGGGAGACGCCCAGACTGAGCGCTATACCGAGGATGAAGACGAAGAGGGGGCGGACCGCCATGACGGTCACGACGAGGGAGACGGGGCCCGAGTAGATCGCCCACAGCGTCAGGAATACCGCGCCCAGCACCAGCACACCCTCGGTCAGTACGGTCAGGCCGATTGGGACGGGGGAGCGGATGGTTCTTATCAGGTCGGGCATTATCCGCGGCCTGAACAGGCAGCCGCCTAAAGTGATTCCCATGCCGACGGCGCGCCACATGAATAGCGACCAGATGTCTATGTCGTCCGCGACGACCTTGCTGAGGAACTGGCTGAGGCCAAATGCGAAGCTGGCTGCGAGAAGCAACGCGAAGGGGTATTATCTGGTTCTGGCTACGCTCGGACTCGCGCATCGTGGGACCTAATGACATCAGCGCAGCGCCGATCATGGTTATGACTATTCCCTACCCAGGCGAGAGCGGGGATGACTTCCTGCAGGAACACCATCGCAAGGATGGCAACGAATATGGTGTGCGTGGATGTTACGGGGACGACCCGGGAGACGTCCTGCGTCCGCATTACCCAGAACATCATCGCCAGATAGATGCCTGACAGCACGCCGGACGCGAAGGATATGAGCAGCGAATCGAGGCCGTATCCACTGAAGGACGCGAGCGGCATGGCGACGATAGCCAGACCGAACTGGCACAGCCCGACCAGTACGATGAACACCCTGAACGAGGGCATGTAGCGTTGGATGAGGATCTTGTCCAGCGCGGATATGACCGCAAAGAAGAATGCGCTGGCGAGGGAGAGGACTATCCAGTTCATTCTACGACGCGGCCGCGCCGCTTTGGCGCTCACGGGCGAATCGTCGGACGCCGCCCATGTCTGCGCCTTCGATGGGCACCGTGCCGATGATGCTGGCGCTTTCGAGGTCGTGCAGGGTGTCGGCGCCGTAGCATAGCAGGTCGCCGAGCAAGTAGTGATTGTGCTCGCCGAGTCCAGGGGCGGGATCGTGGCGGTCGGGAAGGCGCGGCGCGTCTTCGAGCGAGCTATCTGGAGCGGTGTGGGATAGGGTGCTCCAGACTGGGCCGCTCATGGGGTAGGTGCCTGCGTCGGGGTGGGTTACGAGCTGGAAGTAATTGCGGGCTTGCAGGTGCTGGTCATCGTAGGTGTCCGGGCCACATCCGAGAACGGGCGCGGACGGTATGCCTTGCGCCTGCAGCTGCGCGGCGATGTCGTTGCGGTCGCGCTGCGCCGTCCATTCGCTGATGATGGCATTGAGGGCTTCGCGGTTGGCGATACGGTCGTCAAGGGATGCGAAGCGCGGGTCTGTGTCGAGGTTGGACTGCCCTATGACTTCGCAAAAGCTCTGCCATTCCTCATCTGTGCGGACTGCGATAGTTACCCATGCGTCATCTCCGATGCAGGGGTAGACAGCCGTGCGGGGCCATCTGAGGGTGGCTGTTGCCGCGCCTCTCGCGTGGTGCGCCGGTCATCTGATTCTCAAGGAATGTCTCGCCGAGGTGGGGCATAAAAGCTTCCGCCTGCGACATGTCTATGAACTGTCCCTGTCCGGTGCGGGCGCGGTGGTGCAAGGCGGCGCAGATTGCGAATGTCGCGGTTACGGCGGCTACGGCGTCGGGGTGATGCACGAGCGAGTTGTGCGAGAGATCGAGGTCCGGGTAGCCGCGCAGGGCGGAGTGGCCGGTCATCGCGTCTATCGCCATGCCCATGCTGCGGTGCTGCCTGTACGGGCCGGTGTTGCCGTAACCGGGTGTGAAGAGGACGATGAGATCAGGTTTGATCCTGCGAAGGACTTCCTGTCCCAATCCGAGCCTGTCCATTACGCCGAAGGCGTAGTTGGTGAAAACGATGTCGCTGATGGCGACGAGTTCCTTGAAGGCGCTGACGCCCTGCTCGGTAGTGAGGTCTAGAGTCAGGCCGAGCTTGTTGCGGTTGGTGGCGTTGAAGTTGCCCTGTCGATTCCAGGGGCGCTCGCCGGGGTCGTAGTCGGGGTAGCCGGCTGTGTTGGGCGCGGGACTGATGGGACCTCTGGCGATGCGCTGAAGGGCTTCGACCTTGATGACCTCCGCGCCCATGTCGCCGAGCAGGACGCCGCAGAACGGCCCCGCCCAGATCTCGGCGAGTTCAAGTGCGCGGATGCCGCGAAGGGGTGGGGTTTTCATATCCGAATCTCCGGAGGCTGACATGGATGGACTGGATGGGGAAATCTTTGCCCTCACCCTAGCCCTCTCCCACTGAGAGAGGGAACATCTCGGAGGACTAAACTACACCTTTTGAGCGCAGTTGGGCAAGTTCGGGGGCAGTGATGTTCAGGAGATCGGCGTAGATTTGGTCGTTGTGTTGTCCGAGGCGCGGGGCGGGTGTGTTGGGCGCGACGGGCGTGTCGGACAGGCGGAATGGGAGGCCGGTGTAGGTGAGGCTGCCGGCATCGGGGTGCATCAGGTCAACGAAGTAGCTGCGGTCGCGGAAGTGAGGGTTTTCGAGTGCTTCGTGTGACTCCATAATGGGCGCGCAGGGCAAGCCCTCGCGCTGTCCGGCGGCGAATATCTGCAGGCGGGTGTGGTCGTTGAACCATGCTTGAAATATGGCTTCAAGCTCTTCGCGGCGCTCCGTGCGGTCGTCGGCGGAGCGGTAGTGCGGGTTGTCTATGAGATCCGGGCGGTCAATCATGCGGGCGAGCTGGGGCCACATGCGCGAGCCGAGCGGCAGGAAGCTGACGTAGCCGTCCTTGCAGTGGAATGAACCGACCGCGTAGGGTTCGCGCATTCCAGCGGCGGCTAGGCGCGGCGGCTTGCGGGGGTCGGGCTCGTTGCCGTATATCCAAGGGGCGCGGCGTCCGGCCTGGTGTGGGTGGCCTGCCATGCATTCCTGCATTGAGATGTCGATCCACTCGCCTTCGCCGTGCGTGGCTACGCCGAACAGGGCGATCATCGAGGCTGCGGCTGCGGTCGTGCCGCTGAAATACTGGGCTATTTCCGCGCCGTATCGCAGCGGCTCGCGTTCCGGCAATCCCTCGCGATGCATACCGCCGCCTGAGGCGAAGATGGTCAGCTCGGTGAACTGGTAGTCCTTGTGGGGGCCGGACTGCCCATAGGGGGTTACTGAAGTCATCACGAGACCGCTGCGATTCTGGCGCAGGTCGTGGTAGCCGATGCCCCATTCCGCCATCTGTCCGGGGCGGAAACTCTCAAGGACGACGTCACTCTGGCTTGCCAGTTCGGTGAAGATGCGCTTGCCGTCTTCTGTGGAGGGGTCGAGTGTGATGCCCTTCTTGCCGGCATTGAGGTGCAGGTATAGGGCGCTCTTTTCGGGGTGTGGGATGCCGTCAGGGAATGCGCCGACATCGCGCGAATGGTCGGGCGCGGCGGGAAGTTCGAGCTTGATGACTTCAGCGCCGTAGTCCGCGAGCATCTTGCCGCAGTACGGACCTGCGATGCCGGTTGTGGCGTCGATGACGCGGATGTTGGTTAGTGTTTGGTAGGGCATGGGTGGTGGGTATCAGCTCCCTTCGCGCAGTTCGACGCCTAGTTCGCGGCTGAGCTGTTGGAGGATGTTGGACTGGTAGCCGTCCACCTGCTCGGAGGTGAGGGTGCCGCGCGGGGACTGGAAGACGATGCGGTACGCGAGGGAGCGCTTGCCTTCGGGGACGCCCTCGCCTGCGTAGATGTCGAAGGGGATGCTGCGGGCGACCATCCGGTGACGCTCGATGATTGTCTGTATGCGCGCGGATGTAACCTCGGCGTCAACGATTAGGGCGAGGTCGCGGTAGGCCTCGGGATAGGGGTTGGCGGGCGTGTGCTGGCGCGTTTCTTCGGGAAGCGCGGCTCTGAGCGCCTCAAGATCAATCTCGAACATGGCGGCTGCGCCGTCTATATCGAAGCGTTGAAGCGCGGGGTTGCTGACCTCGCCTATGACGCCGATTGGCGCGTTGCCGTATAGGATCTGGGCGGTCCTGCCGCGCCGCAGGATGGGGTCGCTGCTATGAGCCTCATATCGGACTTCGGCGCGAAGTTCTGCGAATAGTGATTCCAATACGCCTTTGCCGTCGTAGAAGCCCATGTCGCCCTGTGGGGTGTTCCAGGATGTGGGAAAGCGGGGTCCGCAGAGGACGCCGACGAGCATTTCGCGCTCATCGGGCAGTTCGCGGTCGCGGGCTTCGTCCTTGGGCAGATAGACGCTGCCGATTTCGTATATGCGGATGCCTTCGGTCTGCGAGACGCGGCGATTGGCGGAGAGTGTACTGAGGACGCTGGCGCGTAGGCTTGTTCGCAAGTGGGTGAACTCGCTGCTCATCGGGTTGGCGATGCGGAGGGCGCTGGCGTCATCGGTGTCAACGCCGACACGTTCAAGCATGTCTGCGCTGACGAGGGAGTATGAGATGGTCTCTCGCATGCCGGCGGATGTGAGCAGGTCTTTAACGCGCTCCCGGAGGACGCGCTGCGCCTGCGGCTGTCCGTGTGGTATGGGCGTGGAGATCATAGTTGTTGGGGATGCTTTCATAGCCGATGATGCGCGCGAGTTCCTCGACAATGTCGTCTTCGATGGTGATGTCGGAGCGCCAGTATGGTGGCTTCATCCAGATGACGCTGTCGCTTTCGGGCGCGCCGCCGACAGAGAAGGCGTCCATCGTGGGCATGATGCTTTCGGGAGCACGGTCGCGCTCTAAGCCGAGCGATTCAAGCGTCTGCTGAACGCGCTGCATGGTGTAGTCCACGCCGAGGACCTGCCGGATGCGCTGGCGGCTGATCTGCACGGAGGGCATGGGCGTGGGATCGGGGTAGATGTCCAAGATGCCCTTGGATGCGGTGCCGCCTGCGAGCTGAATCATGAGCTGGGTTGCGCGGCGAAGTGCGAGCGGCGCAAGCTCGGGGCGGATGCCGCGCTCGAAGCGATAGGATGCCTCGCTGTCCATTCGCAGCGCGAGGCGGGTGCGGCGGGTGTTGATTGCATGGAAGTTGGCGGATTCGAGAAGCACGGTTGTCGTGATATCGTCAATTTCGGTGTTCGCGCCGCCCATGACGCCCGCAAGCCCGATGGCGTCCTGCGTGTCGGCGATGACGAGCATAGGCGGCTGCAGGGGGCGGGTTGCGCCGTCCAGCGTTACCAGCGGCTCGTCGGGGCGGGCGGAGCGCACGATGATGGTGTTGTCGCGCACCTTGCCGAAGTCGAATGCGTGGAGGGGCTGGCCGTATTCCAGCATCACATAGTTAGTGATGTCCACGATATTGTTGATGGGACGCAAGCCTGCCTTTGTGAGGGCGTCCTGCATCCAGCTGGGGGAATCGCCTATCTCAATACCGTGTATCAGAGACGCAGTGTAGCGTAAGCAGAGGTCAGGGTCTGCGATTTCGACTTTCGCCAGCGACTCAATGGGCGTGTCGTTTTCCGGGTAGGACAGATCGGGTTCGGTTACTGCTGCGCCAGTGAGGGCGGCGACCTCGTGGGCGATGCCGAGTATGGAGAGGCAGTCGGGGCGATTGGGCGTGACCTCGACGTCGAGCACGGCGTCGCCGATGTACTCGATCAGAGGCATGCCGACGGGTGCGTCATCATCCAGCACCAGAATGCCTTCGTGGTCATCGCCAAGCCCTTAGTTCGAGCACGGAGCAGACCATGCCGGAGGAGCGCACGCCTCGGATGGTTGCGGGCTTGAGCGCGGCGGGCTTGCCGGAGCGCGGATTGATTAGCATAGCGCCCTCTTTGGCGAAGGCGATCTTCTGACCGGCGGCGACATTGGGCGCGCCGCAGACGACTGTGGCCGTCTCGCCGTTGCCGATGTCAACGGTGGGCAGGCGCAGGCGGTCGGCGTTGGGCGGGTCAACGCTGAGCACCTGGCCTACTGACGCAGACGCTCAGGGTCCAGGTCTGCGCCGACAATCTCGACATCGCCGACTTCGTTGCCGGCCATGGTGAGCTGATGCGCCAGTTCGTTCGCGGGTAGGTCGAAGGGGACGTAGTTTCTGAGCCAGGATAGGGGACTGTTATATGGTTGCCTTGGTTATGTATTAGCGGGTCCCTATTTGATGTTACGATTGTTGCGTCCGGTTGTGTTCGTGTGTTGGCAGTCGCCGTTTTGCTACGGGCCACCGCCATTCTCACACCATCGCCGCCGATCGCCATTGCCCCATCGCCACCTGCCACGCCACCGCTCTGGCGGCTGTAGTCTTTGGGATTGTCTGCTCGCGCACCGCCGCTTCCGCCGCCCGGCTAGACCGTCCGAAAAGTACCCAGCCCTTCGCGGACATAAAAGCGTGATAAGCCTCGTCATTGTCAGGAATCAGATTCTGAGCATCGTTTGATCGCTGAAAAGCGAATGGCACTAGTGGCTTGGGAGGCATCTTGTCGTAGTTCACACCGGAGGCATAGGTTCGGAGGTTCATAGCGTCAAACCAGAATGGAGCGGGGTTATTGTCCTGCAACCACCTTTCTGCTTCGTCGAATGCAATGGCGTATGGCAGCAGCGAGTCGGAGCGGTCGGCGTCCGATAACGATCGAATTGCGAGCAGAGATTCTTTTACCGCAAGCCAACGGCTTATCTCCTGGATCCCCGCGCGGGTTGGGTGATATGTCCTATCCGCGATGGCTCAACCACCACCGCATAGATGACACTGAAGACGATTCCGCCGACAACGCTGCTGGCAAGATTCGCCCACTGGGGCCAAGACACCCAAGAGGACAACAGCCAATAAGACAGCAGACCAAATCCGATGCAGACCGAAATAGCTCCCAGAACATGAGCAAGCGACCCTCTATCCGCGTCTGACATCGCCTGCACAGGGTTATCGTTGAAAAGCCCTCGGTATCGCAGATGTTCCCCCAACTGCCTGCCGATGAGTGCCCCGGGAGGCACCACCGGAGCAAAACGCAGCCGGCCTATCAGAGCGTCGATCATCATTGGCTGTTTGGGTATCGAGTCGAGCACTATGCGTTCCCACTCAAATTGCGGAGCGCTCTTCGGGACTATCCAGTAGATGTACTTCCCTTGGTAAATGTACTGGTATTCACCGGCATGTTTCTCCCCTTCCGTGGTCCTTCCCGGCGTTACCCTGATACCGATGACTTGCAGTATGTCTTTCTGACACATCTCGAGCAGCGCCGCCAGGAACGTCTCGAGGCTGACTTTGCGGCTTTCCAGCACGGATACCGCCGCTGCCGGCAGGTCGCTTGGAGGTTGGGTTACGGGCGCGTTCAATGTTGGATAATTGATTTTGGGCCAAGCTCGTTCCTTGTGTTTCAGATATATTGCCGACAGTACGGCGAAGCTTATCAAAACCAGGGCGACATTCCGCATCCAATCTGGACCCGTGAACGCCGAAGTGATGCCCGTTGGCACCTTGTCGAGAATCTGTTTGGCAAAAGCTGCCACACGCTCTATCAGCTGAACATAGATAGGTTTATCCCCCGAGTCTTGCGCCTTTGCGACAATTGGCTGATGCCCGAGAAGGACACCGTTCCGCGCCTCGTCAAAGAAGACATCCCCGCTCTCCTGGACATCAGCCGCCACGCCAATGGATTCGTAGTAAGGGATAGGAGCGCCTTGCGTGGTCGCGGGAAGCAATAGCATGCCCGTGAGCAAGATGGCAACCAGAACCGGAATGGTGAGCCGCAAGCGTCGCATAGCGTCTGTCCTCCATTCTGCCATTTAGTGATAAAGCCTCAGTCGGTTACGATGAGTCGCCGTTCTGATTCCTGAGCAGTTGCGCCTCGAGTTCCCGGATGCGCCGCTCGGCGGCTTCGCGGGCTGTGCGCTCGGCCTCAAGCGAATCATGAGTTTCCTGAGACGTAGTTCTTGAGCCAGGATAGGGGTACGCGCATTTGGGTTCCTTATGTCTATGTATTCAGCCATCCGGATTTTCCGTATCGTGTTGTTGGCAGTGTGCCGTCTTACGCGCCGCCGCCACCATCGCCACCACCGTCGCTGCCGCCACCGCCACCGCTGCTGCTGGGCGGGCTGTATCTGGGATTGTCTTGCTCGCGCACCGCCGCTTCCGCCGCCCGGCTAGACCGTCCCGAAAGTCCCCAGCCCTCCGCAGACATAAAAGCGTGATAGCTTCGTCATTGTCAGGAATCAGATTCTGATCATCGCTTGATCGCCGAATAGCGAATGGCACGAGTGGTTTGGCAGTGGCGTCGTCGCCATTCTGATTGAGGGTATATTCTTGCAGGTTGATGGAGTTAAACCAGAATGGAGCGGGGTTATTGTCCTGCAACCACCTTTCTGCTTCGTCGAATGCAATGGCGTATGGCAGCAGCGAGTCGGAGCGGTCGGCGTCAGATAACGGATCGAATTGCGGCAGAGATTCTTTCAGCGCAAACCAGCGGCTTATCTCCTGGAGTCCCGCGCGGGTAGGGGTGATATGTCCTATCCGCGATGGCTCAACCACCACCGCATAGATGACACCGAGGACGATTCCGCCGACAACGCTGCTGGCAAGATTCGCCCACTGGGGCCAAGACACCCAAGAGGACAACAGCCAATAAGACAGCAGACCAAACCCGATGCAGACCGAAATAGCTCCCAGAAAACGAGCAAGCGATCCTCTATCCGCGTCTGACATCGCCTGCACAGGGTTATCGTTGAAAAGCCCTCGATATCGCAGATGTTCCCCCAACTGCCTGCCACTGGGTGCCCCGGGAGGCCCCCTGACGGCATCAGGGGTCAGGCTGGGGATGTAACCGGGAGGCCCCACCAGAGCAATACGCAGCCGGCCTATCAGAGCGTCGATCATCATTGGCTGTTTGGGTATCGAGTTGAGCACTATGCGTTCCCACTCAAATTGCGGAGCGCTCTTCGGGACTATCCAGTAGATGTACTTCCCTTGGTAAATGTACTGGTATTCACCGGCATGTTTCTCCCCTTCCGTGGTCCTTCCCGGCGTTACCCTGATACCGATGACTTGCAGTACATCTTTCTGACACATCTCGAGCAGCGCCGCCAGGAACGTCTCGAGGCTGACTTTGCGGCTTTCCAGCACGGATACCGCCGCTGCTGGCAGGTCGCTTGGAGGTTGGGTAACGGGAGCGTTCAATGTTGGATAATCGATTTTGGGCCAAGCTCGTTCCTTGAGTTTCAGATATATTCCCGCCAGCAGCGCGAATGCCATTAGAATCGAGGCAGTCTTCAGCTTCCAGTCCAGGTGCGTGAATGCGGGCGGAGCAATGTCCGTCGCCCTCTTAAGAATCTGCTGCCCAAACTCCACCACCCTCTCTATCAGTTCCGCATAGATAGGCTTATCCCCCGAGCCTTGCGCCTTTGCGACACTTGGATGAACATGGGGAGAGGCACCACTCTGCGCTTCGGAAGACAGCACACTCCTGCTCCCGATGTCATCAGTCGCCACTACAGCGGATTCGTAGTTCGGGACAGGATCGCCTTGCGCGGTCGCCGGCGCGGAAAGCAGCGCGCCTGTCAGCGAGATAGCGGCAAAAATAGGAATAGTGAGAATCAAACGGCGCACAGCGTCTGCCCCCTATTTCGGTGTCTCTTGACTTAAATGCCTCAATAAAAAATAGATATGGTTACCGCTTCTGCCAAGGAGGCGGTTCGTTGAAGTCTTCGCCACGCTTAAGAGCGGCCTGCACGCGCTCATACCAGGCGCTGTCCTCCCTAGCCTGCTCTTTACGCCTTACCTGGTGTCCTTGTTCCTTGAGCTTGTGCCTGACTCTTTACGACCAGAGCATTGTCAGCCTCCATGCTTCGGTTGCCAGAGCCGCCGTTAGGATTGAGAATGCGGCGGCTCCTCCGAAGTAATTCACCAAGCTATGGTACTAGACTATCACATCCGTTCTGCCGTGCCAGAGAGTCGCATCCAGCTTTAGAGGTGGCAATGTCGTTACACCCAATCCTAACCTTCCTCCATCAAGGGCTGGGAGGGATTTTGCCCTCATCCTAACCCTCACCCTCTGGGAGAGGGGACAGAATCGTCGAGTGCGAACAGCCCTGGCGACGAGTTATCCACGCAACATTCCTACGGCTAGAATTGGCTTAGGAAGCGCAGGTCGTTGGAGTAGAAGAGGCGGATGTCTTCTATGCCGTACTTGAGCATTGCGATGCGCTCGGGGCCCATGCCGAAGGCGAAGCCGGTGTAGATTTGCGGGATCCAGGCCGACGCCTTCAAGGACTTTGGGATGCACCATGCCCTGCGCCGAGGATTTCTATCCAGTCTTCGTCGCGGTTGATTGGGCGCTTGCCGGTCTTGGGGTCTTTGAAGTTGGAGATGGACATGTCCACGCCCGGCTCGACGAAGGGGAAGTAGTCGCAGCGGAAGCGTACCTGCCGCTCTTCGCCGAAGATTCGGCGGGCAAACTCGTACAGGGTCCCCTTGAGATCGGCGAATGTGATGCCCCCTGTCCACCGCCAAGCCCTCGACCTGATAGAAGTGCCACTCGTGGGTGGCGTCGGTGGCTTCGTAGCGGTAGCACTTGCCGGGAACGATGACGCGGATGGGCGGCTTGCGCTCCTGCATAGTGCGAATCTGCATCGGCGAGGTCTGGGTGCGCATGAGCATGGGGTATTCGCCATCGTCGCCGGGCTGGTCAACCCACAGGGTCGCCCACATGTCGCGGGCGGCGTGTCCCTTAGGGGATGTTGAGCATCTCGAAGTTATAGAGGTCCCACTCGACTTCAGGTCCCTCGACGACATCGAAGCCCATGGAGCCGAAGGCGTCGCATATCTCGCGCAGCATCTGAGTGGTTGGGTGCAAGCCGCCGATGGGCGCGGGCCAGCCGGGCAGGGTTACGTCTATGGCGTCGGCGAGGTCTTCGGCATCGGACGTGGCGCTCGCAATGGCGTCCTGATGCTGGGCGAGGCTCTGTTCGAGGACATTCTTGGCCTGATTGGCTGCTGCGCCAACGCTGCGGCGCTCGTCGGGCGCCAGGTCGCGGATACCACGCAGCATCTGGGTCAGCTGCCCGCGCCGTCCGAGCCATGCGATGCGCCACGCTTCGACTTGCTCGGATGTGCCTGCTGCGGCGAGCTCGGCTAGGGCGGTGTCCGTGACTGATTCGACGTGGCTTACGCTGGCAGTTTCGGGCATGCTTCTACCTTTCGGGAGTTGATGGGGAGGCCTATGTGCAACAATGGATTGTGCCGCGGATTGTGCCGCATGGTAAAGCGGTTAGCGTCAATTATAGGTATTGGTTCGGAAGGCGGTCAAGAAAGGAAGGCGGCGTCAACCCGCGGGCTTGCATATAGTCTTGCAAGACCCAGTCCATTTAGCCATACACGGGCGTTCGCATCTCGAAATTGCAAAGGCTCACGTTGGCGTTTCAGGAATTTCTACATGCGTGTATAATCGGCTCACAAGTTGAGACTTGGTTGAGATATGTATGCTCCAAGGCACTGACTAAGTCGATGAGGAAGGTCGCAATTGATAAAGGAAGAGGATGTACAGACGGCGCAGGACTTCCTGACCAAGTCCGATGGCTACTTCGCAGAGGACGATGTGCTGCAAGGTTCGGAGAAGCTCTGGGGCGCGGCGGCGCACGCTGTGATGGCGGTTGCGCAGCAGCGCGGTTGGAAGTATGGAAACCACTACACTTTAAGAGAGACGGCTCTTCGACTTGCAGATGAGATGGAAGACGAGCGCATAAGCCTTGGACTTGGAGTTGCGGAAAAGTTCCATGCGAACTTCTATCACAACTTTATGGAGGACAGTGAGCTGGATATGAATCGTCCTCTGGTGCAGCATTTTGTGGAGCGAATGCTCGCGCTTGTGGAAGATGAAACAGGGTAGCCTGAGCGGAAGATAGTAAGTTAAGACCCTCACAGGAGGACAGAAAGAATGGCAAATGATTGCATGCTTGGAAGCGGAGATTTCGCGTACCGCGTAGAACCGAATTGGCAGACGATGCCGGAGGGGTATGAGTGGCGTGAGGTCGCCGCGGTCGCCGTGGACGGCAACGACAATGTGTATGTGTTCAATCGTGGCGAGCACCCGATGATGGTGTTCGATAAGGGCGGCAACTTCGTGAAGTCGTGGGGCGAGGGTGTGTTCTCACGGGCGCACGGCGTCAGCCTGGGTCCGGACAATACGCTCTATTGCAGCGACGACGGCGACCACACGGTGCGGCAGTGCACGCTGGACGGCGAGGTGCTGATGACGATAGGCGTTCCCGGTGAGCCTGCGCCGCTGTTCAGCGGCGACCCGTTCAATCGCTGCACGCACACGGCGACCGACCCGAAGACGGGCGACATCTATGTGTCGGATGGTTACGGCAATTCGCGAGTGCATAAGTATTCGCCGGATGGCAAGCTGCTGTTTTCGTGGGGCGCGCCTGGCACCGATCCCGGCGAGTTCAGCATCGCGCATAACATCGTCACAGACGCGGACGGTTATGTGTACGTTGCTGACAGGGAGAACCACCGCATCCAGATTTTCGACGCCAACGGCAACTTCGAGGAGCAGTGGCCGAATGTGCATCGCCCGTGCGGCCTTTACATCTCGCCGGAGCAGCATATCTATGTGGGCGAACTGGGGTGGGGCATGGGCGTGCAGCGCAACGTGCCCAACATCGGCCCGCGCGTCTCCGTGTTGGACAGGCGTGGAAATACGCTTGCGAGGCTGGGCAACGGTTATGGAACGGATGTGGGGTCAGTTCATATCGCCGCACGGCATCACTGTTGATTCGGCGAAGAACATCTATGTGGGCGAGGTGTCGCACACGAACATCAGCAACTCAGGCGAGACGCCGCCCGATGATCTCAGAACACTGCAGAGGCTGACTAAGGCGTAAGGCGTGCATGATTTGCTCCTGCATCGCGTTGGCATCTCTATTGCGATAGTCGCTATTATCGGATCAATCGCAACGGCATGCGGCAGCGACACCGAAATCATGGAAGTCACCGTCGGGCCTGAGCTGAAGGACTGCGTAGGCGTAGGTCCCAGGAAATGCATGATAGTCAACGGGGAGTTCTTCTACGATTCAATTGACGGCTTTGAGTTCGAACCGGGCTACGAGTACAGGCTCAAAATTGAGCAATACGATGCCTGGCCTGACAGAGACGAGCCGCCCGTAGATGCTTCGATGTACGGATATAGACTGATTGAGACCATCGAAAAGACGAGAGTTGGGCCTTGATGAAACGATTGTCAGTATGATGATAAACTAGGCGAAGAACTAAGGCGCATAATGGCGATAGAGTGATTGGATTGAAAGGAGCACACATGGCAGCGGAGCACACTCATTCGAATGGACATTCAAACGGACATGGGCACTCGCATGCGACGGCGGCGATGGCGGAGGCGGCAGCAAGCTGGCTCGACAGCCTTTCGGCGGAGCAGCGGGACAAAGCCACCTATGAGTATATGGACGGCGAGCGCGTCTTCTGGTACTACCCGCCTCTGAACAGGCACGGCCTTGCGCTGCGCGACATGGACGACAACCAGCGCAAGCTGGCGTATGCCGTCATGGAGAGCGGTCTGACGGAGCGCGCGTACAAGCAGGCGGCGCAGATTATCGACCTCGAAACCACGCTCGGCAAGGTCGAGAAGGACGCCGGCATTATCAGCTTCCGGCGCGACCCCGAACTCTACTACTTCACCGTGTTCGGCGACCCGCGCGACTCTGAGAATCCCTGGGCATGGCGTGTGAGGGCACCATGTGTCGCTGCATTACAGCATCTGGGGCGACAAGGTCATCTCGACCACGCCGTTCTTCTTCGGCTCGAACCCGGCAGAGGTGCTGAACGGGCCGGACAAGGGCAAGCGCATCCTCGGCGACAGGGAGGACATTGCGCTGGAGCTGGTGAACGGGCTTAGTTCCGAGCAGCAGCGGCGCGCGGTCATCTATCCCGAAGCGCCCTACGACATCCTGACATACAACTCGTCCCGCGCCGTCTTCCCACAGGAAGAGGGACTGCCAGGTTCTCAGATGAACGGCTCACAGCGCGAGATGATGATGTCGATCATCAGCGAGTATGTATCCACCATCCGCGACGATGTGGCGCAGGACAAGATGTCCGCGGTGCGCGAGCGGGGCTTGACGACTTCTACTTCGCATGGGGCGGAGGCATGGAGCACTTCACGAAGCACTACTACCGCATTCACGGCGGCAACTTCGTCGTCGAGTACGACAACCGCCAGAACGATGCGAACCACATCCACTCCGTCCTGCGCGACGAGGAGAACGACTTCGCCAACGATGTGCTGAGGGAGCACCTGCTCCTCTATCACGTGCTATAGGCGGATGGCTGTCGACTAGAGGACAATTAGGGCTAATGTGGCGTGTGACGGCACGGGGCGGTTCTCGGACTGCCCCGTGTTCGCTTGTGAGGGGGTAGATAGATGCAACAGCAAAGCCTGACTCCCGAAGACGGCACACAGCAGCAAGAGCCTGACTGGGTGCTGGCGAGCTACGGGCAGAGGATAGGGGCTTGGGCTCTGGACTTCGTGGGATTCACGCTGCCTTTGATCCTGCTGATTATTGCGGGTGTGGTTTTGGTGTTGGGAATTATCCTATCTTCAGAATTCGTTCAGGAGTCCATCGAGACTTCGTCGGACACCCTAGTTATTGAAGAGTCTATCTTGGAGGGATCCAAGTGGGTCGTTGCTATCATGGGGGTAGTTGCGGTGGTGGCGGGCGCTCTGGCGATAGTCCTCATAGGCTACATCGTATGGTGGCTGATCGTGCTGGGACGAGGTCAGACGCCGGGCAAGCAGATAGTGGGCATCCGCGTCATCAAAGACAACGGCGAGCCTTCTGGCTGGGGCTATACGTTCCTGCGCGAGTTCGTCATCAAGGCGCTGTTGGTGGGGTTCCTGTCTGATGCCACTTTCGGCATCGCAAGGCTGGTTGACTACCTCTGGCCGCTGTGGGACAGGGCGGAGAAGATGCAGACGCTTCATGATAAACTGCTGGGCACTCTGGTTGTCCTAAATCGCTGATAGAGCGCATCCAAACTATGCCTATGGACGCTCCCGACAATAACCTACACTTAGACACCAAGCAGCCATCGAACTCTCTTATCTCTCTCCGCACGCCGCATCGTAACTTGGCGCGTCTTGCTGATTGCCGTGCTCGCGATTGCGGTCGGACTGCGCTTCTATGGGTTGTCGTGGGACGACGGCTTTTCGTACACGCCGCACCCTGACGAGCGCGCAATACTGGATAGGGTGATCGGCGTGTCACCGCCCGGCCTTGGCGAGATTGGGCTGCTTCTCGATGCCGACCTAAGCCCGTGGAATCCGCGCTGGTTCAACTACGGCAGCTTTCCGCTCTATGTGCTGAAGGTCGTCCAAATTGTTGGCAGCCCCTTCCTCGGCGATGATGTCAACGACATTCGTGTGCTGGGGCGAGCCGTGTCAGGCTTGGCGGATATCGCAACCATCCTAGTGGTGTACGGCATCGCTTCACTGGCGTTCGATCGCAGGACGGGCTTGCTTGCTGCGCTCCTGACTGCGCTTGCTGTCATACACATTCAGCTCAGCCACTTCTTCGCGGTGGATACACTCCAAGCGATGTTCGCTATCGCCGCGTTGTACTTCATGGTCAGGGTGGCGCGTGAAGGGCAGGATGCGCGACTCGCTGCTCGCGGGTGCGCTAGTCGGACTTGGGCTTGCGACTAAGGCGAGCCAACTAGCCTATCGTCGCGCCGTTCGCCATCGCACACCTGATGTTTGCCTTCGGCTTCAACGGCAAGCCAACGGAAGGAATTTTCGCCCATCGTCTGGAGACGGCCATCTGGGGACTTGTTGGCGGAGGCGCGGTTGCGGTCATCGCGCTGATGCTCGCACAGCCCTACACGCTGCTGGACTGGGGCACGTTCTTCAGCCATGTGAGCGAGCAGTCGGAGATGATTCGCGGTATTCGCGATTACCCGTACACGCGGCAGTACGCCGATACGACGCCGTACTGGTATCACATACGGCAGCTTGCGGTCTGGGGATATGGCTTGCCGCTGGGCATCGCGGCGTGGGCGGGGCTGCTGTATGTGTCGCTGCGCGGCATGCCCTGGAAGCTGGGCATAGCGTATCTGGCGGTTGGCTGGGCGCTGCCCGCGGCGATACTGCTTGTCTCGTATAGCACCATCGCCATAGTGGCTGCGGCGGGCATTTCGCTGCTTGCGTTGCTAGCCACGCTGCCGGTGCGCTCCAAGCACGCACAGCTCGAAGTTCTGCTGCTGTGCTGGGTGGTGCCGTACTTCCTGGTTACAGGCGCGTTCCATGTGAAATTTATGCGCTATATGCTGCCCATTGCGCCGCTGCTGACGCTCTTCGGCGCGCGTCTGCTGTGGGCACTGTGGGACGGCGCTGCTTCGCACAGGAAGACGCTGCGCCCGTTGGCGGGTGTCGTAATTGCTCTGGTACTGGCGTCAACGGCGTTCTACGCACTCGCATATATCAACGGCGTGTATGGCAGCGTCCATACCGGAGTGCGGGCGAGCGAATGGCTGAACCGCGTTGCGCCTTATGGTGCGTTCGTGCTTAAGGAGCACTGGGAGGAGTCACTGCCGAACCTGCGCTCCGACTTTGAGATCTTCGACCTGCCCATGTATGAGGATGACCGAGCGGGCAAGACCGCGTTAATCGCCGACATGCTCTCCGATGCGGACTATCTTGTGTTCTTCAGCAACCGCTTGTACGGGACGATTTCGCGCCTGCCTGAGCGTTATCCCATCACGACCGAATACTATCACCTGCTTTTTTCTGAGCGGCTTGGCTATACGCTGGCAAATGTGCAGACCTCTTATCCCGCGCTGTTCGGCGTGAGCTTAGTGGATGACACGCTCGGGCGTCCCGGGTTGCCTACTCTACCCTCGTTTCTCGCGCGCGAGCCCGCTCCGCTTGCGTTGAATCTGGGCTATGCCGATGAGAGCTTTTCGGTGTACGACCATCCTAAGGTGCTGATATTCCAGAATACGGGGCGGCTTGACGCGGGAGAGATTCAGCGACTGATGGAGGGGGGTGCATCCACGAAATCTGATCTCTCATCGGTAGACGGGCCTGAACTGGGGCTGGTGTACTCACCGGAGGATCTGGCGATACAGCAGGGCGGCGGCACGTGGACGGACATCGTACGGCCCGGTAGCTGGACGAACCGCATGCCGGTATTCGCTTGGCTCGGCGCATTGGAACTCATCGCGCTGGTTACGATGCCGCTCACATTCGTCGTATTTCGGTCCTTCGGGGACAGGGGTTACCTGCTCGGTAAGGCGCTGGGGATACTGCTAGTCGGGCTGGTGGTGTGGCTGCTGGCAAGCCTGCAATGGATGGCGTTCTCTCGCGGTTCCATCGCGCTTGCGATTGTGATGATGGCTCTGGTGTCGATTGGCATCTTGGTATTCAGATGGAAGGAAATTATCGACTTTACGCGGCGGCGCTGGGCAACGCTGCTGGTCGCCGAGCTGATATTCATCGCGGCATTCCTCGCGTTCGTGCTGGTGCGCATGGCTAATCCTGACCTATGGCATCCCTATCGCGGCGGGGAGAAGCCTATGGACTTCGCGTACCTTAACGCCGTGTTGCGGTCGACAATTATGCCGCCGTATGACCCGTGGTTCGGCGGCGGCTACCTCAACTACTACTATTGGGGGCAGTTCCTCACGGCGATGCTCATCAGGATGACCGGCATTGTGCCGACGACAGCATTCAACCTCGCCGTGCCGACATTCTTCGCTCTTACGGCAGGCGGTGTGTACAGCATCGTCTATAACCTCGTGAGGTCTGCCGGACGAAAGTTGGACGATAGCATCGGTATTCTTGGTACCGCGCCGCGCTGGTCGCCCGTCCTTGTGGGCTTGGTCGGCGTCGCCTTTGTGACGGTTCTGGGTAATCTGGACGGCGCGATACAGGTCGGGTATGGCTTCAAGAATGTGATATCTGGTCAGCCCTTCGGCGAATTCGACTTCTGGCGAAGCAGCCGAATGATGCCGCCGGACCCGCCGGGGCATGAGATTACCGAGTTCCCGTTCTTCACATTCCTGTTCGCGGACCTGCACGCGCACATGATGGCGATACCGTTCACGGTGCTTGTCGTGGGGCTGTCGCTCGCGGTTGTGCTAGCCGCCGCCAATCGAAAAAAGTCCACTTCTCGATTGGCGGGGAAAGCAGCCCACGTTCGCGGCATACTGCGCAGCAAACTGATGGATGTAGGTGTGCTGCGTCTCGCTATTCTTGGCATCGCAGTCGGCTCTCTCGCTCCGCTGAACACCTGGGACTTGCCGACATACCTCATAGTCGCGGCGGCAGCGATACTGTTTGCCGAGTTCATTACGCATGGTGGTCTTGGATTGATAGTGCTGCTCAGGGCGGGCGTCAAGGCGGCGTTCATGGCGGCAGTGGGATTTGCGGCGTTCTTGCCGTACCATCTGGCGGGCGAGACCTTCTACAACAGCGTGCAGTCCACAACTAACTCAACGACACTGTGGCAGTTCCTTGCAATTTCGGGACTGTTCGTCTTCATCATCGGCACTTTCGCCGTGGATGAACTTGCGGGAGGCGCTCGCAGGCAGGGTGCGGCGTTGTGGCGCAGGTTCGGACGCCTGCAAGCCATACTCGATGGTGAGGAGGGTGAACCTGTCAGCATCCCGTGGCTTATCGTATTGATTGTCAGCGCATTGCTGCTGGGACTTGCATTGACGGCGGCGTTCACGGGGGTTGTGGGCAGCACGGTGCCTCTTGTCTTCGCGCTGGTCATGATGCTGGCTGTCGTTGGTATGAGCATCCTGCTGCGCGACAGGCCCGACTCGGCGCAACTCGGTTTTGTGCTGATGCTGGCGCTGGTGTCGCTGTGCCTTGTCATCGGGTTGGACTTCCTGCGCGTGGAAGGTGACATAGATCGCCTGAATAGCATCTTCAAGTTCTACCTGCAGGTGTGGGTGATGCTGGGCATTGCATCCGCGTATTTGCTTTGGCGGCTGTTTCGGACGCAGCGGAGCTTCCTGCCTCGTATTGGGTCAATCAGACGGGGGTGGAAGGTCTCGCTTGCCGTGCTGGTGCTGAGTGCGGCAATATACCCGGTTTTGGGCACTCAGGACAGGCTGCGTGACAGGTTCGCCGGGTATGTTACGCCGCTGACGCTGAATGGGGTGGCATTCATGGAAGGTACTGCTTACAGGGAGCATTCCGGAGATGTGATTGACCTTGCTTCAGACTACGAAGGTATTCGCTGGATGCAGATGAATGTCGAAGGTTCTCCGATTGTTCTAGAAGGTGTTACGCCGTCGTATCGCTGGGGCGGGCGCGTAGCGATGTACACGGGACTGCCGAGCGTCATCGGATGGCAATGGCATCAGGAGCAGCAGAGGTGGGGATACGCCTACGAAGTCGGACGCCGATTCAGTGATGTGGAGAGGATTTACTCGACTCATGACAGCGAAGCAGCGCTGGAGTTAATGCGGAAGTACGGTGTCGAGTATGTGTATCTGGGGCATCTGGAGCGCATCTACTTCCCGGGCGGAATGGACAAGTTCGAGGACGGATTGGGCGGCGCGCTGGAGAAGGTGTTCGATAATGGGGATACCGCGATATATTGGGTCAGGGGTGAAGGTTAGGCAGCATTTGGCAGTGTCTTGCCTGTGCTCTTTATCGATATACGCTGTCGCGCCTTCCCACTCTCAGTACAAGTACCGTCAATACGTCGTCATGGACATCGCACACGACTCGACAATCTCCCACTCGATACCGCCACAGCGTCCCTAATGGGCCCCTCAATGCTCTGCCAATAGTGCGAGGCTGGTTTGATGCCGCGACCCTGCGTTCCATGTAATTCACGATGCGCTGAGCCATACTTTTATCGAGTCTTCTCAACTGCCTTCGGGCCGTGTTCGTGTACTCAATCGTCCAGCCCAAGGTCTTTTCTCACATCGGAAGCAGAGTACACCTGTTCCTGACCTTGGCGAACACGCTCACGGACACCTGCAGCCAAGTAATAGTCTTCAAGATCTTCAAGACCACGCTCGATAATCTCTTGCAGGTAGAACTCCTTCGTGCGCCCTGTCTGAGAAGCCAGAAAGTCAAGACGCTTTTCGTCCTCGCGCGATAAATTGATTGAGGTCGCCATCGCTCGCCCTCGACTCAGTGATACATGAGTTCACTATAGCATACAGAACCTTAGTCCATGCTTGTCTAATCGGCTCGCCTTCGCTATCCTAGTCGTATTCTAGAAGAGGTGATTGACCACCATGACTACCGTTAAATACGCACTTGATGAGTTCATCTACGATATGTCCCGACTGGTTGATGAGCAGCCTGACCAGGGAACGCTCTTCGACCGCGGCTCGTCTTACTTGGAGAGCCTGATAAACAACCGCGATGCGATCCCGGAGGAGTACAGCATTCCGATGCCGGGCAAGAACCACGGCACATACCTGTTGCACTACGGCGACAATGGCTTGCTGGTTACATCGGTCGTCTGGGGTCCTGGCGACCACATCGGCCCGCACGACCACTGCACCTGGGGCATGATTGGTGTCGTCGGCAACGGCATCACCGAGACGCGCTTCCGGCGCATGGACGATGGTGAGCGCGACGACTACGCCGTGCTGGAGCGTGACCGCGTCAACGTGGTTAAGCCGGGCGATGTGTCGCTGCTCATCCCGAAAGTAGACGAGATTCACCAGATGGACAACCACACGGACCGCCCGACGGTCGAGATTCATGTGTATGGTAACGACCTGCGGGGCCTGGAGCGCAGCAGCTACAATCTAGAGACTGGCGAAATCAGGCACTTCGCGACGACGAGTTTCAGCAACTGCTAATACCAGTAACAAATCTCAGTTGAAAGCTTTGCCTGAGTGAGGTGTATAGACCTGTGCCTACGACAATCTCTCCCCAATCCCTCGACGCTCTGCTACAAGGCGATTCTCCGTTCGCGCTGATAGATGTGCGCGAGGCCGGCGAGTTCAACAACGCACACATTCCCGGCGCGAGCCTGATCTCGCGGCGCGACCTTGAGGCTCAAATTGCCGCCGCTGTGCCGCATGCCGCGACTCCGGTGGTGCTGTGCGATGATGATGCTCGCAGAGCGACTTTCGCCGCTGCCACTCTGGGGCGGCTCGGCTACTCCTATGTGTCCGTGTTGGACGGTGGCATCAACCTGTGGGTAACGCAGGAGTACCCGACGGAGTGGGGCGTGAATGTTCCGAGCAAGGACTTCGGGGAGAAGGTTGAGGTCGTGCATCATGTGCCTGAGATTGACGCTGTGGAGCTGCGTGAGCGCATTGATCGCGGCGATGAGCTTGTCATTCTGGACACGCGCACTCCTGAAGAGTACCAGCGCCTTTGTATTCCGGGCGGACGCAGCGTCCCCGGGGCCGAGCTTGCGCTACGAATCACCGACATCACGAAGGACCTGAGCGACGATGCTACGGTCGTAATAAACTGCGCGGGACGCACACGCAGCATCATCGGAACGCGGGTTTTGCAGCGCATGGGCTTGCCCAATGTCGTGGGATTGAAGAACGGCACTGCCGGCTGGTCGCTGGCAGGCTACTCGCTGGAATCAGGCGCAGACCGACTTGAACTGCCCTCCGTGTCAGAGGATGGCATCGCGGCCGCAGAGGCCTACGCGGACCGCCTCGCAGAAGAGGACGGCGTTCGCTACCTGGATGCCGACGGCTTGCAGGAACTTATGGCACGCCGCTCCGACGAGACGGTCTATCTCGTGGATGTGCGGACTTCCGAAGAGTATGCAGCAGGGCACATTCCCGGCTTCCGCTGGTTTGCGGGTGGTCAGGCGGTGCAGCGCTCGGATGAGGTAGCGGTCGTGAAGAACTGCCCCATCGTCTTCTGCTGCGACGGACGCGCCCGCGCAGCCATTACCGCATCGTGGTATAGGCAGATTGGGCACAAGGATGTGTACGCCGTGCATGGCGGTACGGGAGAATGGCAGCGCGCCGGACATTCTTTGGATCAAGGTCATTCTCAGATGCAGCCACTCGGACTGGACGAGGCGCAGAGCAAGGTTCGTGTTCTGTCTGCATCCGAGATGCCGTCTGCGTCCGAAGCTGCCATCATCTTCGTGGGCACGAGCCAGCAGTTCGCTGAGGCGCATGTCCCCGGCTCTCGCTGGGTACCGCGCGGATGGCTTGAGACGCAGGTCGCCGACTTCGCGCACGACAAGTCAGCGCCCGTAGCCGTGACCTGTGTTGACGGCGTTGCCTCAACTTTCGCGGGGGCGACTCTCGCCGATGAGGGATATGCGGATGTCGCCGTGCTGGAAGGCGGAATGCGCGCATGGCGGCAGGCAGGGCATGGGATAGAACAAGGGCTTACGGGTGTAATGTCAACTCCTGCCGATGTCGTGCCTGCGGGTACCGATCGCGGATACGCGGACATGATGAACTACCTGCGCTGGGAAGAAGAACTCGGTAGGAAGTACGAGTCGTAACTCCGTTGGGATAAGCCTGAAATCTCGTCCATCTTGACCGCAGTCGAAGAACAAAGCCCTTTCATCTTTATCGATGATTAGGGTGGGAGAAACCGACAGACCGATAGACTGACATACTGAGGAACTCACCATGAAACTCGGAGCGATTACCAACTCATGGCGCGAACACCTTGAGAGCGAGAGCATCGAATCGCTTGTAGGACAGGCGGCAGCGCGCGGCGCGATGCACATCGAATTGCGGCAGACTTGTCTCGGCGACTGCGAGACGGGCGAGGGTGATGACTGGCGACCGAACATCGGCAACCTGAAGGCACTGGTCGCGCAGCATCCCGATATGTCGTTCAATCTTGCGGTGGCGTATCCGTGTTTGTCGCAGGACGCGCAGCCCAAATCCGCGCTGTTCCAGTCGATGCTGGATGCCGCTGTTGCCGTGTCGCCGGATGCCCCACACCTGCGAATGGTGGATCCCGCGCGCTTCGATTCGCTGTGGGACAAGCCTGCGGACATTCCTGACACCGCGATGAGTATTGCGGCCTTAGTGCAGGAGGCCGCCGCGCGAGGGGTTACGCTCTCGATGGAGAACTCAGGGCAGCCCATCCGCAGCCTTGCGATGCTGGTGCAAGCCGTTAGAGACGCCTTGCCTGCCGAGCAGGGCGGATTGCTGGGACTTTGCCCCGACCCGACGAACCAGCTACGCATTGACGCCGACAGCGACCCCGTAGGAGAGGTTGAGGCACTGCCGGTGGACATGATTAAAATCGCGCACTTCAAGCAGACACGCGGCGGCACGGCAATTCCTACGGTGGACAGCGGCGATGTGGACTGCTCGCGCTTGATGAAGTCGCTTCAGGACAAGGAATACGCGGGCGCTGCAATCATGGAGATTCCGCCGCATGAGCAGGTCTTCGATAATCTGTCAGCAAGCTTCGCCTATCTCAGTGCGTAGCGAGACCGGCAGGCTTGAACGGTTTTGTTGATGAGCAAGCCGCACTCTGACGCGAGCTTCATGCTAACTGAAAGCGGGCATAACCTCATCAACAAATAGCTTCATATCTTCCAGATCCTGAAAGCGCGGAAAAGTCAGGATCGAAAAATCGAACCCTAACTCGGCTAACTGCGAAAATTGCTCGCGCACTGCCGCAGGATCGCCCGCAACTGGTGGCTGCTCGCCGTGAAGCCGCTCTCCTGCCATCTCGATCGCCTTCCGGTGCGACCTGTCAATGAAGACGCGCACGTTCAGAGTCTTTCTTATATCGGAGAACTTGCGCCCCTCTTGTTCACAGTGTTGTTGTAGAACATTCAGCTTGTGGCGAAGCTGATCTGGGGGCCGTACAAGGTCGTTCCACCAGTCGGCATGACGCGCTACAACTCTCAAGGTGCGCCTTTCGCCCGCGCCGCCTATCATCAGGGTCGGCGGTGTCTGGGGGCGCGGCTCACAATAGGCGTCCTCAATGCGGTAATGCTTGCCCTTGAAGTTAGCAGGAGCATCCTCCACATAGCCTTCATCACCTGAACGCCCTCTTCCAGCATCTCTACACGCACTCGCGGAGACGGGTACTCGAACCCGTATCTCCTGTACTCCGGCTCAAACCAGCCGGCGCCATAACCCAGAATAAGCCGTCCCGAACTCATCCATTGAAGGCTCGCCGCCATCTTCGCCATCAGCGACGGTTGCCTGAAGGAATTACACATCACGATAGTTCCCAGCTTGGGTCCCGGGTATCTTGCCGCAACCCATGTCAAGTGCGTCCAGCACTCCATACGGAACTCGTCGTCATAGGAGAAATGGTCCGAAATCCACAAGGAGCCGAAGTTCTGCGACGCGATGTCTAGCGCGCTGTGGAGGTCGGACAGATACTCGCGGGGCCTTATCACCTCGAAACCCCTATCCCCCGATGGGGGATGATAACCGAACTCCATCTTTGCTTGGGGCATATCTACTCTCCTGGGACGGATGCGCCGAAATGATTTTCGACAACCGGGGATGCGTTTAAGCCGCGCCGATATCTGAGGCGCGCCAACAGGCGCAAAGAGAAAAATGTCAACAGTGCGGATAGTTGACGGCGGCCCTCATACTACGCCGTGACGCGGTAGGCGATGCAGTTCACAATCTCAATCTTGAGAGGCGGTTGTGCGAGACCTGTGGTGCCGATGACCGCCCTGCATGGCGGGTTGGGGATGAACTCGCGGTACACCTCGTTCAGCAGCGGCCACTTGCTCATATCAGTCAGGAAGATGACAAGGGTCGTCACGCGGCTGTAGCTGGTTCCCGCTGCCTCTAGCGACATCTGCACATGGCGGAACGCGGCGCGGTACTGATCTTCGTCCGTGTCGCCGACAATCTCGCCGTCGAAGCCGGAAGGGGTGGTTCCCCTGACGAACACCTTCACGGCGCGAACCTTCAGCATTCGCAGCAGATCTTCCTCGAAGTAGTCGCCGTACAGCCCGATGCGGTATGAATCGAGCGATGTGGTCTGCTTGCGCCCGTCGGTGATGATCAAGTCCAGAAGGGCGTCACGATCCTCGAAGGACAGAGCGTTCGCCTCTTCGATACTCATCGCGTCCAATTGTGTCAGAGTGTAGCCCATGATTATGCGTCGTCCATAACTACGCGCCCGAACTTCCCTTGGCTGTACGCGAGCGCTTCGCCGTCGTTCACATCGATCCGCTCCACCGCGCCGATGAATACCGTATGGTCGCCCTCTACATGCTCATTCACCGTGCGGCAGTCCATGGAGGCGATGCTGCCATCTATAAATGCCGCGCCGCTATCCGTGTAGGTAAACGCGACATCGAAGTCGGCGTTGCGTGCCTCGGCGGGACCGGCGTAGTAGCTGGCGATCGCCTGCTGCTCTTGGCTGAGGATGTTGATGGCGAAGCGGCCCGCCTCCTTGATGAGCGGATATGAGTTGCGGTTGTGCCCGACGCAGACTAGCACCAGCAACGGATCAAGCGACACCGAGTTGATTCCATTCGCCGCCATGCCATGCACGCTGCCGTCCGGCTCTATCGATGTGACAACAGACACGCCTGTCGGATAACTGCCCCATGCCTTGAGAAATGCTTCTAGGCTGTCCATGCCTCACCTCACTTACTTCTGAATGCTTCTGGTAGGCCGATTATAGAATGGCAGGCGCAAGAATGAAAGACCTGCCGCTCTCCAATGCGAATAGCACATAGTCATGCGCCGCCCCTGCATATCCGTCCATCCCGTCAGTCAGTTAATCAGTTAAAATGAAGGTACAAACAATTCTTTATCCCGTCACATCTGTAAAAAGACTGAGGTAACCAATGCCTGACCTACGAGGACCGGACCGTCAGCCCGCTTTTCTTGGCATTCCGACATACATCCACTCGCCGCTCGCGCTCTCGCAGGAGGAGCTTGCGGAGATGCAGGCCGATGTCGCCGTCATTGGAGCGCCCGTCGATATGGGCGTGGTGAACCGCCCGGGAGCACGCTTCGGTCCGCGCGCCATCAGGCAGGCAGGCTATGCAGGCAGTCCCAATGATACTTTCTACCACATGGAGTACGAGCTTTACCCCACTCAGGAGATTAGGGTGGTTGACTTCGGCGACGCCGTATGTCCACCAAGCTCGCTTGAGCTTAGCCATGAGGCGGTACGCCTGAAGACGATGCAGGCACTGCAGACGGGCGCGATTCCGCTCGTGCTGGGCGGCGACCACTCCATAACCTTGCCCGCAGCGACCGCAGTCGCACAACATCACGGCTACGGCAGGGTCGGCATGATACACTTCGACGCCCACGCCGACACTGGCGAGTCGGGCTATGGCGGCGTGCTCATCGCGCATGGCAGTCCGATGCGCCGTCTGCTGGAGAGTGGCGCTATTCCCGGACCTAACTTCATTCAGATAGGGCTGCGCGGCTACTGGCCCGATCGCCCTCTATTCGACTGGATGCGGGAGCAGGGCATGCGCTGGCACCTGATGGCAGAGATAGTGGAGCGCGGCTTCGAAGCTGTGCTGAGAGGATGCCATCGCCGAGGCGCTCGACGGCCCCGAGGTCATATATCTGTCAGTGGACATAGATGTTCTTGACCCAGCGTTCGCTCCCGCAACCGGCACGCCCGAACCCGGTGGTATGACTTCCGCGCAGTTGCTGAAGGCGGTGCGAACTATCGTGTCGTCTGTCGAGCTTGTTGGCGCCGACATCGTGGAGGTCGCGCCTCACTATGAGGGCCCCGCAGCCATCACTGCGGAGGTGGCGAACCGCGTTGGACTTGAAATCATCAGTGCGCTCGCCCATCGTCGCACGCGCGCATGAGCGCCTTCTAACGCCCTAGTTTCCGCGCTGTTCACTAGAAGTAGATTTCCTATTTCAATCTAAGAACATTTGTATCTTTGCGTTTGATTTCAGTATTGAAAAATGGTAAAATAAAGACAAGAAATACCTTGATGAAATCTGCCTTTTATTGTCCACTGTAATTGGGTGTTTATCCCATCGTTATCGCGTTTTTGGCGCACCTCACTCGATTGGTTTTATGCGTGCGAACTCATTGTCTTGTACGCTTGCGCCTTGCTTGCGGATGCACCTACCAATTTACGTAAATTTCTAGTCTTCGGCTCAACATGAGCCTAATCTTCAGGAGCAAAAATATGGCGACGGCTAAAGAAGTTGACATGTACACCGCCGATGATATTCAGGTGCTTGAGGGCATGGAAGCCGTGCGCAAGCGCCCCGGCATGTACATCGGAAGCACCGACCAGCGCGGACTCCACCACCTCATCTACGAGATTGTGGATAACGGCGTGGACGAGTTCATGGCAGGCTTCTCAACCCGTGTCTCCATACACATCCAGTCTGATGGCACGGTGCGGATTGAGGACGATGGGCGTGGCATCCCGGTGGATGTTCACCCCGCAACCGGCATGACGGCTGTGGAAACGGTCATGACTACCCTCCATGCGGGCGGCAAGTTCGGCGGCAAGGCGTATGCCGTCTCCGGCGGGCTGCACGGCGTAGGCGCATCCGTGGTCAACGCGCTCTCGGAGAGCCTTGAAGTCGAGGTGAGCCGAGATGGTCAGCTTTACAGGCAATCCTTCTCGCGCGGTCGTGGTCAGTCCGAACTCACATCCGAGTCGCTTCCAAGGGGCAGCCGCCGCAATACGGGCACTGCCGTCACCTTCATGCCTGATGTCGAGATATTCGAGGAGTTCGCATACGACTTCGATGTGCTGCGCCAGCGCTTCAAGGAGATGGCATATCTGAACAAGGGACTGGAAATTACATTCCGCAGCGACTGGCCCGCCCACGATAATCTATGGCCCAACAACGAAGTAACTTACTACTTCGAGGGCGGCATATCCAGTTTCGTGCGCAGCCTGAACCAGAAGCGCGCCGTCGTCCACCCTGACCCCATTTATGTGGAGAAGAAGATCGACAATACCATCGTCGAGGTGGCGATGCAGTACAATGACAGCTTCACAGAGTTCGTCCACTCTTTCGCCAACTGCATCAACACCATCGACGGAGGCTCGCACATCACCGGATTCCGCAGCGCTCTGACGCGCATCGTCAACGACTATGGTCGCAAGCAGAACCTCATTAAGGACAACGAACCGAACCTCGCCGGCGAGGATGCGCGCGAGGGATTGGCGGCGGTCATCAGCGTGAAGCTCACGGATCCGCAGTTCGAAGGACAGACCAAGACGCGACTCGGCAATCCGGAGGTCAGGACGCAGGTTGAGAGCGTGGTCGCCGAGGCACTCCAGTATTACCTCGAAGACAATCCACAGGATGCCAAGCGCATCATAGAGAAGTGCCTCACCGCGCAGCGAGCGCGAGACGCAGCCCGCAAGGCGCGAGACCTCATCATCCGCAAGAACGCGATGGACGGTGGCGGTCTGCCCGGCAAGCTCGCCGACTGCTCCGAAAAGAACCCGGAGTTCTGCGAAATCTACCTTGTGGAGGGCGATTCGGCGGGCGGCACGGCGAAGATGGGGCGCGACCGCAGGACACAGGCGATTCTGCCGCTATGGGGCAAGATTCTGAACGTGGAGAAGGCGCGCGCCGACAAGATGCTCGCCCACGACGCGATACGCTCCATGATAACCGCCATCGGCGCAGGGCTTGACGACGACATCGACCTCAGCAAGCTACGATACCACCGCATCATCATCATGACCGACGCCGATGTGGACGGCTCGCATATTCGCACGCTGATTCTCACCTTCTTCTTCCGCCACATGAAGCCGCTCATCGAGCACGGGCATCTCTACATCGCGCAGCCGCCCCTGTACAAGATAAGCTCGGGTCGCCAATCGCACTACGCATACAGCGAGGGCGAGCGCGAGGGAATAATGACGCAGCTCAACGGGAGGCGCAACATCTACTTACAGCGCTACAAGGGCCTTGGCGAGATGAACGCCGAGCAGCTCTGGGAGACCACGATGGACCCGGAGAAGCGTACCCTCTTGCAGGTCGACATCGCTGACGCCGCTGGCGCCGACGATATGTTCTCCGTTCTTATGGGCAATGTAGTGGAGCCGCGCCGCAACTTCATTCAGGCGCATGCGCTTGAGGTGAAGAACCTTGATGTGTAACCTGCAGTCCCGTCTAGGCGGGCGCTGTGCACACATCCTGATATGTCCTGAAATCACATGTTTGTCGAAACACTAGGACGTGTAGAATTTCGACCGGCGTGTCACGCATCAGAAACCTAATAGACTTGTCAATGTTTCTTGATCGTTCTAGCGCGAACGAAGGCATGACTTACTTCTATAGGGTTGCTATTCTTGCCGTCGTTTCGCACATTCTGATTGCCACGGGTTGCGCACTTGGAAATCAGGATTCGTTGCAGGTGCCAACCCCGACGCATTCGCCTACATCCGTCATTTCCGCATCACCACCTTCTCGAAATTAGTTCTGACGAGCACTCATACAGCCGTTCCCTCCACGAGTGTGCCGACTCGCACGCCCGAGGCCGTGTCCCAAGAAAGCAGTGAGTCATCTCCTGTAAAGGCATCGCCCACCGCTACGCCCCAGCCAACTTACACACCTGTTCCGCTCAAGCCCGTTCTTGCCACACCTATTCCTGAACCTACTCCCACGCCCGTGCAGGTCTCACACACTCCAACTCCCTTCCCGACAGCACCGCGCTGGGAGGATTTGAGATTTACGCAGGCGTTTGATGGCGCCAGATTTCAGGGGGACAGTGGTCGCCCATTAGACATGCTGCCCTGGCCTGGCGGAGGCATGGCAGTTCTGAGTCGCCCGGGCTTTGATCACCTTGATCGTTGATGGAAGACAGCACACTCTACTTGATCTAGTTGATGCCACTCAGCAGAAAGGGGCTGAGGATGGTCTCCTGGGTATGGCACTTTCGCCCAATTTTGATGAACTTCCCTTTCTCTATGTCTATTACTCTGTGCTAGACGAGGGCAAGACGCGATTATCGCGCTTCCCAGTGCACAACAATGTAGTGGTTCGGGAGAGGAACTTGTCATACTGGATATACCGCAGCCGACCATGAGCTCCCACAACGGCGGCAGCGTTCTCTTTGGCCCCGACGGCATGCTTTATCTCAGTCTGGGCGACGGGGGTGGATACGACGGCTTTGAACTAGCGCAAGAACTGGACACACTCTTAGGCTCAATAATCCGTATTGATGTGCGAGAGATATCAGAAGAAATACCCTACAGAGTGCCGCCGGACAATCCCCTGATAGGCGTACCCGGCGCAATGCCGGAGATTTTCGCCTGGGGCTTTCGCAATCCATGGCGTATGAGTTTTGATCCAGACACCGCGACACTCTGGGTCGGCGATGTCGGAGGAGAAAGGCAAGAGGAAGTGAATATCGTCCGTCCGGGCGCTAACTACGGCTGGGGCATTTTCGAGGGCGAACTGTGCCATCATTACACTGATGAGTACTGCGCCGAGCATGCTGAATCCTTAACTGCGCCTGTGTTCGCATACGAACACGGAGGCGATTTCGGCGGATGCGCGGTTATCGGTGGAGTTGTTTATCGTGGCTCTGCGATACCCTGGCTTGACGGCACATATCTATTCGGCGACCTCTGCGCCAATAAAATCTGGGCGTTGGAGGGCAGCGCCGAATCTGGTTGGCAGACACATGAAATTCATACAGGAGCACGGCTATTGACATCATTTGCAATCGATAGCGCAGGTGAAGTATATCTACTGTTTCACGGAAACAATCCCATACTGAAACTCGTTGATACTGCAGGCACATCTATAAGAGAATGAAACGAAAGCGGAAGAACGGCGTTGCAGGTCTCCATCGCTGACGCCACTTGCACCGCCGACATGTTCTCCGTGCTGATGGGCAATGTAGTGGAGCCGCGCCGCAACTTCATCCAGGCGCACGCGCTTGAGGTGCAGAATTTGGATGTTTAGGTGAAAACCGCTAGCTACTGCCCGCAGCCCTATAACTCGTGTATGAAATGAGATTGCCAGCACAATAAGTGCCAATCAGATTTTGTAAGAACTAGGTCGAAAACTAGCTCACTCGGAATCTCCTCCGATGAAGGCTTCGAGTTTCGACTTAAATTCCGAAGTGAGTTGCTCGCCCCATTCAGTCCTGCTCTCTGGCGGCAGTGGGCAAATCTGCGCAGTACGAATCTCACAATCGCTTGCTCAACAATTTTCCTAATTGTGGCAACCTCAGCTTCACAATGGCTTCCAATGCACGCGGATATGACTGTTTCTTGAAATTCTTTGCCTTTCCCCGTTATCTCAATAGTAGCAGCTGCACTCAGATCGTACTACAATCCGTTGACGCTATCTACCAGTGAGCGAATGTCACTCTGCCGACTCTTAATGTCCCCCAACACAAACCCCAACTATCCGCCATCGAACATTAATGTTCCCCCGCGCCAACAACAAACAAATAACAACACAAAAAAAGCAACAACACTCCCACCACACAAAACAACAAACCAACCACCCCCACAACCCCCCCCCCCACCCCCACACAGCATCCCCCGCGCCCTTCACCAACAAAACACACTCCTCCAACAACAACACATCACAACCAAACAACAAACAACAATCAGAACAAAGAAATTCAAAATGATCAAACAAAAAACAGCCCCCCCCGCCAACACAACACCGACTACAGGGAGGAGCATCGGCTCTTAGCCAATATGCCGTTCCAAGGTTCGTTCTTCCTGGCTCTATAGTTTCTGCTTGGCCTGGCCCCCCGCCCCCCCCCCCTTTTTTCGCTGTGTATCTAGGTGAGTATAGACATTCGTCCCAACACTGAAGTGACTAAGCATTTGCTTTCGGTTTCTACCTCATCGATCTGTTGCTCGGGTCGCCGTAACATCATTTGTCTTCTTCTTACGCAACACATAGTATCTGCTTTCTTGGTCTGCCATACTGTCCAAGTGAAACTTTGTGACTTTCACTATCTGACGCTCTTCGGATAACGATTCCAATGCGGCAGCAACGTAGTGGTCGTCGAGCCAAGAAGGTTTCTCAGGAGTGATGCCCTGAAATGTGTCACGGCTCAAGGAACTCTGGTTCTCAATAAGGCGCCGATTGAATTCCTCAACTCCAACCGTTACAGAGACGTACTTGTGCTTCATTGCGGCCCACAAGCTATGACTATCTCGTTCGCCGTATCCGATACTTATCTTGCAATGAATTTAAACAGCCATCAACGGCGCCCCACCCTCGCCAACGAGCAATTGCAGATGTCATACGTGTGGCAACTCTCTCCCGGCACCGTATTTTCTGGCTAAGCGGCGATGGATGCTAAAATTGTGCAGCGATTGTGGCTCCATGCACTCGTTCAAGCAACCCCAGACTTGGTTCCGGAATCCCCATGCCGACCACTCCTGCAATTGAGTTTCGAATTGGAGCTTTAGAGGCGCTATCTGTCCATTAGTCAACGTCAACTGACCTATACCCCCACCCTCGGCATAGGCGCTACCAGCCTGCCGTTCACCAGCACGATGCCGTCCAGGCAGTGGCACTCCACGCGCCCGCTGTCGAACTGCTCATGGTACAGGTTCGCGTACAGCCCGCCGTTCACGAGTAGTTCTTCGTGCGTTCCGCGCTCCACGATGCGCCCGCCGTCCACCGCGAATATCACGTCGGCGGACAGAATCGTGGATAGCCGGTGCGCTATGGCAATTGTCGTGCGGTCCTTCATCAGCGGCTCCAGCGCAGCCTGCACATACCGCTCGCTCGCCGAATCCAGCGCAGATGTGGCCTCATCCAGTATCAGGATGCGCGGGTCATGCAGTATCACGCGCGCTATGGAGAGCCGCTGCCTCTCGCCGCCGGATAGTCGGTAGCCCCGCTCGCCAACGATGGTGTCGTAGCCGTCGGAGAACTCCATGATGCGGTCGTGGATGAACGCGGCTTTGGCGGCGGCTTGCATCTGCTCCTCGGTGGCATCAGGATCGCCGTACATCAGATTCTCGCGCAGGGTGGCGTGGAACAGGTAGCTCTCCTGCGACACATACCCGATCAGCCGCGCCAGCGACGCCAAGCGGATGTCGCGCACATCCACACCGTCAATCTTCACCGCACCCTCCGTAACATCGTACAGGCGCGGTATCAGATAGGATATCGTCGTTTTGCCCGCTCCACTGGGTCCGACGAACGCCGCGAGTTGGCCAGGCGCAATCTCCAGGTTCACACCGTCCAGCGCAAGCCGCCCCGTGCCATTCGCAGACACACCGTTCAGGTGCTCTTCGGCGGACAGGCCATATTGCAGGCGAACATCCTCAAGCTTAATCTTGCCCGCGACTTCTTCGGGCGAGAGCGTGACCGGATCGTCAGCGTCCACAATCTCAGGCTTGATGTCGAGATAGCCGAATATGCGCTCGAACAGCGCCAGCGACCCTTGCAGTTCCACCGACACTTGCAGCAGGCTGCCAATGGGGAAGAAGAGCCTCGCTTGTAGCGTTGTGAAGGCGATTATTGTGCCCGTTGACAGCCCCGAAGGTGAATTGCCCGATAGCAGGTAGCCCGCGATGAGGTAAATCAGAATCGGCGTCAGCGAGAAGAATATCTGGACGCTGGTGAAGAACGCGCGCCCCGTCATCTGCCGTTGAAGCGTCAGATCGGCAAGCTGCTGGTTCTCTTCATGGAAGCGCTGTATCTCGCGCTGCTGCTGTCCGAAGAGCTTGGAGAGCATCATGCCCGAAATGGAGAGCGTCTCCTGCGTTATGGCGCTGACCTCTGCCGCGGCTCTCTGTGTACGGGCTGATGCCGCGCGCCGCCGCGCCCCGACGAACTTCGAGATGAACGCGAATATCGGCACGGTAAACATGGACACTACCGTCAGCTCCCACGACAGAATGAACATCGCAATCAGAGTGCTGATGAATATCACGCTGTTGGAGAGGACGTTGGAGACCGTGCTGGAGACGACATTCTGCACACCGCCGACGTCGTTCGCCACGCGCGATTGGATCTCGCCGGTGCGTGTGTCCGTGAAAGAAGCTGATGGACAGCGTCTGCAGGTGCTCGTAGAGCCTGTCGCGCAGGTCGCGCATCACGCGCTGTCCCACTTCGTTCGTCAGGTACGTCTGCACGATGCCAAGACCGCCCGTCGCCACCGTGATTCCCGCCATACGCCCACGAGCAGCCAGAGCAGGTCGAGATCGGGCGTGCCTGATGGTGAGAACAGCGCAGAGTCGAATACCACGCGAATGAGCAACGGGTTTACGACGCCCAGTCCTGCGGTAACCAAAATGAGCGCTCCCACGACCGATACCTTGAACCAGTACGGCGCGAACGCGCTCACAATGCGGTGACCAAGCCCTTGGCTTGCCGCGATTTGTCTATTTTGACTGTCTTGCGCCATTCTCGTCCCTTACGGCGCTACGATGATGCGCCTCCCGTGGTCCAGTGCAGTCGAGAAATGCCGAGTGACTTTGATACCGATGATTCTTCGTTCCATCGACAACAGTCCTGTCCTACCCCCACATGCCGGTGCTGAAGTAGCGCTCGCCGATGTCGTTGAAGATGGTTACGATTTGCCCGCTGCGGTCGCGTCGCGCAATCTCGTATGCGCCCTGCACATAAGCGCCCGACGATTGCCCCGCAAACAGGCCGATGGCCGACAGCTTGTGCGACATCTCGTAAGAGGCATCTACATCGATTTCAAGCATCTCGTCCACTACCGAAGAGTCGAAGGTGTCGGGGATGATGTGCCCCGCGCTCAGCGGCTTCAGCCCTTCCACGCCAGGCCACTCAGGCGGGTCGATGCTGATGACCTTGATGTCCGGGTTGTGCTCCTTCAGCCGCCGTCCGACGCCCGATATGGTGCCGCCTGTGCCTACGCCGCCGACGAAGTGCGTTATGTTCGGCGCCTGCCGCAGAATCTCCTCGGCCGTGGTGTCGTAGTGCGCCTGTGGGTTGTTCGGGTTGCTGTACTGGTCGCTGTAGTAATACTTGTCCGGCGACTTCTCGTAGCGCCGCTTCACCTCGTACAGCGCCTCGTCGTAGCCCAGCATGGGTCGGTGAATATAATCTCCGCGCCGTGCGCGATGAGGCGCTTCTTGCGCTCTTCGCTCGCGTTCTCCGGCATCACCAGCGTAACCTTGTAGCCCAGCACCGCGCCAATCATCGCGTAGGCTATGCCCGCATTGCCCGAAGTCGCGTCTATAATGGACTTCTCCTTCGTCAACTCGCCTGAAAGGATAGCCTCACCCAACATCCGGAGCACGGGCCTGTCCTTGATGGAGCCGCCCGGGTTCAGGTGCTCGTACTTCACGTGTATCTCCGCATCGCCGATGTCCAAATCGGCGTCAATCTTGACCATAGGCGTGTTTCCAATCGCCAGCAGCGGAGGATACTTGGCGATGAATTCCATAAACTCTTTTGACTCGGGCAAAATGTCATCCCTCACTTTAGATTGTTCTAAGAGTATATCTAGCCTGTTATGGTGCGTCCACTTTTAGGCTTCGGCCGACGACCAATGAACAACGGCACTGCAATCCAAATCCGCCTTGAATGCTGTGACAGCATTAGTTAGCATCGAATTATACTTGTACAACTATTGCGTCCTCTTGGTGAACTCATGGCAACAACCAACATTCCTGACAGCGTTTTCCAGCAGGTTGCGTACCTCCGCGAGCGGCTGAACCATCACAACTACCGCTACTACGTGCTGGACAGACCGGAGATCAGTGACGCGCAGTACGACGAGCTGATGCGCGAACTGCGTGCCATCGAAGCGGAGCATCCAGAGCTTGTAACGCCCGATTTCGCCTACGCAGCGAGTAGGCGCGGCGCCTGCTGAGGGCTTCACGCAGGTGGCGCATCCGCGCCCGATGTTCAGCCTTGGCAACGCATTTGACACGATGAGTTCATGGCATGGCACCAGCGCGTTTCTGACTTGCTGGAGGGCGAAACGTTCGATATGGTCTGCGAGTTGAAGTACGACGGACTCGCCGTGGCACTCACCTACGAGGACGGCGTGTTCGTGCGCGGTGCGACTCGCGGCAACGGCACAGTCGGCGAGGATGTGACGCTCAACCTGCGTACCATCAAGAGCATTCCGCTGCGCCTGCTGAGTGAAGATGTTCCTCAGAGACTAGAGGTGCGCGGCGAAGTATATTTCCCAAAGTCGCTGTTCGCCAAGTTCAACGAAGAGCGCGCCGCTCGTGGCGAGCAGACTTACGCCAACCCGCGCAACACGGCGGCAGGCTCATTGCGCCAGCTCGACCCGCGCAGCACCGCAGAGCGGCCGCTAGACATCTTCATCTATTCACTGGGATACGCTGAGGGCGGCGACATGCCCGCCTATCACTGGGAGATGCTTCAATACCTAAAGCGACTTGGTTTCAAAGTCAGCGCCGACAGCCGCCGCGTACAGACTCCGGAAGATGCGATAGCCTTCTACAAGCACTGGGTAAAGAACGCAGAGGAGGACTTGGACGCTGCTGCCGACGGTGTGGTCGTGAAGGTGGACAATCTTGACTACCAACGGCATCTTGGCGTCGTGGGCAGGGAGCCGCGCTGGGCGGTTGCCTATAAGTTTCCGGCGGTGCAGGAGATAACCCGGCTGCTGGACATTCGCGTCAACGTGGGCAGGACTGGCAGTATCAACCCTTACGCCGTGCTGGAGCCCGTGAACATCGCGGGCGCGACTGTCAGGCAGGCGACGCTGCACAACGAGGACTACATCCGCGGCAAAGATCTGCTCATCGGCGACTGGGTTGTCGTCGAGAGGGCAGGGGAGGTCATCCCGCAGGTCGTCAGTGTCATCGCCGACAGGCGCGACGGGAGCGAGCGTGATTTTCGTATGCCCGCAGCCTGCCCAAGTTGCGCTGAACTCTGTGGTCAGCCCCGAAGACGAGGCGATGTCATACTGTGACAACGCTTCCTGCCCCGCGCAATTGGTGCGTCTGCTGGAGCACTTCGTCAGCCGCAGCGCTATGGACATCGAAGGCATGGGCATCAAGTGGGGCGAATTTCTGATTCAGCAAGGGCTGATTAAGGATGTCGCAGACCTCTACTACCTTGAGCCGGAACATCTGGCGCGACTGAACCTGCTGGACGCAATTGAAGCCGCCAAAGCCCGCTCGTTCGCCGATGCGCTCGCCGCCGCCGGCATCCCAACCGTAGGCAAGAAGTCCGCCAGCATAATCGCCGAACGCTTTGGCAATATGAGCGCACTGTCAAGCGCAAGTGAACTGAATGTCGGGGAACTCAGCGGTGTGAGCGCGCGCACCGCATCCGCGATATTCGCACACTTCTCCGAACTGCGCATGCAGCCGCACTTCACCCGACTAGGCTCTGATTTCTTGGGGAACGGACTGATTGACGTGCAATCAGATCTGTTCTATGTGAACAGAAAGCACCTACTGCAACCCGAAATGCTGCGCCAGAAGAGCGTCTCGACCTGCTGTCTGCCATTGAAGCCAGCAAGCAGCGCCCACTGTCGCGTGTTCTGGTTGCGCTCGGCATACGGCATGTCGGCGGCGAGGTTGCCGAGCTGCTCGCCCGCTCATTTACGACTATCGACAACCTGATGAGCGCCGATGAGGAAGCGCTTACCGCCATTCCCACGATAGGTCCCCGCATCGCCGAGAGCGTGGTGTCGTATTTACAGAACGAAGCGAATCGTAATGTCGTCGAGAAGCTGCGCGCCGCCGGAGTTCGCCTCGAAGATGAACCCCGCGCCGTGCCGACCGAGCAGCCCTTCGTCGGTATGCGCTTTGTGGTAACTGGCAGGCTTGAACGTTTCAGCCGCTCCCAGATACAGGACACGATAAAGCAGTACGGCGGCGCGGTCAGCGGCAGCGTGAGCAAGAACACGGACTACCTTGTCGCAGGGGAAGGTGGTGGCTCAAAGCTTGCGGACGCAGAGCGCCTTGAGGTCAAGGTGCTGAACGAGGACGAACTGATAAGAAAGCTGCGCGATAGTGGTGTGGAGCTACCCTAAGACGCCGAATCGGGCAGCCAGCCCCATGGACGCGGGCCCCAGTCAGGCGAGAATGCCTCGCCGTCCTTGACGGTAACGACCGGCACTAGCGCCTTGTCGCCGCGCAACGTGTTGCCTTCCGTGTCGTTGAACAGCCAGTCGCCCGTCTCTTCTCGCAGCACGCTGATGTCGGCGGGCCTGCCCACTGCCAGCGAGCCAAGCGTGTCCTCCATGCCGAGCGCACTTGCCGGATTTGCGGTCGTCATGCGTATCACATCTTCTAGCGAGAAGCCCAGCGCCATGAAGCGAGCCAGCATCTCGGTCATGCTATGCACAGTGTTCACACGTCCCGGCGGAGTCATATCCGTGCTGATGCTGCGCGGGTTGACGCCCTGGTCGAGCGCCGCCTTCGCCACATCAAAGCTGAAGTTCTGCCGCCCGTGCGCCGTGTCGAGGAACACTCCCCGCGCCTGTGCCTCCAGTATTTCGGGTATGACCGTGCCACTGTTGTCGATTATGCGTCCCGGATTGCCGCTGAACAGGTGAGTGATGATGTCGCCATTGTCCAGCAGAGGCAGCAGCTGGCGCGTGATGGTCGGTTCTGTCCCATCTCCATCCGCGATGCTGCGGTCGCCGATATGCACCATCAGACGGACGCCGCCCTCGGTCGCAGCCTGCTTCGCCAGCCGCACCATCTCCACGCCCATGCGCGGCACGCCGGGTCCGACGGCGCGAATCTTCACGCCCTGAATCAGTGGCCTGTTCGCTTGGATGACGCTCACTGTTTCTTCGACGTCGATGTCTTCGCGGCGCGAGGTGTCTGGCTGGTAGCTCAGGCCCACGCGCGAAATATGCAGCATGCAGAAGATGTTCGTCTTCGCTCGCGGCACGACATAGTTGGGGAATCCGCCGAATGTGTAGCAGCCTGCGCTGCCAGCGTCCAAGACGGTCGTTACGCCTGAGCGCACGCCCGCGAGGTCGGGGTTGATACCGTTCTGGTTGATGCCCTCGTACACATGCGTGTGCAGGTCAATCATCCCTGGAATGACGATGTTGCCGTCCACATTTATGACGCGCGCTGCGTCTGACGGGTCGATGTCTGGCGCGACCGCCGATATGACGCCGTCAGTGACCGCGACATCCAGCTTCGCCCTGATGTCCTGCGACGGGTCGATGACCTCGCCGCCTTTTAGTAGCAAGTCTGTCATATCAGCCTCTTCCTGCATTCATTTCATAGTTGTGTGTGAACGGGCAATTGCCTGCGCCGTTATTCCTGCTGACGCAGGATTTCGCTTACTTCCAGCGTTATATCTGGCAGCAACGTAGGCACTATCCGCTGCCCGCGTGAATAGCGCCGCGCAGAGCGGTATCTGACGGTCACCGGGTCCAAATCGCTGAATGTGTCAATAAGCCCATACACAAGATTGACCTGCCAGACTTCGGGAACTCCCGCCTGCGCGTACTTTGGAATCTTCACATTCCTGTCGTAATCCACGCTGCTGTCAGACACTTCGATGATTAGCAGAACATCTTTGGGCGTAGGGTGCGAATCCATGTAGAAGTCATCTCTGGGGAGAAGAATCGCCAAGTCCGGCTGAAACACGGTGAGTTTGTCTAGTTGTATAGGATTTTGCACATTCACAAACACTCTATCGCCGATTTTCTGCGTGAAAAGTGTGTTCAGGCACATCACGCAACCCGCGTGGTAACTTCCGATTGCCGCCATCTCTACAATCTCTCCGTCAACGAGTTCTACGCGGTCCTCTTCGCCGAATATGCCGACGTCAGCCATCATGTAGTATTCTTTGACGCTAAACCGTCGCTTGGTGACAACCGAAGTAGTCATGGCAGCCTCCTGACCGTGGCATCCTATCCATTCTGCCCCATTCTGCTTATCCTCATGGCTTTGGGTATCATCTTCCATCTCTTGTGCTATGGAGTTGCAGGCTGGTTGCGCCGCTCACGTCCTCAATTGCGCTCAACCCCAAGATGTGTAAGCCGGTTATATTACCGTCCTCATCCACTTTTGCCATAATCCTGTCATCAGTGGTTTCTACCATAAAGCCGTCTTTGCCGTCGAAGGTAACCGACAGGAAGTCGGATTGTGCGTCCCACCAGACCTTTACATCTCTCTTTCCCATAACAACTCCCCCGTTATCCCCTCCATCCTGGACATCCATGTCAGTGTAAGCTTACCGCACAATGACCTCAACACGCTGCACTAGGTTGTTGCCCATGCCCTGCATCGTCCACGGCTGTGCGGTGGGCTGTATGTTGCCTTCTTCGTCGGTGGCGCGGACGGACAGGAAGTGCCTGCCCGGCTTGGCATCCCAGCGATACGACCAGTTGCGCCACGCGAAGCGCCCGACTTGCTTGCCCAACTCGGCTTTCTGCCAACTCATTCCGTCGTCTGTGCTGCACTTCGACCTTTGGTCACCTCAAGTCTGCCTGCCCAAGCCTTGCCAGACAGTGCAACCTCGCCTGTGTCCATCAGGCGCGTGCGCGTCATGAAGTCCGGTATGCCCGGTGGTATCATCAGAGCGCGCACCCGCATCGTGCTTACTGGCTCGCCTGGGATCGTCTGGCGAGTTCTTGTATCGGTATGTCTGCTCCATCTGGTAGCCGGTGAACGGCTCTGAGACCGCCTCGATGTCCTCAAGCCACTTCACGCTCGTCATGCCGTACCATCCGGGCACAACAAGGCGAATCGGGTAGCCGTGCTGCGGCTCCAGTGGCGCGCCGTTCATCTCATAGGCGAGCATCACCTCATCGCGCATAGCGTCGTCGATGGTGAGGCTGCGCTGGTATAGTTGCGCCTCACCGCCCTGCACGCCCTCGTCGCGCCCGGTGAACACAAGCTCGACCGCGCTCGAATCGACGCCCGCATCCTCTAGGATGCCCCGCAGCGGCGTGCCGGTCCACTCTGCCGTGCCGATAGCCTCTAGTAGCCATGGCTGGCTCACCGGACGCGGGTTCAGCCGCGCCCTGCCGTTGCCCGCGCACTCCATCGTAACCGGCATAGAAACGACTGGACGCGCCCTGATATCCGCCATTCTGAGGCTGAGCGGACTCGATACCAGTCCGCCGATGTCCAGTCGCCAAGTGTCTGCGTCAGCCTCGGGGATGTCGAAATGTATGAGTAGATAGTGCATGCCCGTGGGCGTGATGTCGTAGCGCAGCCCTTCGAGAGGCATGCCCCGATTGCGAAACGCAAGCGCAAGCTCCTCTTCGTAGTAGGTGTTCGTCTGGCTCAGGCCGCTACCGTCGCCGACTGTGCGAAATAGTGATTTCAGGTCTTCCTGTGTCATGTCTCACCTGTGAATGTCCATATATGCAAAGGGCGGCTCGCTTGAAGCAATGCCGCCCAATGTGTTTGTCGCTAGTTGTAGCTTGCTATCGCTCGATTGGAGCGCGGACGATGCTGCCGTACTCGGTCCACGAGCCGTCGTAGTTGGAAACATTGTCCAGACCCAGAAGCTGCGTCAGCACGAACCAAGTGTGAGACGAGCGCTCGCCGATGCGGCAATACGCGATGGTTGGCTTGGAGTTGTCAACCTTGCTTCCGTAGATGTCAATAAGCTCGTCCGCGGACTTGAATGCGCCGTCCGGAGCGACCGCAGTTGCCCATGGCACATTCGCAGCGCCGGGGATATGGCCGCCACGCTGTGCGCCCTCTTGCGGCAGGGCTGCGGGCGCGAGCAGTTCACCGCGAAACTCTTCGGGCGCGCGCACATCTACGAAGAAGGAACTTCCGCTAGAAGCGGCGTTCAGCACTTCCTCGCGGAACGCGCGGATGCTGTTGTCCGGCTCGGAAGCGATGTACCGCACGGAATCGTGCGACACCGCATCGGTCGTCAGAGGGCGTCCCTCAGCTTCCCACTTGGCGCGTCCGCCGTCCATCAGCCTTACGCTCTCGTGTCCGTATAGTCGTATCTGCCAGAAAGCCCACGCCGCGAACCAGTTGTTGTTGTCGCCGTACAGGATAACTGTCGTGTCGTTGCTGATGCCGGAGCCGCCCAATAGCTCCTCCATGTCCGACTTGGAGATGATGTCACGCGCGAGAGTGTCCTGGAGTTGTTCGGTCCAGTCCCAGCCTACTGCGCCCTCGATGTGTCCTTGGTCGTATGCGCTCGTGTCCACATCGACCTCGACGAGGCGCACGCCGTCATCGCCGCTGTGCTCCGCCACCCATTCGGTGCTTACGAGTGATTCAGGATGTGCATATTCAGCCATAGAAGAACCTCCTAATACTTATGAAATGGTTGCATAGTCTTGAATGTTTGAATTGAAATTTGCAACTTTTAATTATGCCCCTGCTTATGCAGAAACTGGCTTGAGTTTATCACTATGCCCAATCCTTAGTCCAATGTGTTTTAACAGATATATTTGCGCAAGCCTGTGCCCGTTTATGCCCTTCTTGCCAGCAATATAAGGGGATATTTGAAGACGCTCGGCAGCAGAATTTAGCGCATCAGCCGATTCATGCCGGCGTAACGGTCCGGATCCAGGTCCCGCCCTACGAGCGCGGGATGGCCCGGATCGTAGCGGTGGGAGCGGAAGGTGGCGTTCGAGTACTCCATCTTGCCGCTGGACGACGATTCGCCGTACGTGAAGAACGGGTTGATGTACTCCCACACGACCTCGCCTCGCGGCGTAACCTCGAAAAGGCGCCCCGGCGCGCCCTCACAGATGAGCGTATTGCCGTTCGGCAGGCGTTGGGCACCGCTGATGTTGTAGCTGTAAAATGAGATGTTTGGCGTACCCTCGTACTCCCAGTGGATTTCATTGGTCGTGGGATCAATCTCCACGATACGCGAGTAGCTGCTGCCGCGCCGGTGTCCACCATTGTCGAAGATCAGCACACGCCCATTCGCAAGCCATGTGGGGTTATGCTGGTGATAAACCTCACCCGGCCCCCACTTCCACTTGAACTCCCCGCTCTCGCGATCGACGATTCCGACGGTGCTGATAAGGCGATAGCTGACCAGCAGGTCACCTTCCGGAGTGACATTCAGTGTGTTGCCGTGCGACCATTCTCGGCGCGCATCCAGCGGACAAATGATGTCCTCGCTGACATCCAGATACTCCCAGGACCTCCATTCTGATATCGTCTCGCCGTCGGGCGTAACCTCGCGCACCACATCGCCGAGCATGCCGGGCGCGAAATCGACATCGAAGCCGCCCTGCACCTGCGCTACAAGATCGGCTGACAGCGGCTCCCATAGCAGCAGCAACGTATTACCGTTGGGCAGTCGTTCGTAGTCGTGATGCAGCATCTTGTCGCGGTATGCCCACACTACATTGCCGTCCCAGTCCAGTTCCAGCACGCTGGCGGACGAGCCACCCAGAGTCTCCATGCCGCCCGCGTCCTCCGGCGGAGATGTGCGGCATAGCAGGTTGCCATTGTCCAGCAGGTAGGCGTAGTGAATTCCCTCGTCCGAATGCCACTTGTGGACGACATCACCGTTCATATCAATCATGTAGGCGTCCTTGCCGCCGCGCGTGGTGGAGAACAGTGTGTAGCCTCGATAGCATGCTGCGGGTGTGTGGTGAATCAGCCCAATCGGATGATGAATTGACCAGCCCATTTGTCGTCCTCCGCAGGTGGAATCAGGTTGAGTTGTTGCGGATTATAGCACGGAGGGAGGATGGCCAACCCAATCTATTCTGTCGTCTCGTTCCTCGTTTCTTAGTCCCCATCAACCCTTCTACGCCAAGCCATGAACGCCGTTGGCAGCAACGCCGCCAGACACAGAATCGCCGCCACTATGAAGAAGTCGCTGAACAGCGTCAGCCCTGCCTCGGTGAGTTGCTGCTGCACCTCCGCGATGCGAGTCTGGGCCTGCTGAGCTGTCTCGCCCGGCAGCGCGAACGGAGCTCCTATGCCTGCTATCAGCGCATGAACCTGCCGGTTCCCCAAGCCGTCAGCGCCGCGATTCCAAGCGTCATTCCGACAACGCGCATTGTGGTTATCAATGCCGCTGCCGCGCCGCGCGCGTCATCGCCGACCGAATTCGTCGCGGCAAGCGCGATGGGGGCAATTAGCAGGCCGAAGCCGAAGCCCGCAGTAGCGAGATGTACTGTAAGCCACGGATCCGAGATATTCAGATCCCACCCGCTCATCAGCCAGAAGCCGAGGGCGGCGAATAGCAGCCCCAGCATCGCGGGACACACGATAATCTATGCGCTGGCAGGCGAACCCGCCCAGCACTGCACCTATCGGTATCGCTGCGGTCATTCGCAGAAGCATCAGACCGCCACCGAGTGGCGATTCTCCCAACAGGGTGTTCGCCATCAACGGTATAGTTACCATGCCGATTATCAGTGCTCCACCGATGAGCAGGTGCGAGGCATTTGCCATAACGAAGGCCTTTACTCGGAACATCGCGCGGGGAAGCAGAGGCTCAGCAGCGGTGCGTTGCCGCGCGATGAACAGCGCAAGCGATACTGCCGCAAGCGCGAACCACAGCGCCATCAGCGCGTCGAGGTCGTCTATTCGCGCTAGTCCAAGGGTCATTGCGGCGAGGCTTGCCGTAACGAGCGCGCCGCCGATGTAGTCCACCTTTGCGGGGATAGCGCGGGCTTTGCGGCAGCAGCACAAGCGTCAGAGCGATGATGACGGCGCAGAGTGGGATGTTCATCCAGAATACCCACTGCCATGCGAGATATTTTGTGATGACGCCACCCCACAGCGGTCCTATGACGCCGCCCGCCTCGGCTGAAGCGCCTACCAGACCCAGCGGTGTGCCACGGCGTTCAGGCGGAAACAGGTCGCCCACGATTGCGATGGCGATGGGCACGAGCGCGCCCGCTCCCAACGCCTGAAATACACGCAGCCCTATCAGCCAGTTGATGTCGGTTGCCAGCGCGACGCCTACCGAGCCGAGCATGAACAGCAACAGCGACCCGATGAAGGCGTTGCGATGCCCCCAGATATCAGAGAGCCTGCCGATGAGGGGCATTGCGGCGACGTAGCCAAGCAGGTAGCCTGTGATAATCCAGGATGTGTGGTCAAGCTCGGTGACCGTAAGCTTGAGGTCGAGCATTATTTCGGGCAGCACCGTAACCACGACCGTCTGGTCGTCCGCAGCCACGAACACCCCGGCGAATACCGCCGTCAGCGCTGCATAAGACCTAGCCCGTGAATTGCTCATCGCAAACCCCGTACATGGTGAGCGTGTCGAACCACATTCCCGCCATCCTGTACGTCGATGTTAGTTCCCCGGCGCGGCAATTTCTACCGGCTCGTCGAACTCCGACAGCGTTATTGTGCGCACAATCCCGTCCGCTTCCATGGGCGTGATGCGCCCCTCCAGCGTCGCCTTAGTCAGGTACAGGCTCGGCTTGACGATTGACAGGGTAACAGCCACAATGCTCTGCACCTCAGTGTCTCCGAATAGGGACGACAGCGCATCTGCGGTAAATGTGCCTCCTATGCGATATTCGGCGGCATCTTGCGATATGAGTGTGGCATCTTGCACTTGCGACAGAATCTCGGCGATGCCCTGCGAGGGATTGAAGAACTCCAGCGGGTTGATAGCAGACGCCGCATGCCATTCGCCTGACAGTGGATTGGTCATATAGACCTCATCGCCAATAGCGATAAGGCTGCCCTTTACCGCGAAACTGCCCGCTACGCCCACGAAGTCCAGCGCGAGCCTATCAGGATTCGCGACGCTGCCACTTGCCTCCGTGAGTGTCATGCCCTGAGCGAGCGGGGTGCCGCCCTCATCGCTATGCTCAATGCGAAATCGGAAGGACTTCAGCGCAGACATCGCCCGTCCGCAGTCGTCTAAGATCGCCTGTGGGTTGATAGGCGTAGGCGTTGCAGTCGGCACTGGTGTCGCTGCCGGAGAGGGATCGCTGCAAGCCTGCGTGAACAAAACTAACATCAACAGCAACGGCATCGTCAGCCATCGAATTAGCGCAGGCGTGGGCATGCTCACTCCAGTCCGAGCGCCTGGAATATCTCGAAGAACTGCGCCGTATTGCCCGGCTGATACCAGGGAATGCTGTGTATGATGCGCCCGCCCTTGTCCAGCACGAAAACTGCGCGAACCATGCCTTTGCCGTCATCGGTAAGCGTCCCGTAAGCGGTGGCGACCTTCAGGTCGGCGTCGCTCGCAAGCGGGAACGGGCATCGGCCGAGGGACTCGCTGAACGCGCGGTGCGATTCGATCGAGTCCGCGCTTATCGCTATGACCTGGGCGTCAAGCTCTTGGATGGTGTCGTACTCGCCTTGCAGCGCGCTCAACATCTGCGTGCAGCCCGGAGTCTTGTCTTCCGTGTAGAATGCGAGCACAATTCGCTTGTCAGAGGCGACCGTGCTGAGCGTAATGTCGCCCGTCGTGCTTGAGAGCGTAAAGTCTGGTGCAATATCGCCAATTCCTAGCGTCTTCATCCTGCCCATCCTGTATATCGATGTTAGCTCTCACAAAGCGCAAAGACTCCACCCACTTTAAGCGGATGGAGTCTTTATTAAGATCTAGAAAATCGTTTGAAGGCGTTATGCCCTTGCGCTGAACCTGCGCTCCCTGTACAGCATCGCGCCACCACCTATGAGTAGCATCAGAGCCACGAAGAGCATGATCTGCATCGCTGCGGGCACGTAAGTGTCGCCTGTAGCAGGAGTTACTGCTGCTGTCGGCGCCGGTGCCGGCAATGTGAACGTAGCCATCTTCTGCGCCTGCATGTAGGCGTCGCTTGCGCCGCCCATGCCGGAGGCTTCAATGCCGTCGGCTGCTGCCATCAGCTTGCCGTTGACGATGTTAAGCAGCGTCTTGGCGGTGTCGAGGTTGTCCTCGGCCATTACCGCAGCCGCATCATCCTTCGCAGCCGCAGCCCAAGCCGACACGTTTCCGCCAGATGCCAGAACCATCTCGGAGTACTGGCCGACCATCTCTGCGCCCGGCGCTGCCGTAGCGGCAAAACCGGCGTGCTCGGTAGCTGCTGCCAACGCTGTAATGCCGCCATCGGCATCTATAATGGCTACCGCCTCTTCTGTGGCGGTTTTGAGGGCTGCGATGCTGTCAGCGGCCTGCGCCTCGCTGACCTTCATCATTGCCATATCAACCTGCGCTTGCAACTGCGTCAGGAATCCGGTGTCGCTATTTGGCGCCGCGACCACGAGGTGGCGGATGTGCGTTATCGCTCCACCCGCAACGGTGTCGGAGAATGCGATCACGCCGGAAGGAGCCGCGTCGTCGTCAGGCACAGGCTCCACGGTGATTACGGCGGTGTCGTACATCCCCAGTAGGTTGGAGCCGTCCGGTGAAGTCCATGAATGGCTGATGCCGCCGCCGGGTACAACCGTCAGAATACCAGTGCTGACCTTGTCATCGGAGCCGCTGTTGACCAGCCAACCCTCGTAAGCCATACCGGCTTCCAGCATCGAAACGCCGGACATGGAGAAGGTGACCCTGTCGCTCATTGCGCCGGCGTCAGAAATGACGGCGGTGCCGGAGCCACTGTAAGAGTCCTCCGCCTGCGCAACCGCAAATGGCAGCGTCATCAATAGTATGAGACCTAGTGTTATTAGAAGCTTAGACATAGACATGCTAAGTGTCTTTCCTCCTTGCTTGATGTGATTCGATGAACCTTGACCAATTACAAACATTACCACAACCTAGTGGAACATAATAGACTTTGTGAGTATAATTTTTGTTCTTTTATCAGATTTGTACAATACATTGTAGAGCGCAACGAAATCCAGTCTGCTGCCCGACGCTCATGATACCACACTGATATGTTTTGGTATATCTGCGTCACTTTGACCGCCGATATTATAACCCAATGATACGCTGCTAGGCTACACTTTTACGCGCGGATGCGCAACCGATAATCAAGGAAAACTATATGACCTCTTTGAGCTGATATCCAGTCGGATCGATGTGCGCTCTCATGCGCCTACTTTGATTGGTTGCTTCGGGACATCCCCTGACAGTATCTGAGCAAGTAGCTCAGGCAGGCTGTGCGGCACGAATGTCTCGGTCTTCCTGTTAGCGATAAGCTCGGGAGACTCCACCAGCGTTGTTCGTGATATACTGCATTTCCAACTCGTCCGGCGCTGTCAGCACAGCCTCGAACTGACGGCGCCCGCAGCAGGTAGTACCACTCGTCGGATTCTATCCATCTGTCTTCCCACTGCCAGGTGTGCCGCCGCGTCCAAATGCAAGGTCCCAACTCGGCGCGGTGTAGCCCTGTCTCCTCATACAGTTCGCGCAGCGCAGCATCCTCGCGCGTCTCATCAGCGGTCAAGCCCGCCGCCCGGTGTAATCCACAGGCGTATGTCAGGCCGGTCCGGTGTGGTGACGCGCATTAGCAGCACGCGATCGCTGTCGTCAATTAGCAGCACCCTTGCCGCCGGTCGAAAGTCCGGCTTTCCTTGCTCCCGTTCTCGTCGTTTCTCGGCATCGCTTCAGGCAACGCCTAGCCCGACTTCTTTCGCAGCGCCGCCAGCACCTCGTTCATGCTCCCGAGCGGAAGCCCTGCAGGTCGAGCGTTACATACGAATAGCCAATCTCGCGGAACTTTGCGCACAACCTGTTCGCGTACCGCCTCATCCGTCAGCGTGATGAAGTCCTGCGGCTCCACCTCGATGCGCGCCACTGTGTCGTGATGGCGCACTCGCAACTGGCGTATGCCAATGTCGTGCAGGTACTCTTCGGCCTGCGCGATGCGTGTCAGCGCCTCCACCGTGACCATTGAGCCGTATGGGATGCGCGACGACAGGCATGCCTGCGCCGGCTTGTCCCACGTGGGCAGGTCCATATCCTTCGACAGTTCGCGGATCTCAGGCTTGGACAGGTCCGCTTCCACCATTGGGCTGCGTACGCCGTACTGCTTTGCCGCATTCAGTCCCGGACGAAAATCGCCCAGATCGTCCGTATTTGTGCCGTTGACGATGCTGTTCCAGCCCTCTTCCTCTGCGTAGCTGCTCAGGTAGGTGTACAGCTCGTCCTTGCAGAAGAAGCAGCGGTTGGGATTGTTCTCCGCGTAGTCCTCGCGCTCGACCTCATGCGTCTCGACTATGCGGTGGTGAAAGCCCAGCCGCTCCGCAAGCTCGATTGCTTCCCTGAGTTCGGACGGCGCAAGACTCGGCGACTTTGCGGTAACGGCGAGCGCCTTGTCACCCAGCACGTCGTGCGCTGTGAACGCAAGAAACGCACTGTCAGTCCCGCCCGAATACGCCACAATCACCGATCCCATATCGGCAAGGATCGACTTCAGCGTATCCATCTTCTCTTCAATTGTTCTTGTAGCTTCAGCCTGCATCGCCATATCTATCTCCCAGTCCCTTCCCATAAGTTGGGGGAAGGTTAAAACCTCTCCTGAGCCTGCCGAAGGGATAATGGGCGGAGAAACTCCTCCCCCCATCCTGTCCATCGATGTCAGTTTGCGTCTTACTCCGCCATCAACGCCTCTACTATAGCGTGCATCTCATCCGAGTAGTGCTGATAAGACCTGTTCTGATACTGCAACAAACACTGCGATTCCTCGGTGTCGTACCAGTCCACCCAGCCAGGCGATTCACGGTAGTCCACATCCTCGAACGGCGCCCCCATGAAGCCGTAGAAGTCGCGCGCATAATCCTCACCGTGCATCTGCCACGTGGGTCCGCCCGCGATATTGAGCACCTTGTTTGCGGCTTCGGGTGCGCCTACTGAGGCGAACAGCGCGTCCACCACATCGTCCCGATGCACCATCTCCACGCGCTGCTCGGCAACGAACGGCCACGGGCTTGGCGGCTCCATAAACGCCGGCACCATAATGCCCGCTATCCGCATCGCAATCCAGTTCAGCGACGACTCGCGCACCATGCGCTCGCCCACAATCTTGCTGTCTGCGTAGATGTCGATCGCCGACTGCGGGTGGTCAACGCGCACCGGTGGCTTTTCGTCCATCGTGTTGCCGTAGGTGCTGATGGACGATGTGAAAATCAGCGTCGCGTCCTGCGCGCCCGCTTCCATCGCCTTGATGATGTTCTCCGTGCCGCCCACGTTCACCCCGAATGTGCGATCGCGGTCCCGCTCGCTGTTCGGTGGCAGCAGCGCCGCAAGATGCACCACCGAGTTCACGCCTTTGAGAGCATCTGCAACCTGCGCCGCGTCCGTGATGTCGCCCTTGACTATATCTATGCCGTCTCTGTCTTCCAGTCCGTCGAAGTCCATGAAAGGCAGGTCGAATATGCGCACGGGTTGCCCGTCGGCCACCAGCTTTTCCACCAGCATGCGGCCCACGCTTCCCGCGCCTCCCGTAACAAGAACCGCCCCACTCATGTGAGCGTCACTCCCTTCATGCCTGCCTTCTCGATCAGGTTCTGCGACGACGAGATGAGCGTCTCTATCGCCGTGCCGAAGCTGTCCCAATCCTCGGACTGACGCAGTGCAAGAGCTGATTCCGACTCGCGCACGACGGCGCGGGCTGCCGGTACGCTCGGCATCGTCTTGAAGAAGAATGTGTCGCTGATCTCGTCGAACTTCTCCAGTATTTCTACTATCGAGATCTCCCAGGTATCGTTCACCGTACCGAGACCGTCGGCTATCTGCTGGCAGTTAGTTATCGACTCTTCAAGGAGTTCCTGTCCGGACACTGGCATATCACTAAACCTCCGAGTGTTGTTTTTGCTTTGATGCGCTTCATGCCGCCTAGCTACGGCATTGAACTCTGTGCTTAAATCGCCATTCCTGCCATCGCATGAATGGACGCAATTGACGCTTCATATTGTGCCGTCCAATCGCGCGTGCGTCAAGCCTGCCGCACAAGAGCCAAGCCATTATTCCGCGCGCTTGAAACTTGCCGCTCAACCCAAAGGGGACGCTGCCCCGCTAGAAACAGCGTCCCCCGTTCTAATGCCTGTGGCTATGCGCCGTGATGCCTATTCGTCGTCGTCGGCCGGCTGAAGCTCCCTGATCTCCACTTCCTCTTGGTGACCGTTCGTGGAGTGGTCATAGTGCCTCTTCACGCGGTCGAAGTCAACAACGTCGTTGCGCGCGAAGCCCTTGCCGTCGTGCCTGTCATACGGGAACGGCTGGAACTTCTCGAAGCGCTCCTTGAACCGCTGGCGGCTGGGCCTGCGGTCATACGGGAACTTGTGCCTCTCCGCGGACTGCGGCTCGACCTCGATCAGCGTGTAGTCGCGGCTGCCAAGACCGATCTCGTGACCGGTGTTGATGCTCGCAACCTCGCTCTGACCGTGGAAGGTCGCTGCGGCGGCTTCGAACTTGTTGTCGCCCGGATGGTGCGCTTCCATCATCTCGACCGCTGAGCCCGGCATGCCCGGCGACTCCTTCGCCTTGTCAACGCACGCCATGTCGATTGCGACGGCGTCCGTGCTGGCGAACACGCCCAGATGCGGTACTATCGGCACATCGGAATGGTTGCCGCAGTCGCACTTCGGTGAGACGTCGATAGCCAGGTTGATGTAGCCGACCTTGTCGCGGCCTACTGCCTTCTCAACGCCCAGGCAGGCGTCGGCGATGGCGACATCGACCGCGTCGAAGTTGACGGGTGGGATTTCGGCGAGACCTCGCGGTCCCATAACGCCGAAGCAGCCCAGGCAGGTCGTGCAGCGTTCGCGGTCCCACTCAAGCTCGTCCTTCTCGTTGATGTGATACAGGTCGAACGGGCAGCAGTCCTCTAGAATCTCCCAGTCGGGCGTGTTCTCCTTGCCCTGGAAGCGTTCAGGATGGAATATCGCCGCCGCGCCATAGCCGTAGTTCGGATGTCCGCCCATGTGGACGTTCAGCTTGCCGCGCTTCGACTGTGCGCCGATGCCGAGGTTCTTCAGCGCGCCGCCGATGACGCCCATGCCGTGACCCTTGAAGTGGGTCAGCGCGATGAGTACGTCCGCCGCTGCGATCGCCTGCGCGACATATGCTTCCTTCAGCAGGTAGCCTTCAGGAATGTCAACGCGGAAGTCGCTCGTGCCGATGAAGCCGTCCGCGCAGATGAACGGGCAGCCCAGCGTCGCCGAGTTGTAGCCGTTGCGCTCTGCCGTCAGCAGAATGTCCAACTCGCTGGAGCGCGAACCCCATGGCGAGTAGGTGGAGGTCGTCGTGTCGCAGACGAACGGTCGTCCGCCCAGCTCCTTGATTCGGTCGGCGAGCGCCCGCGCATAGACGGGTCGCAGATACGCCGTGTTGTTCCACTCGCCGCAGTGAATCTTGATAGCCACAATATCGTTGGGCTTAATCATTTCATCAAGCCCGGCGGCATCAAACACCGTCGTCATCTTCGCGACGAGGCTAGTCTCCGTGGATTCCGAATGGGCATCCATATAGAAAACTTCGGATCTTGCCATATCTACCCTCCCAGTTAAATTCGGCTGAAGGGCAAGACGCCCCATTGCCATGCTAGATATAAATAATCAGTGTGAGATTAGCATCAAGCCTAGCCTTTTGTCAATTGACCATGTGGTGGATGTTTTCGCCATGCACGGCTAATTTGAGAATGCCCATTTTACAATGAAGGCGTTCGTAGTTACGATACACAATCAAGAGAATTGAGGAGGCAGAACTATGAGCAATACAGCTTTTGATCTGAGCGGTAAGTCGGCGGTCATCACGGGCGGAAATGGCGGCATCGGACTCGGCATAGCGGTCGGACTGGCGGATGCGGGCGCCGACATACTCGTCGCGGCGCGCAACAAGGCGAAGACCGACGCAGCGGTGAAGCAGCTTCAGGCGCTCGGCGTGCGCGCCGTCGGCACAACCACGAATGTGCAGCACGAAGATGAGGTCGCCGACATGGTGAAGCTGGCGCTCGATGAGTTCGGCAGCTGGACATTCTTGTGAACAATGCGGGCATCGGCATCCGCAAAGCGCCGCAGGACTACACACTCGAAGACTGGAACCTGATCATGGACATCAACCTGACAGGCACATTCCTACCGTGCCGCGAGGCGTACCCGCACATGGCGGCGCAGGCGGCGGAAAGATTATCAACATTGGCTCGATGACCTCCATCTTCGGGCACGACCTGGTGATGCCATATTCAGCCAGCAAGGGCGGCGTGGTGCAACTGACCAAGAGCCTTGCGACGGCGTGGGCGAAGGACAACATACGGGTCAACTCGATACTGCCGGGCTGGATAGAGACCGACCTGACCGAGCCGCTTCGAACTGAGGAGAGCTTCCGCGAACGGTACGAGCTTATTTCGGCGCGCATCCCGCACGGACGCTGGGGAACGCCCGACGACATGGCGGGCACGGCGGTGTTCCTCGCCGCATCCGCATCCGACTATGTTACAGGCGTGTCAATTCCGGTGGACGGCGGATATGTAGCGTTTTAAGTGTCAGGCGGTCAGTCAGTTGACTTGGGCGGCTTTGCCATTGTGTCAATCTCCGCCAGTCTCACCCTCTTGCGAGGGAAAGATAATATGTCGATCCTATTCTCTGCGCGTATTCGGTGCGTATTGAGAATGTTACGTCATCTGCAGAGATCACGGGAACGGAAGGGTGCGCCTAACTCCCGTCGTCGTCAATCGGTGGATGCAGGTTGTGCCAGTCGGTCGCCTGCTCAAAGGCGTGGCCGATGCGACACAACATCGGTTCGGACAGGGACTTGCCTACGAATTGCAGGCTCAGGGGCAGCCCATCGCCGCTGAGTCCGCATGGCAGCGATATCGTGGGCGCGCCGTTGTAATCGTAGGGTACGGTGTAGCGTTGGAAGGACGTGCCCCTGTCTCCACTCATAGGGCCGTACATCTCTTCGGGAGTAATGGCGCGCGCCGGCCCCATCACGGATGGGCATGCGAGCGCGTCTATGTCGTGGAAAGCGTCGCGGATAAGCCCGTTGAGTTCGGCGCGGCGGTTGTTGGCGGCAGCATAGTCGGCGCCGGTTACGCCCGCGCCCATATCTAGCCAGCCTCGGAACCAGAGGCCATAGTCTTCGCGGCGCGAGGGGTAGTTCTCCTTGTGCGCGGCGACGGCTTCTGCAGAGCAGAGCACGGGCCAGGCGGACAGGTAGCTGTCCACATCGGGCATCTGCACCGGCACGATTTCCGCGCCCAACTCTTCCATAACCTTGACGCCGGCGAGTACCGCAGCGGCAAGCTCGGGGTCAACGCCGTCGGTTGCGTACTTCTCGTCCAGCCCTATACGAACGCCTTTGACGCCGCCGTCAATGCCCTCGAGCATGTCAGGCACGGGCGCGGGTAGTGATGTGGGATCGCTGGGATCGTGTCCGGCGATAGCCTGAAGCGCTATGGCGGCGTCGGCTGAGCTGCGGGTGAGCGGGCCAACATGGTCGAGGGATTCGGCAAGGGCGAGCACTCCGTAACGGCTCACACGCCCCCAGGTGGGCTTCAGTCCGACAGTGCCGCAGGCGGCGGCGGGGAAGCGTATGGAGCCGCCCGTGTCGCTGCCCAGAGAGCCGAAGCACAGACCCGCTGCCGTTGCCACGCCCGAACCACTGGACGACGACCCAGCCCAATGCGCGGTGTTCCACGGGTTCAAGGGCAGGTTCAGCGCCGGGTTGTAGCCGCCCATCGCGCCTTCGGTGAGGTTCAGCTTGCCCAGCGGCACTGACCCGGCCGCATTGAGCCTGACGACCACCGTCGAATCGAATGACGGTATGTGGTCGGCGTACACCTTACTGCCGCCCATAGTGCGAACGCCCTTTGTGAAGCAGAGGTCTTTGACGGCGAAGGGTACGCCGTGAAGGGGACCGCGGTATTGCCCAGCCGCAATCTCGGCTTCGGCGGCTTTGGCGGCGGCCTCGGCGTGGTCTGCCATCACTGTGGCGTAGCTCTTGTACTTGCCGTCAAGGCTCTCGATGCGGCGTAGCATCGCATCCGTAACCTCCACCGGCGAGACTTTGCCGCGCCTTGATGAGCGCCGCCAATTCAGTGATGGTCATGAAGTGCAGGGGTACGTCAGCCATTTGTTAGCTCTCCTTGCTTATAAATGTTGGCTTGTCACGCGCCTTTCGGCAGGCTCAAAACAGGTTCAGGACGAAAAAGGAAGGCTTGTCCAATTATCAGGCGCTCTCTTTTACGAAGTCGGCGATGCGCTCGCCTATCATCATCGTGGTCACATTGATGTTCGCGTCGTCATAAGCAGTTCTTGAATGATCGTAAGACTTCGGCGGTCGGCATAAACTGGAACGCAAGTCACTCGCGATCGATGACCATGATCCAACAGTCCCTGTACTCCCCTTCGTGCCACTCGTGCTTGGGCAGCACCTTGAACTTTCTGAATCCGGCCTTCTCATAAGAGCGAATCGCGCGGCAATTCGACACCTGTGGGTCGATGACAATACGCCGTGCGTCAGTCGATTCAAACAGGTACGTGATGAGCGCCCTCATGGCACGGCTTCCTATGCCCCTGTTCCAGTATTCCGGCTCGCCGATGAACAGGTCTAAGCCGTAGGTGTCGTCACCGCTTTCCAAACCGTACTCCGCGACATCCTCCACCGGATAGTATTGGATATATCCGATGGGCGCGTCCCCGTGTTCAAGGATGCACGGAGTCGCGCTGTCTTCGCCCGTTACCAAGGGGCGGAACTTTTCTCGTGCTTTCGCCGAGTCGTGTGGGTTGTCCCTGCCCTCGTAGAACTCGAGCACCCTCTCATCAGTGAGCCACTCAGACATCAGTCGGTAGTCTCGCTTATCGTCTCTCATGAGGCGAATAGCGAAGTCCCTATCTTGGATGAAGGGGAAGGCTTTGTCCAATTATCAGACGCTTTCTTTCACGAAGTCGGCGATGCGCTCGCCTATCATCATCGTGGTCACATTGATATTCGCGCGCACGCAGTCGGGCATGATGGAGGCGTCCACAACGCGCAAGCCTTCGACGCCGTGCACCTTGCCGTACTGGTCAACAACCGCCATCGGGTCGTCTGCGGGACCCATCTTGTTCGTGCAAGATATGTGGTGGCCTGTCGTAACCTCGCTCATCATCCATGCGTCCAGCGCGTCGTCGGATTCCAACGCCTCGTCCGGTGGCTCGATGCGCTCTTCGATGATGTCTTTCCATGCCTCGTGCTCGCCTAACTTCGTGCAGATGCGAATGGCTTCGCGTACGCGCTCTCGGTCGAACTCCTCCTGGAAGTAGTTATAGTCGAGTATCGGCTGCACACTCGGATCGCTGGCCTGCAGCTTCAGCTCGCCTGCGCCTACGGCAAGATCGAGTCCGATAATCGTTCGAATGCCGATGGGAGCCATGCGATCTCCGCCACGGTCTATGCGACCGGTGGCAAAGATGTTCATATAGACGATCATGTCGTTTTCGAAGTCCGAGTTGCTTGCGGTGTAGCGCAGTCCGAACTGTATGCGCGGCCCGAATGTCTCAAGATCGTACTCCGGCTTAGTCCTCCAGGTAACATACACGAGCGGGTGGTCGCGCAGGTTCTGCCCCACACCGGGCGCGTCCTTGAGCACAGGAATGCCCACTTCGTTCAGGTGGTCGGCAGGCCCGATGCCCGAAAGCATCAGAATCTGCGGCGAACCGACTGCGCCCGCGCTCAGGATGATCTCGCCGCCCTCGACCACGAACCGCTCGCCGCCGCTCTCCACATCCACGCCGGTCGCACGGTTGCCCTCGAAGACGATGCGATTAACCAGGCAGTTGGGGCGGATGGTCAGGTTGAGCCGATGCCGAGACAGGCTGAGATAGCCGAGGTTCGTGCTCCAGCGTATGCCCTCCGGGTTGTTCAGCGGCAGAGGCCCCACGCCAGTCGTGTCAGGCGCGTTATGATCTGGGCAGTCCGCGAAGCCGTAGTCGAGGCAGGACTCGTAGAACGCCTTGGACGCGCCGCGCCACTGCTCTTCCGGGAATCGGTGGCAGATGATTGGCCCGTCCGTGCCGTGGTAGTCGTCGCTGTAAGTGGTGTCCGTCTCCAGCTTGCGGAAGTACGGCAGCGAGTTCTCGAATGTCCACTCGTCGTTGCCCCAGGACGCCCAGCGGTCGTAGTCGTCCGGCACGCCGCGCAGGAAGATCTGGCCATTGATGGCGCTGGATCCGCCCGTTACCTTGCCGCGCGGCACCAGCATCGGCTGCGCCTGATCTGTGGCGCGCGCCGTGAACTGCCAGTTGTGGTCGCTCGTCATGATGTCGGTCGCGGACGCGTAGCCGTACTTGACCTCTTCGGGCAGGTCGTCCAGTTCGGCGTAGTCCGGCCCCGCCTCAAGCAGCAGCACTGAGGTATTGGGGTCCTCCGTCAGCCGCGTCGCAAGTATCGCGCCCGCCGAGCCTGCTCCGATGATGACGTAGTCGTATTTCATGATGTCTCCTTGTTCAACTGACAGATGTGTGGGATAAGTTAGCTTAAGATGCGTGAGAGTATAGCAGGCTTTGTTGCTTATCTCCCATCTCTGATAAACTCCGCCACACGCTCGCCTATCACCATCGAAGTGGCGTTCGTGTTGGCGCGTATGCAGTCCGGCATCACGGACGCGTCGGCAACGCGCAAGCCTTCTATGCCATGCATCCTGGCGTACTGGTCAACGACCGCCATTGCGTCATCGGCGGGCCCCATCTTGCAGGTGCCGGATATGTGATGGCTGGTCCTGACATTCCGCATCATCCAGTCGTCTAGCGTCTGGTCGGATGCAAGGTCGGCGTCTGTAGGGAACTGCCGATCTTCTATCAGGTCTGCCAGCGAATCCTTCTTCGCAAGGTCGAGACAGATATGGACCGATTCGCGCATTCGATTGCGGTCGAACTCAGTCGCCAGCAGGTTGTAGTCGAGGAACGGCTGGATGCGAGGGCTGGTGGTTCTGAGAAGTATCTCCCCGGCAGATTCCGCGAGATAGATAGCAGAGATCATCCCGATGCCAATCGGCTCAACATTCGGGTCCGTGTAGTAGAGGCTTCGCGTTGCGTACGAGAACGGATGAATGAGCATGTCGTTGCGCAGGTTCGATCCCGCTGCCGTGTAGCGCAGCACGAACTGTATGCGCGGTGCAAGGCTGTCCTGCTCAAATTCGGGCTTGGTTCTCCATGTGAGCTGCACCTGCGGATGGTCGCGCAGGTTCTTGCCGACTCCGGGCGAGTCGTGGACAACGCCAATTCCCATGCTCTGAAGGTGCTCAGCAGGTCCGACGCCCGACAGCATCAGCAGATGCGGTGAGCCGATTGCCCCTGCCGACAGGATAATCTCATCGCCATTGCAGATTGCATCTCGCCGTCCGCTTCGTATTCCACACCGGTCGCCCTGGTGCCATCGAAGATGATCCGGTGCGCCAGTGCGCGCGACACGATGGTGAGGTTCGGACGATCCCGCGCTTCGCTCAGGTAGCCGATATTGGTGCTCCAGCGAATGCGGTTCGGGTTGTTGAACGGGCAGGGGCCTACACCGGTCGAGTCGGGATCGTTATGGTCGGGGCAGTCTGGGAAGCCGTATTCGCGGCTGGCTTGGTACCACGCCTGCTGGTCCGGAAGCCACTCGTCGGGCTTGTAGCGCCTGACTATGGTCGGCCCGTCAACGCCGTGGAAGTCGTCGGAGAAGTCAGTATCGGTCTCCATCCGCCGGAAGAATGGAATGAGCTTCTGGAAGTTCCACTCATCGTTGCCCCAGGACGCCCAGTCGTCGTAGTCCTCCGGCACGCCGCGCAGGAATATCTGGGCGTTCACGGCGGAAGAGCCGCCCGTAGTCTTGCCGCGCGGAACCAGCATTGGCGGAGCCTGATCAGTTGATTTGGCAACGAAGTGCCAGCGATGCTCCGTGCCGAGCACATCTATCGCCGACTTGCCGTGTCCGTAGCCGTACTTCACATCGGCGGGCATCTCGTCCAAGATCGGGATAGTCGGGGCCTGCCTCCAGCAGCAAGACGCTGCGGTTCGGGTCTTCGGTCAGGCGGGCTGGCAATGATCGCCCCCGCCGAGCCAGCGCCCACCACGATATGGTCGTAGTTCATCTCATGTCCCTCCGCACACGGTGCATAACATTGATGCACAGGATAATAGAGGGGATGAACCGCAGTGGCAAGCGGTATCAGGCGTCTCTAACGCAGCGAAAGCCGAGGTTGCCTGTCGAGCTGTCGGGTGTGTTCGAGGTGCGGGCTGCAACTCTGTATCGGTTGCAGTACGAGTCGTGGCACAGATACGAGCCCCCGCGAATCGTCTTGGACGTCCCTGACGGCGGACCCTGTGGGTTATCGCGCGGTCCGCTGATGTGGCCCATCTCGATATGGAATGTAGGACTGAACCAGTCGCGCGTCCACTCCCACACATTGCCGGCGACATTGTACAAGCCGTAGCCGTTCGGCTCGTATGCGTCAACAGGCGCGGTGCCCTTGTGACCGTCATCTGCGCTGTTTTCGTCAGGGAACATGCCCTGCCAGATGTTGCAGCAGTGCTCGCCATCGGGGGTTAGGTCGTCGCCCCACGCGTACCGCTTCTGTGACAGTCCGCCGCGCGCAGCATATTCCCACTCTGCTTCGGTAGGCAGGCGCTTGCCTGCCCATTCGCAGTATGCGGTGGCGTCGTTCCATGAAATGTGGGTTGCGGGATGGTTCCAGCGCTGCTTGAGGTTTGAGCCGGGACCATCGGGCCTGCGCCAGTACGCGCCGTTGATGACCCACCACCAGGGAGCATCGGCGGCGGCTTGCTCAGCGGTGCGGCGCGCTTTTGCGCCCACGAACATGTGAAAGACAAACGACCAGCCAAAGCGCTCTGCGTCCGTCCTGTAGTTGGTTTCGCGCGCGAACCGCGCGAACTGCTCATTCGTTACGGTGTAGGTGTCGATGTAGAATGAGTTGACGCGGACGCTTCGCACGGGGCCCTCGCCGTCCGCTGGAAAGCCGCCCGGATCCTCGGTCCCCATGAGGAACTCGCCGCCCGGTACGAGCGCCATGCCCTCGACGCTGCCATTGGCTGCGCGCGCCACAGGAGCGGCAGCGGTACGGACCGGAGTCGATGGCGCTGATGGCATGCGCGCTGCGGCGCAGCATGGAGATGGTTGGTGTTGCATTGGGTTACCCTTAGTATCGCATTGGCTTCGCGAATCGAACTAAATTAAGCGGACGTTCACCAATGCTTTGTTTATCGCTCCTTGCTTTCCCGTCTCTTTGTCACGTTGCTATTCCATCAGCGCCTGATAGGTGGCTATCTGGAACTCGCGGCGCAGGGGGATAGTACGAACTCGGCATGAACTGTGTGAGCAGGATGGCTACCAGGTCTTCTTGCGGGTCTATCCAGAAGACGGTGCTTGCTGCGCCTCCCACGAGTAGATGCCGTTGGAGCCGATGATGCCGTGCTGCGCGATGTCCATCACCACGCGGAAAGCCGAGGCCGAACCCGCACCCCTTCGTGTCGGACGACATGCTCTGTCCGACGGCGAATGGCTTCAGGTCGTCCGCCAGATGGTTCGACCGCATCATCTCGACCGTCTTTGGTGCGAGCAGGCGCTCTTCGCCGAGTATTCCGCCGTTGAGCAGCATCTGGCAGAAGCTCATATAGTCCGATGCCGTAGATACGAGACCGCCGCCGCCGGAGAAGAGCGTGTGCGGCCTGGTCTGCCTGTTGACCATGGGGTTGTTGAGGGGCGCAATGCCGCCGCCGTTCATGGAAGCGCCGTACACCGTGGCAAGTCTGTCCAGATTTTCTTCCGATACATAGAAAGATGTGTCGGTCATGCCAAGCGGCGAGAGAATCTTTTCCTGCAAGAACTGGTCGAATGGCTGACCTGAGACGACTTCGACAAGATATCCGAGCACATCGGTCGCGTTGCTGTACCGCCATTTTGTGCCGGGCTGGGTCACGAGGGGCAGCTTGCCGAGCTTCTCAGCCATCTCCTGCAATGTGCTGTCCGGATCGGTGATATTCGCTTTCCTGTACATCTCCTCGACTGGAGAATCCTGGTGAAAGCCGTAGCTCAGTCCGGATGTGTGAGTGAGCAGGTGCCGGATGCTAATGGGCTGCTGCTGCTCGACCAGGCGTATGCCTGTCTCGCTCATGCCGTCGTACACCTTCTGGCTGGCGAGTTCGGGGATGAACTTGCCGACGGGGTCGTCAAGCGAGAAGTGCCCTTCTTCGTACAGCATCATGACAGCGGCGCTTGTTATCGGCTTGGACATCGAGTAGATGCGGAAGAGGGTGTCGCGCTCGACGGGCGCGCCGCTTTCGAGGTCGAGCACGCCGTAGGCTCGAAGTGAAAGGTCTCGCCGCGCCGCGCGAGCATGGTCAGCCCGCTGGCGAGCTTGCCGTCGTCAATGTAGCCTTGCATCATCTTGTTGATGCGGCTGAGTCGTTGGGATGAGAAGCCGACGGATTCAGGGAGATACGCCGTTCGCCATTTGCTGCTCCTTGCTCTTTACATTGGTGTACGGAATGAAGGGATTTTATCACCCCCATCCTGACCTTCCCCCATCGAGGGGGAAGGACTCTATGCCTGGTATTAAGCGACGCCAAGCTGCTCGGCCATTCGCAGCATTGCGCGGGCGGTCTGCTCGTGCGCAATGTCCACCATGTCGCCGCCGAAGGTTACTGCCGCGCCGCCGGTCTGGCGCATCTGCTCCATGGCGTCCACCAGGCCGCGCCACTCGGCGATTTCCTCTCACGATGGGGTGAACACTTCGTTGACGACCGGCACATGGTAGGGGTGTATGAGGCTCATGCCGTTGTAGCCGAGCCGCTTCAGTTCGCCGGCGTAGGTACGCAAGCCGTCAAGGTCGCGGATGTCGAACCAGCCGCCGGATACGGGGAACTGCACGCCGCCGCGCGCGAATCCACAGCACCTTGGAGCGGATGAACAGAGTCTCCATGCCCTCGGGCGTCCACTGGTAGCCGATGGAACGCGCGGTGTCGCCGCCCTTGCCGCCGCTGCCGCCCATGTGCGCGATGCGGTCGGACGCCATTGCGATGTCGTAGGCGCTGCGGATGCCCGCCGCCGTCTCAAGTCCGGGGTCGATGAAAATCTTGCCGACCTCCGCGCCCGCCTTGCGCTCGAAGAAGCGCAGCAGCACATCAACCTCCACCACATCGGCGGGGCACTGCACCTTCGGCAGCGTGATGCCGTACAGGTTCTTGCTCGTGATGGCTTCGAGGTCGAAGCCTGTCAGCCCCGTCTCCAGCGGATTGACGCGCACGAATAGCGTCTGGGTTGCGCCAATCTCTTCGATCATCTTGCTGACGATTTGGCGCGCGGCGTCCTTCTCCTGCGGCGGCACCGAATCTTCGAGGTCGAGGATGAGCGCGTCCGCGCCGTACTTGGGCGCCTTGCGTATCCAGTCCTCCTTGTTGCCGGGCACGAACAGACTGAGCGCAGGGGTTTTGCGTCGAATTTCATGGTTTTGCTCCAGTTGTGGTCATCAGTTTCTCGGCTGGTAAGATTTACGGATTGCTATATCACACCCTCTTCCTTTAGCCCCGCGATCTCATCATCCGACAGATTCAGCACGCCGCCGTATATCTCCTCGTTGTGCATGCCGAGCGTGGGCGCGCCGTAGGGTTCGGGCAATTCGCCGCCGGAGAATATGACAGGGAAGCCCGCGACTATGCCCGGCACGGGGTCGTCCATCTTGCCGTGCCTCATGGGAAGCAGGCTGCGGCGATCCCAGAAGTGCCGGTCGTTGATGGCTTCGTCAACGTGCGAACCGCGCCGCACGGCACATCCGCAGCCTCGAAGCGTTCCAACGCCTCAGCGCGTGTGAGCTTCTCCACGCGCTTCTGTATCTCCTCGCGCGCCTCCACCACATTCGCCGTGCGGCTGTGGAACTCCGCGAAGCGCGGGTCTTCGGCGAGTTCGGGCGAGTCGAGCGCGTTGGCGAGACGCCTCCACTGGTCGTCGCTCGCCGCCGTGATGGTCAGCTCGCCGTCGCTGGTGCGGTACAGTCCCGTGGGACCGCCGCGCGTGGTGTTGCCCATACGCAGCGGCAAGCCCATCTCGACATCGTCTTCCAGCGTGTCCATCAGCATGATGGAGGTCAGCGTGTCCATCATCGACACATCGAGGTACTGCCCCTTGCCGGTGCGCTCCTTTTCGCGGAGCGCAGCCGTGATCGCGTAGCAGGCGAACAGCGGAGTTACGAGGTCGCCGATGTAGAAACCGACACGGGTTGGGGGACCGTCGGGATGTCCGTTTATCTCCATCAAGCCGCTCATGCCCTGAATCTGCGGGTCGTGCGCGGGCCTGTCAGCGTACTCGCCCGGTCTGCCCGTAGCCTGATATGGAGCAGTAGATGATTTACGGGATTGACGGCGGAAACATCCTTGTAGCCCAGGCCCATGCGCGTCAGCGAGCCGGGCGCGAGGTTCTCCAGCATCACATCGGACGACTTCGCAAGGTCGAGGAACATCTTGCGTCCCTGCGGATGCTTGAGGTTCAGGGTAACGCTCTTCACACCTTGGTTGCGCTTCAGGAAGCGCGTCGATATGTCGTCGGGCGTCTGCTGCTGCGGGTGCTTGCCTTCCGGTCCGATGAAAGGCCCGTTGCCGCGCACCGGGGTCGCCCTTGCCGGGCAGCTCGACCTTAATGACCTCAGCGCCCAGCCGCGCGAAGTTCATGCTTGCGTAGGTCCGGCGAGAAAGCCCGTAACGGCGACTACTCGGATATCTTTGAGGGGTTGCATCTTGCCTCCAAGGAGTGGGTCATTGTTTCAGTCGGTTTATTTGCTGGTGGAAACACCTTCGTGGTATTTTACACCATTCCGATTATTGCGCTTGAAAGGCGGCACAAAGCATCAGGGCGAACGAATTGTATGATTACATCGTTCGCCCTGAACTTTTCCTAAGCGCGAGTTATAGCAGTCAGCTACGGTCGCTTCTGCGGAATCACTACTCTAGCGCCTGAGCGAGAAGTATCGCCGGTCCTCCTCCGGCGCGCCCGGTCCGCCGTTATCAACGAGGACGAGCTTGCCCGAGTCGTCGCGTGTTACGACGAAGCAGATATTCCCGCGGCGTCCGTATGTATCATCAGGACGCTTGAGTGCGAAGTCAAACTTTATCCTTGTCTCAGGGTATGCCTCCGCAATGGTTGGCTCCACTCCATCTATATGCGTTGCCGTCCGGAGGCGCGCCTTCGGCGGTCAACCTTAGCGATGCGTCGAATTCGCTACCATCGGTATTAGGACCTCTGACCTGGATGTCGATCAGCAGGTATTCGAATCCCCTCGGTGGCTTGTTGTTAAGATTATGTTCTTCGTCGATAATTTCCCAAGCATCGTTTGCCCAATATACTCTGTTCTCCCTGACCCTAAGAGTGAGTTCGTTTGCGTTCCGTAGGGTGTAATCCTCTCCGATAGGGACTGGCCTGTCCCAGGTGAGTCCAACTGGGTTTGGCGTCGCAGCAGGTGTCGGCTCGGGCGTTGGAGGAGGCGCGGGCGTGCTCGTAGGTTCGGGTACGGGCGTGCTTGTAGGTGGCGCGGGAGTAGGCTCAGGTTCAGGCGTGTTTGTCGGAGGTACGGGAGTCGGCTCAGGTTCAGGCGTGTTTGTCGGAGGTACGGGAGTCGGCTCAGGTTCAGGCGTGTTTGTTGGAGGTACGGGAGTCGGTTCAGGTTCCGGCGTACTCGTGGGCGGTTCGGGCATCGGCGTGTTCGTCGGAGCGCTGCGCCTCAGCAGTTGCTTGCAAGCTCGCTGCCACGACAGTCGCCTGAACGCCCGCCTCAACAGTCGCCTGTACATCCGGAGTTGGCGGGGAAGGTTGGGTCGGTGCCGGCAGAGGCGGCGGGCCAGGCGGCTCTTCACTGCTGCCACAGGCGAATACCAGCAACGAGAATGCTGCGACCATCGAGAGCGCGAAAAACTTCACCTGTTTGTCCTCCGATCAATGTAAAAGAATAGCAAAACAACTATACAACAGACGAAATGTGCTGTGGTATCAGACAAGTATCATTAAGTATTATTTCTCTTAGCATAAGCGTTGGTGATTGATCCCGCTGATGTTTGCCTCAGCCAACCTGGGCGATTGATGTGCTCCGTCGCGAGCAGTCTCTGCACATTCGCATCGACTAAACATTGTGATTATGCGCGTTCCGCAAACTCATCATGCGCGCGGTTGGTGACAGGGGCCACGGATGCACTCCGCACCGCTCCGCCCATACGTCGTATAGTGCAATCATCTCGTCGGCCTTGGGCGCGTTGGCTTCGACGAGGTTGTTCAGTTCTGTCCTGTCCTCGTCCATGTCGTACAGTTCCCAGTCGCCGCCGACTTCCGCGACCAGCTTCCAGTTTTCGATGCGGACGGCTCGGCTGCCCTCATGCTCCCAGTAGATAGGCAGATTGCGCTTCCACGCGCCCGTGTTGATGGCATCCAGAAAGCTGACGCCCTCGATCGGCGTGATGGCATTGCCGTTCAGTTCGGTAGGATACTGCGCGCCCGCTGCTTCGATGCATGTGGCGGCGATGTCGGAAATATGCGTAGGTTCGTGGACAATGCCCGGCTCCTTGATACGCTCCGGCCAATTCACGATGAAGGGCGTCGATATGCCACCCTCGTGCGTCCAGCGCTTGAACAGTCGGAACGGGCTGTTGCTCGCATTCGCCCACGGCAGGTCGTAGCTCATGAATGTGTCGCCAGGTCCCGGGCGCTGCCCCACGATGTTTCCCATCTTGATTGGCGTGCCATTGGGGTTGGGGCTGGCGTACTGCGACGGCTCAGGCCGCTGAGTGTCTTCGGCAAGGAACTCGGCGCAGCCGCCGTTGTCCGACAGGAACATCACCAGCGTGTTCTCCTCCGCGCCCATCTCGCGCACCTTGTCGAGTATGCGCCCGATGCCCTGGTCCATCCGATCTATCATCGCAGCGTACGTTGCCATCTTCAGGTCTTCCCAGTCCTTGTTGTGCTCATCCTGCCAGGCACCTGCCGATGCGTTGCGCGGAGAAATCTCCCACTTGTCGCTGAGAATGCCACTCGCCTTCAACTCTTCGTGGCGGTTGGTGCGGAGCGTATCCCATCCGTCGCGGTACTTCCCTTCGTAACGGGCTATGTCCTCTTCGTGCGCGTGAAGCGGCCAGTGCGGGGCAGTGTAGGTAACATGCAGGAAGAACGGCTTTTCATCCCCGCCGTTCGTGCTCGCGGCGTTGTTCGCTGCGGCGTTCTCGTCGAGCATCTTGACAGCGTTGTCCGTGATGGCGTCCGTGAAATAGTAGCCATTCGGGTCAAGCTCAATGAAGCGGTCGTCCTCCATCAGCAGGCGTGGGAAGTAGTAGTTGGCGCTGCCCGCCACGATGCCGTAGAAGCGGTCGAAGCCTCTCTGCGTGGGTATTGGATACTCAATGCCGCCTTTTAGTTCCTCCCATCGGCTGTCGTCGAGAAGGTTGTAGCGTCCGCCCACATGCCACTTGCCGCTCATATAGGTCGCATACCCGCCGGCGCGCAACGTGTCCGCGATAGTGGCGCAGTTCTGATTCAGGTATCCCTGATAGGAGTCCGGCCCGAGCGCGTCCATCATGTGCCCCACACCCGTCTGATGCGGATTCAGGCCCCGTAAGCAGTGACGCCCGTGACGGGCAGCAGCGCGCCGAGTTGTACATCTGCGAAAAGCGCAGCCCGGACGCCGCGAGCCTGTCGAGATTGGGTGTGCGAATCTCTGAGCCGTAGCATCCAAGGTCCGAGTAGCCCATGTCGTCCGCAAGGATAAGGATGATGTTCGGTCGTGTCATTAAGGCACCTCAGTGATTAGTTTGTCGTCATATCGCATTTGGATCAGTCTGTCTCTTGGCAGTCACCGTTTGTCATGCAGATCCGGAGTTCGCACTTCAGGAAGTGTCCGCAAGATGTCGTCAGGCGGTGTCCACAGGCCCAGCCTGCCCTTGCATGGTATCAGCGCCACCGGCTTGACATTCGTCAGCAGCCACGCATACGCGCCTTCGTAACGCGCGATGCATGCCGCGTCTTCGTCGGCTTCTTCCATCGGGCGGCATCCGTACAGCCATGCCACCGCCACGATGCCGCCTGTCGGCAGGTCCGCGTATGGCCGCGCGCTTGCGTGTATTGCGAGCGGCCCTTGATAGCGCGTGCGCCAAGTGCGGGTCTCGATCGTCTTTCGCCCATCGGCTATCAGACTTGCCCACGGCTGTCGCAGCGATAAAGCTCTCATTCTTTTCGTGCGCGGCGTTCCATCTTTAATCGGGGCTCATCATACCAGCATTGATGCGATGCGTGGGGACTATCCGCCGTCCGACAATAATGACTGCCATGCCCACTGCGACCCCACCAAGCAAGCCTACCAAGGTGCGGAAAGCAAACATGGCGATTGAGAATGAATCTTCGGGAGATGCCAACCCCAGGATGACATAGTGGAACGATAGGCTTGCTGCGGTTGCGGAGACCACCGCCCCAAGTACAACGCCTACAGAAGTGAGCATATCATTGGGGTGCTCCTGCATACGAGACCCGGCGACCGCAGCGACAATCGCGCCGGTGCCCGCGCACGCAAGCAAGACCGGCAGGTGTGGCGTTAAGTAAGTTGAGGAGAACGCCCCGCCCACGGGTGCGCCCCAGTCTGCAATAGGGATCGTCAATGCAGCGCCCATGACGATGGGCATCACTGAACGCAATGGCTACGAGTGCGCCGGCAACTCCGCTTGGAAGAGGCGCTGCGAGCGAAAAGCTGCTTTTCACCAAGCCAGCGATGGCTCCTATGAGTGCGGCGGCTGCAATAATTCCGCTGAATCTCGTGAGCAAAAAGCCATATTCGACATCATATATCTGAAGCAGTGCTGAAAGGACTACAAATGCAATCTGCGTCAGCGCAAGCAAGACCCCGACAGCCAATCCAACAAGCGCGCCGGACACAAACCCATCAGCCCGCTCCGGATCGAGCGCAAGTCGAATGTTCGCCCCTGCGAGGACACCTATGACCGCGCCGACCAGAATCTCCGCAGCAGAGTTGAATTCGACCTGATAGCGCCAGACGCCATCGACATAGTTCTGAAAAATTTCGATGCTACCGTCGACAAGCGCAATCCAGAAGCCGCCAAGCACGCCGATACAGGCGGCTGTGATTACGCTTTTGAGCACGGCGTTCTCCCGAGGCTAACAGGATATAATAGATACGCAGGATAAGGTATCGTTCGGTTGGTCAGCGGTCGAACCAGAAGCCGGAGAGGATGCCTGTTGCCGAGCCGATTATAGTGCTTATGACTATGCCTGAGAAGAGCGTGGCTATGACTCCGATAGAGCCGCCCACGATTACGCCCTTGATTACGGTGAGCGACAAGCCCAAACCTTCGTAGTGCCCTGCCCGCGCTCCCAAAACAGCGCCTACGATTACGCAGGTGAGGGCGCTTGTCGAGAGCACGAGAAATATGTCCAAGGGCTTATCGGCGCCTGCAATCGAATAAGCGATTCCGCCCACAATTGCGGCTACGAAAGTGCAGACGGCAGAGCCGAACAAGACACCTATGACTGCGCCAAGCAGCGCGTCTTTGGCATGTTCATCAAACATAGGCTCTTAGGATTATGCTTAGATGGACGCGATAAAGGGGATATTTTCTCCCCCAACCCAACCCTCCCCCAGAGGGGGAGGGAGATAAAAATTTCTAAGTCGTTACCGCGCCAACCGATGCGGACGACACCAGCTTCGCGTACTTGGCGAGAACGCCCCGGTCGTAGTTCGGCGGCGGCGCCGTCCACTCTGCGCTGCGCTGCGCAAGTTCGTCTTCTGAGAGTTGCACACTGAGGTCTCGGGTCTCCGCATTGAAGGACACGATGTCGCCGTCTTGAAGCAGGGCGATGGGTCCGCCAACAGCCGCCTCCGGAGCCACATGTCCGATGCACGGGCCGCGCGATGCGCCGGAGAAGCGCCCGTCCGTCAGGAGCATTGTCGAGTCGCCAAGACCCGCGCCCATTATCGCGCCGGTCACCGCGAGCATCTCCTGCATGCCGGGTCCGCCCTTGGGTCCCTCGTAGCGCACCACGACCACATCGCCATCCTTGATTTCTCCGTTGACAATGGCGTCGAAAGCGGGGCGTTCACCGTTGAAGACGCGCGCAGGGCCCTCGTGCGCCGTGTGTTTTGTGCCTGATACTTTGATGACCGCACCTTCGGGGGCAAGGTTGCCCTTCAGGATTACGAGTCCGCCGGTCGGACTGCGCGGCGACGATATGGGATGTATGACGCGGCTGTCTGGCTCGGGGATGTCGAGGTCGTCGAGGTTCTCTGCGATGGTCTTGCCTGTGACGGTCAGGGCGTCGCCGTGCAGCAGTCCCGCGTCTAGCAGCTGCTTCATCACGACCGGCACGCCGCCCGACTTGTCCATGTCGGACATCACGAAGCGACCACTCGGACGCAGGTCTGTTATGTACGGGGTACGCCTGCTTATCTCATCGAAGTCGTCTATGTTCAACTCCACCTGCGCCTCGTGAGCGATGGCGAGCAGGTGCAGCACGGCGTTGGTAGAACCGCCCATCGCCATCACCACGGTTATGGCGTTCTCGAACGCCTCGCGCGTCATTATCCGGCGCGGCGTGATGCCTCTTTCGAGCAGGCTGTACAACAGCGCGCCGGACGAATGCGCCACATCCTCGTTCCGCAGGTCAATGGCAGGTATGGAAGCCGCTCCGGGTATGGACATGCCCATCGCCTCGATAGCGGAGGACATCGTGTTCGCCGTGAACATGCCGGCGCACGCCCCCTCGCCGGGGCAGGCTACGCGCTCCATTGCGATGAGTTCATCGAGCGACATCTCGCCCGTGGAGAACGCGCCGCATGCTTCGTACATATCCTGTATGTTGATGTCCTGCCCCATATAATTGCCGGGCAGGATTGAGCCGCCGTAAACGAACAGCGACGGCACATCCAGCCGCGCCATCGCCATCATAGCGCCGGGCATATTCTTGTCGCAGGCGGCAACTACGATGAGGCCATCCATGCCCTCGCCGAAGGTAACGGTCTCGATGGAATCGGCGATGACCTCGCGGCTTACGAGCGAAGCCTTCATGCCCTCGGTGCCCATCGATATGCCGTCGCTGATGGTGATGGTGCCGAACATGAAGGGCACGCTGTTAGCGTCCCGCAGTCCTTGCTTCACCTTCTGCGCGATGCGATCAAGATGCACATTGCAGGGTGTAACATCGCTCGCAAGATTTGCGACTGCCACGAAAGGCTTCTTGAAGTCGTCGTCCTGCAGCCCCACGGCGCGGAGCATCGAGCGGGCGGGTGCTCTGTCCGGCCCGTCCACTACGACATGGCTCTTGTGCCGCAGCATCGATATTGTTTCAGTTGCCATAACTAACTCTCTTCTCCTTTTCGTTGTTGTGTTAATAATTTAACAGGATACACAGGATAGTAACATGTTAATCCTGAAGTCTATGTTATCCAGATTATATGCAGTTGACGCGCTCGTAGAATTCGCTCGCCAACCTGATTGCCTCGGCTATCTCCTCGGGGCTGCGCACACGCCTAGTGTACCTGCCTGCCTGACTCGCCGCGCCCGCGCCTGCCGAGCTATCGAACTCGACCTCTATCGCTATGCGCTCCTTCACATTTTCCAACTCCTCCTCAGGTCTGGTGGAAAACAGCATCGCGTCGCACATTGCGAAGTGCGTCATCGATTCCATCTGCGAGTAGGTGAAGAATTTGTCGTAGTCGGACGGCTGATGCTCTATGCCTCCGATGGTCGATGTTGTATTCGCGAACGGAAGATATGCCATCGTTGCGACTACTACGAGTATCACTACAATCAGGGCAATGGCGAGCGGATGCCTGACGCCGAATCGCAGCAGTCGTCTTCCGCCGGGCGTTCTGGCAGGCTGCGGCGGTGGCTGCTGAGGCTCCGGGGCGACTTGAGCGTCCTTACCTCTTCCCGCAAGAGACCGATAGCCCAGAATGAACAGGCTTATTAGCCCGATCACCGCAAGAACGGCTGCAAATGGACGCAGTATGCCGATTTGGGATGCTCGTTTCATGCTGACAGATCCGTTGTTCAGATACTCAGTGAATGGACGATACCACGATACGAGCTACAAAGAAAATAGGGGTACGTCAATGCGTACCCCTATTTTACCCAGATATGTGAGCGTGTGTTAGCTATTCAGGCTTGTGCTTTTCGATGAGCGCCACCGCTCTTTCGTCGAGGTCGACGATAGACTTCCCTGCATCGTAGTATGCAATGCCGAGGTCAACGTCGCGGTGGATCCTCTCGAAGTCGGGCTTGCCTTGCCATTCGCTTTTTAGCTCGGCGAACAGTGCTTCAATCTGTGGCCTTTTGAACATTTTCCCCTCTTGTTGGTAAGCTAGGGGCAACCACAAGGGCTGCCCCTACCAATCAAATCACCGCTAAAACTTTTACTCGTCGCCGCGCGTCGTGCCGCCCTCGTCGAGGATCTTCTTCAGCTCGACCGCGAAGTCCATGACCTCCTCAGTCGGAAGCATATCGTTCTCGAGCTTCTCCTTGAACTCCTCGAACAGCCACTCTTCTCTGCGGCCGTGCGGAATCTCGAAGAACTGGCGGTTGAACTGCGGCAGGCTGCCGGGCCCGAAGTAGCCCTTTTCAGGGATTTCGTAGCCTTCGAGGTTGTCAGTGCCTTTGCCGAGCACCTCGCCGGTGTCAACATAGTACTGCATGACTGAAGGTGCGCCGTATTTCTGGATCGGGCAGACCTTCATGCAGATGCCACAGCCATCGTAGCGAGCCATAACCGGTCGGCAGCGCTCGTAGATGAGCTTGTTCTTCTCAGCGCCGCGCCACCATACCTTTTCCTTGACCAGCGCACGACCCGGGCAGCGGTTCACGCAAACCTGGCAATCTGGCAGAAGTTGTGCAGGCCGTAGTCAACCGGCTCATCGTAGGTTATCGGTGCGTCGGTCGTGATCATCGCCAGGCGCGCCCTCGAACCGAAGTGCGGTGACAGCAACTGACCATTTGCGCCAAGCTGGCCCAGACCCGCCGCGACGAACATCGGAATATAGACGCCGCTGTTGTCGTTCGGGCTGTGAACCTGGGCATGGTAGCCAAGGCTGCGGATATAGTCCGCGAGGTCGAGCGCAAGCGCGCCCTCAATCTCGTATGTGCCGAAGTGGGCAAACTCAGCCTCAATGCTGGGGATGGTCTGCGTCTGGTAGTAGTCCTGCTCAAGCGCGAGGCAGATGGTGTGCTCGTACTTGACCCAGCGCTTCTTGCTCATGTAGGCGTACTTGTGGTCGAACTTCGTGAAGCCAACCTCGCCGAACCCAAGCTCTCGCGCCTTGAGGCGGATGACGGCGGTCATGTCCTTGCCGGCTTCAGGTGTCCCGGTCGGCTGAATGTCCCCGGTGAGCAAGGAGGCGTCCACGAGGGGCTGGTTAATCTCGTCGTGGCGCTCGCGATACTTCAGAACTTCCGCAGTATAGACCGTCCAGACCCAATCACGGTCCGCTGCCTTCTCAATGTTCTGCGACTCTACCGGATAGACCCGGCTATAGAAAGAGACATCCTCATCCCTCTTCGGGATGCCAGGTACGGTCGCCAGATCAATTGCGACAGGAATCTCTACATCGGGGTCTCCATGGAGTCTCCCCGGCCTCGTTACGACATGGCTTACGGTCTTTTTAGGAATTTCTTTAAGCATCTTTATCGACTACCTCCCGCAGAATTTTTGATGCTCAGGCGAGTTTACGCCTGTTTCAGACTTATGTCAAGATTGAATACTCAACATTTTTTAATGTAATCAATCGCACAAATTTCCGCAATACCTTTTCTAGCCCTGAACATAACATAATCCTCATTGCGTCTCCAAAGAGTTGAAGAGGATAATGCCGCATTAGGTGTATTCCGGAGCGCTCTGGCAGGCTTCCAGACCTGACTTACCAGGAAAACCACACCGCCTATTGCGATCACGCTGACAAATGTTATCGAGCGGTCGACAACCGCAATCGACACCGCTTCGGGGCGTCCCAGGCTCAATAGCAGCACGCCAATAATGCCCGACTCCACGAAGCCGACGCCGCCGGGTATCGGTATGGTGCTCAGGATTGCCGCGCTGAGCGCCGCGATGGCTACCAGCGCCAGTGGCACATCCAGCCCCAACGCCTGCACCACGAAAAACAGCCGCGCGACCTCCAGCATCCACGCTACGCCGCCCAGCGCAATGACCGTCGGCATCTGCTTCATGCTGCCTAGCGTCCCACTCTGAAAGCTATGAAACTCCGCCTCCATCCGCGAGGGCAGGAAGCGCGCGAAACGCCTTCCCCACATCTTCATCGCCAGCAGCGTGAACAGCGCCACTATGACGACTGCAAGTGTCAGCCATATCACAGTCTGCGCAACGTTCGACACCGATGTGGTCGAAAGCAGCAGGGCGCTCGCCACCAGTATAAGCAGCATGGAAGCCACATCCAGAACGCGCTCCGCAAGCACAGTGCCTAAACTCCAGGAGAAGCCACCCCCGCTGCCGCGCGCGAACAGCCACGCGCGATAGCCGTCGCCCATTCGCAACCAGGTGATTGAGTTGATGAACCACCCGATGAGGATATATGTTGAAGACGCCCGCACCGTCGGGACCTGACCGCGTGGCAGCGTATCGAGCTCGCCCGTATTCCGAGCAAGCATCCGCCAGCGCTGACCGCGCAGAATGAATGTCGCATAGTACAGCGCGAACGCCAGCGCGTAGAGCCAGATGTTCATGTGGGCTATCGTGCCGAAAATTGAGCGCCAGTCCGGATGGAATCGCGTTATCAGGAAATAGACGAATACGGCGAATAGCAAGAACATCAGCAGTGAAGGCAGTGAAAAGATGCGCCGCTTGATGAGCGTGGTGCCTCGCCTTTGTGCAGACGTCTCGTGGCGATCTTGTGAATCCGGTATTTGACTCATATTATGCGCTGTGGGCTCTGTAGGCTTTGTTCCCTGGCATTCGCAGGCGGAACATTGGCAAGAATAGCATAGCAGCCTAATTTACTTAAAATACTTAAGCGAGGCGCGTTTGGGTCAGGTCAAGGGGCGTTTCGCGGGCATTCCAGGGCGTCGGGGGTATCGTTCAGGCGTTGGGTGCTGCTTCTCAAGCACAACGAGAGCCCGCTCATCCAGTCCTGGTAGCGTCACCGGCAGCACCTCCCTCAGCCTGCCGCCCAGCGTCTCTATCGCCCCCTGCGCCTGCTCCAGTTCGTCGGCGATGTCCGCCTTCTTGTGCATCACCACGATACCGCCCACTCGCACGAACGGCAACGTCAGTTCTGCGAGTGTCGCCACCTCCGCAACTGCCCTGGCAAGCGCCATATCGAACGCCTCGCGCATCTCTGCTTCATGTGCTAGCGTCTCCGCTCTGCCCGTGCGAACCGATATGTCTTCCAGTTCCAGGGTCTCGGACAGGTGCGCGAGGAATGCCGTCTTCTTAGCGGTCGCTTCAAGTAGCGTGCCGCGCATGCCCGGGAACGCCAATTTCAAAGGTAGTCCGGGAAAGCCTCCACCGCTTCCCACGTCAATGAATGAACCGGATTGAAGCATTTGGGGCGACAACGCCTGCGCCGCCGACAGCGAATCGAGGAAGTGCCGTGATTGTACCGCTTCCCACTCTGTAATCGAAGTCAGGTTAACTCGCTCATTCCAGCGCGCAAGCTCATCGTAGTATCTCACAAAGCGGCTCGTCTGTGTTTCGGACAGGCGTATGCCGAGCGCCTTCGCACCCGTCGCCAACAGGTCGGCCTGAATTTCTGCCGCTATTGCCATACAATGCCCTGCAATGGAATCCCAGCCATTAACATACTCTTAACACATCTGATGAACAAGACGAATAGCATAGCACTTTGAACTAAAGGAGGTGGGGATATGCCTAACGAAAGCGGCAGGCTGGCCGGCAAGGTGGCGATTGTGACGGGCGCCGGGTCGCGCGGTCCCGGTGTGGGCACAGGCAAGGCGGCATCCACACTCTTCGCGCGAGAGGGAGCAAGTGTGCTGCTGGTTGACGCCGTGCCGGAGCGCGCTGAGGATACACAAGCATCCATCGAACAGGAGGGCGGCGTGGCGTCCGTGCTGCAAGCCGATGTTACATACGAAGCCGACTGCGCGCGCATAGCCGAGGAGGCCGTTGCCCGCTACGGCAGGCTGGATATCCTGTTCAACAATGTGGGCATAGGTAGCCCCGGCACCGTGGTGGATGTGGAGCAGGAAGACTTCGACCGCGTAATGGCCACCAATATTCGCAGCATGGTCTTCACCAGCAAGTATGCAGTGCCGCGCATGGTGGAGTCCGGCGGCGGCTCCATAATCAACATATCCTCGATAGCGGGCATACGAGCCGGCAGCAGCGGCGCGAGCATCCCATACGCAATTTCCAAGGCCGGCGTCATCGCGCTCACGACGCAGATGTCCGTGCATCACGGGCGCGATGGCGTGCGCGTCAACTGCATTGCTCCGGGTCCGCTATACACCCCGATGGTCGCGGGCAGGCTGTCGGAGGAAGGGCGTGACCTGCGCCGCAGAAGCACTCCGCTCGGCACCGAGGGCAGCGCATGGGACATCGCCTGGGCTGCGCTATTCCTCGCCAGCGACGAATCTCGCTGGATTACAGGCGTAACCCTTCCCGTGGACGGCGGCGTCCTCGCCACCACCCCGCTCTCGATGCTGGAGCATCTGAAATAGATAGCGTGTCAGTTGACAAATGCTGCGAATATCACCGACATGCCGATATACAGACATACTGATAAACTGACACTTCGACTTACCAAAACACTCTCGAAAGGGGAGACATAATGGCAACTTTCGTACTGGTTCACGGCTCTTTCCAAGGCGGTTGGATTTGGAAACCCACGGCTGAGGTCCTGCGGAGTCAGGGGCATACGGTGTACGCGCCCTCGCTGGACGGCTGCGGCGAGCGCAGCAAGCTCATACGACCGGGCATCACCATCGCGGCGCAGGGGCAAGAGGTCGCGGACTTTCTGTTCTACGAGGACCTGAAGGACATCGTGCTGGTCGGCACAAGCACCGGCGGTCTGGTGATATGCAAGATTGCGGAGCTTGCTCGTGAGCGCATAAGCAGGGATTGCGTTCGTGGACGCTCTTGCGCCACAGCCCGGCGAGCGCGTCAGCAATATCGTGCAGCGCGGCCCGAATGCCCCTCCGATTCCCACGACCGGACTGACTAGAGGGCCCACGCGCGAAGAGATGGAGAACCGCATGTTCGCCGACCTCGAGCCTGAGCTGCGCGCGTGGGCGGTTGACCGCGCAACTCCCGCATCCGGTAGAGCATCCGACGCGCCGGGCGAGCTGGATGCGTTCTGGGCGCAGGAGTGGCCGAACACTCGCGTCATTCGCTGCACCCTCAGCCAGAACCCGCCGGAAGCGCACCAGCGCCGCACCGCCGAGACGCTCAACGCTTCTGGCACGAGATGGAAGCCGGCCACTACCCAATGCTCAGCCACCCCGATGAATTGGTGGGCTTGCTCGTGTAGCGTGGTCCGTCGTGGATGGACAGGTCATAGGCGAGGGGCAGGTGAGCGATGACGATGACGAGCGCGGAATACAAGGAAGAGTGGCTGTTCAGCAACGCCTTAGTCGCCTTTCGTGGGCGCGCTGATGCTGACGCAGCAATGGCAGGTTTCGGAAGGGGCTGTCACATTCTTCTTTATCCTTGAACTGCCCGAAGCTGTGGGATATGCAATCTTCCTGGTAATCGCCGGATTCTTCGCGCTGTCGTTCTTCCTGGCTGTGGCGAGCGTGATTCCAGTGCTGCGGAACGTGGCGCTTCTCATAGGCAAGAAGGTGTCGTTCGCCCTCGACTTCGTCGTCTGGATAGGATTCATCCTGAGCTGGGCATCGGCAATCACCCAGCTATCCCTCGATCAGTGGTGGGCGGAGATGCTGCTGTGGGGCGGCCTTGCCCTGATCGTCTTCATGCTGGTGAGGATGGTGCTGAGGCTCGTGCGATCGTAGCGCGTATTGGCGTTCTATGCTTCTGTGTCATTTAGGGGCTGCGGATTTTTAGTGGGATGGTGAGTTTGGGGGTGTGGATGTTGGCGGCGGAGTTGCGGCGCATGTCCTCGTCGAACTTCGCCTGTTCCTCTTTGCTCAGCGGCGGGTAGTAGTAGTCGACGGTCGGGTCAGGGTCGTTTGGGCCGTACTCCAAGTGTTCTGACAGCTCGGCGGGGGCAGATTCGTCGCCGTACTTTATGTAGTTGGCGTACTCCTTTTCAGCGGCTGCCATCGCGTCTTCGTCGTCGGCTGCGCGGGCTTCATCGTACTCTTTGATGAGGGCGGATATTCGCTCTTTATGGCGCGTTCGCTCGGCTTCTTCGTTCAGGTCGAGCGGATAGGCGTTGTTGTTGTAGGCGTCTATGTGTTCCCAAGTTACCGCGTCGTAGTTGAGGTCGTAGGCGCGGTGCAGGAGTTCTTTCGCTGCCGAAAGGCGGTGGGCGGGCAGCCAGTCGCCTTCTGCGTCGTCATTTTCGGCGATGCGTATCAGGAGTTCGGCGGCGGCGATGCCGTCGTTGGTCTTGTCGCGGACGAGCTTGGCGATGAGCGTGTTTAGTGGGTCGCGCTCGTCGATGTCTGCGGCAGGGTTGTAGGCTGTGGAGTTGCGGCGCGATGGGGCCGGTTCGCCGAAAGCGCGGCGCAAGAGTTCTTTCGCGGCTGCGAGGCGCTCGCGCGGCTTGACCGTCTGCCGCGGTTCGCCGGTGAATGGGTCTTGACGGAATTCGCCGCCGTTCATGATTTGGCAGAGGGCGTGGACTAGGTTTTCGCCGTCGTCCGTGCGGTTGCGGATGTAGCGGGCGACGGGGTAGGCGACGATGTCTCTGAGGGTGGGAGCGGGGGCTGACATGGATGAAGGGGATGAGTCGTCCTCTGATTCATCATCCTCTTTTGGAGTGAAGGGTATGACATTGTTGTGGGCTTGTTGAGGGAAGCCGTATTTGGTGAGCAATTTGGCTGCGTCCATTCGGTGGCAGATTTTTATGGCAGTGGTCGGATGAGCCTTGCAGGGTGTCTGCAAGGAAGACGGCTATGGTATCGCCATCTTGTGTGAGTTGTGCGATTTTGGATTGTATGTTGTCTTGAATGCACATATCGGACGTCGGGCATCAGGGTTGAGATATAAGACTTATGTTCTATTATGAGAGTGAGTATTGAGTTTGTCAAGGGGGATTTTGGGGGGAAAGAAATATGCAGAAGGGTAGTTTCAGTCGGCTGGGCGGCGTTAATCTCGGAATGCCCATAGGTCAGTGGTGGACGGCACTTCTGCCGTGGGGTGGCTTGGCTCTGATCACCTTCATGCTGGTGAAGATGGTTTTAAGGCTGGTGCGGTCGTAGGATTGGCATGGGGAACGGGACGCAAGGCTTGGTTAAGTACGATAGATTAGCGAGAGGATTGCGTAATGGGTAAGTGCCCGCACTGCGGCAGCAGGAATGTGCGCAGGCGATACAGGGAGCACGAGCGTTACAAGTGGCGCTGTCGCAACTGTAACGGCATCTTTCGCGCTCCGAGGTATGGCGGAGCCCTGTGGCTGATTGTTGCTGCCGTTGTAGTGGTGGCTGCCAGCCTGTTCGCCGTGCAGCAAAGGATGATTTCGCTGCCCGAAACGCTCACGCCGTTGGATGAAGCAGTCGATAGAATATCAGAGGCCGTGATAACGGCTGCAACACCTGTTGCGACGATGATAGTAAAAGCGGACGGTCGAGCGCCTAAATCTACGCCTATTCCTACGAATTCAACGAGCGATGTAAGTAAAACGAAGAGGGAATCCCAACCACAGATAGATATTGAAGACTTGGAAGCGCTTACACATAATCTAATCAACGCTGAGCGAACAAAACAGGGCTTACGCGCGTTGAAGCACGACAGAGAACTGACACTAATCGCCAGAAATCATAGTTTGGACATGGCTAAAAACGATTACTTTTCACACGATAACTTGAAAGGGCAGGACCCGACAGATAGAGGCAAGAGTGCAGAATACGACTGCTTCAAAGACTATGGTAGCCACTACGCTTTTGGCTTAGCGGAAAACATCTATCAAGGAGGGCTGGTATCATTGACCACATACATAAACGGCGTTCCGTTCGACGATTGGTTTATACTAGAAGAGATAGCGGCAGGGGCTGTTGAATCTTGGATGAAAAGCCCCGGGCACAGGGAGAATATATTGGACTCTTCGTATGACGGAGCGGGGCTCGGTGTTGCCATTGCAGACGATGGGAAGGTGTACTTCACGCAAGTTTTCTGCTGACCAATTTCGGTGAAATTGCGCCGCGCTGACGGGCTTGCATCTATGGCAATTGTGATAGGATATGTGTGCAACGAGCAGTAGAAAGAACGACGCAATGATAAAGCATCTACTGGTGCAGATTGAGGAGCTGCCCGAGGGTGGCTTCATGGCTACCAGCGAAGACTTGCCCGACCTCATCGCCTATGCAGCAACCGCTTCGGAGGCTCTTGAAAATGCCAAGGATGTCGCGCAGAAGCTAGTCGATTCTTATCTGGAGCATGGCGATGCGCTTCCTCCAGCTTTCAGACCTTCCCACAGCACTCACAGAGAACTGATAACAGTGGCCGTCAATGGGTAGGTTGGCGGGATTCACTGCCAGGCAGGTCATTCGCAAACTTCGCAGGGCAGGCTTTGTCTTTGACCGCCAAGCCAAGGGCAGCCACGAGATATGGAGACATCCCGATACTAACCGTCGCGCAGTCGTCCCCGTTCATCCAGGCGACCTGCCGGAGGGACTTGTGCAGAGCATTATACGACGGGCGGGATTGACGACTGACGAATTCTTGAGGCTTTAGTCGGCGAGGTTCAGCCCAGCCGTCGCCGTTCCCGGTTGCGGATTGCGTACAGCGCCTCGTCGGCGCTCATGCGGCCTACTGGCCCTGATGCGTAGAGCGACCCAAGCACGGTGCCGCCGCGTCCCAGCAGCAACTCCGTGGGCTGCACGAATCCGCCGCGGTTCATCCGACCACCACGCGCCTAGCGGGTCGGTATCGGCCTGTGTGACCCGTAGGCTATCGGGAACTGCGCCCCGGAATCCTTCTGCATCTTTTGAGCGTGTTCAAGCGTGTCAACGCTTGCCGCGACCACGCTGCAACCCAGCGCTTCAAGTTCCTCGCTGTTCTCCTGCCACTCGGCCAACTGCCGAACGCAGTAGGGTCACCAGTGGCCGCGATAGAACAGCACAGCAAGGTAGCGCGATGGCATCTCCTCGGGTAGGCTCAGCGTTTTGCCGCTAATGAGGTTGAAAGTGAGCTTTGGGAGCCTGTCTCCTTGCTGAAGCTTCGACATATCTATATCAACCCCTCTGTGAACAACGCTCTCCCGAATCTCACCTTGACGGGACGGCCTGCTAGTTGGTGCAGGCTGTTGGATGTCTAGGTTGTGTTGACATTTCGAAGTTATCTCTCATTATTTCTGCCATTTCGAGTGAAGCGAGAAATCTAGAATCGGATATTGCCGCATGTTCAACGATTTAAGATTCTTCACTCCGCTGCGCTGCGCTCAGAATGACAAAGAGACGATGAAGGCACTGTGTTCAGAATGACAGAATAAGCCTACATTTCAGTTCTAAAACGCTTTGTGTATCAAATGTCAACAGAGCCTAGTTGTTGTCGTGCCCCTCGTCGATGTCCTCGTCGTCGTCGAGTCGTCCCCTTCTTCTTCGGACGGCTCCTCGAGGCGTCCACCGACCTCATACAGGAACTGCTCCACACCCGGCGCGAGGGAGATTGCCTCTTCCTCCTCCTCCGATTCCGGAGGCGCCGAGTAAGTGCGGTCGTAGTAGGTCTCAAGTTGCTGGATGAGCGCGCGCACCTCGGAGTTGTTCCGCACCGCGCGGTTTATCTCCGAGTACTGCTGCTCGCCCCGCGACTCGTCGGCAAGGGATTCTGGCAGATCGTACATTGAGCACAGTACATTCATAAGCCTTGCCGCGCCCATGTGATCCTCGTCGAGCTGAACATACTGCGGCAGGTGCGCCATCAGGCTTACCGACGGCATCTCCTGTTGTATCAGCGACTCATGCACCAAGTTGACGATGCTCGTGGGTCCCTGGTAGGTGCTCCCTCGGGACGAGATCAGTCCTGTCGCCCGTCGCTCCTGCTCCCGCGTGAGGCTGCCCGTTATCAACACAGGCCGCGTGTGCGGCACCGAGTCGTACATCCCACCAATTCGGCAGTATTCGGACACGCCGAAGTGCTGCAAGAGATTGACGATCGCATCGCAGTAGTCCTCGCCGAAGGCATGCGGCTCGCGGATGTGCAGGAAGAGGTAGTCGTGATCGTCGCCGTGCGCGTAGTGTACGATCGTGTTGGGAGTCGAGAAAACGCGCCGACCCTGCACCGTGCGCATTCGCGGGCGATAGCGCGTATAGTCGAAGAACTTGCCGGGCTTTGCCAGCCGTCCCAACTCCTGCGCGCCTAAGTGTCGTTCCAGTCGGTTGAGAACCAGCGTGCCCACGCGCCCCACATCAACCCACGGTCGCAGCATTGCGATTGCGCGCACATTGCGCAGTTCCGGGACCGGCTCTCGTATTTCGAATTCTCCAATTCTCATTAGTCCATCCTGACAGAACATGTGAATTTGTTCAAGTGTAATCGAGTCATAAAGTCTAAATTTATCAGTTTACAGCCCTCCGTTGCTAGGTTGCCAACCGCTCACTCCGGATGAACGGCTGCGTTGAGTTGATAAGTGAAGCAATGGCGTTTTACAGGGACGGGCAGGATGGGTACGATATGGACAGCAGCTTTGGAATATCAGGAGGTACAGCGATGGACGTTAGTGGAAAGATAGCAATCGTAACCGGCGGCGGGCGAGGCATAGGGCGAGGCATTTCGCTTGCCCTGGCGCGAAACGGCGCAGACATAGTGATCGCCGACATCATCGTGAAGAACGCGGAGGGAGTCGCGGACGAAGTCAGGTCGCTTGGACGGCGCTCTCTCGCCGTGAGCCTCGATGTTTCAGACCAGGAATCCGTCGAGGGAGATGACGGCGCAGGCCCTGTCCGAGTTCGGAGCAATCGACATACTCGTGAACAATGCGGGCGTCATCGGCGCGCAGGGCTGGGAGAGCCGCGAGACGCCGAATGAAGAGGACTGGGACTTCATCTTCGAGATAAATGTGAAGGGCATCGCGCGCGTTACCGACGCCATCTCCCCGCATATGCAAGGAGCGCAGGTATGGCAAGATCATCAACATCGCCTCTATTGCCGGGAGGCAGGGCAGTTCGCGCAATCCGCCCTACAATGTCTCGAAGGCAGGCGTGATAAGCCTGACCCAAGGGCAGGCACAGGGGCTCGCACCGCACAATATCAACGTGAACGCGATATGCCCGGGCCTGCTGTGGACGCCTATGTGGGAGCGCATCACCGCCCGCGCCGCCATGACACCGAACCCCGGAGAAAAGACGCAGCGCGAACTCTTCGAGGAAAATGTTCAGAGGACAATTCCCCTCGGCAGGGAGCAGACGCCCGACGACATCGGCAACCTCGCCGCCTTCCTAGCTTCCGAGTACGCCATGAACATCACAGGCCAGTCGATAAACGTCAGCGGCGGCCTGCACATGAACTAGGCGCAGGAAATCAGACATTGGACAGAAGGGTCGGCGCCGCAGGAACACGGCCGCCGATATGCGAGCACGAACCTAGTGACGACACCACACGAAAACCTCACCATCGCCGACGCGGCTCAGTTCCACGACCTGCTACGCAACTCGGCGATCTTTATTCGCTGCGTGTTCGACGACGCGGAGTTGCCCGAAATCGACGCCGAGCAACTGCACTTCGAGGATTGCTCCCTGCGCCGCGTCAACTTCTTCAATCTCGCCTGCGACGACCTCACCATCGAGAACTCGCGCCTGCAGGGCGCCCGCTTCGACAAAGCGGACATACGCGAGGCGACCCTGCGAGGCTGCGAATTCACATCGGCGACCTTCCGAGAGGCTAGGCTGAACCTCAGCCGCATCGAGAACTGCGACATGAGCCTCTGCAACCTCGACGGCGCGAACCTGTTCGCCGCTGACCTGACGGGCTCGCGCTTCCGCACGGTTGACTTCAGCCAGGCCCGCATGGACGCCGTGACGATAGACAACGCCGACTTTAGCATGGCAACTGTGCGCTTCAAGCGCTTCGTGGACGGCAGACTCAAGGGTGTAAATTTCACTGAAACCGACCTGACGGGCACAGACTTCAGCGGTACGGTGTTTGAGGGCTGCCACCTGACTGGCGCGGTTGTCACGGATCAGACGCGCTTTGATCGAGCCGACCTGCGCGGTGCGTACATCTCCGGGTCCGGCTTGGAGGTCGCAAGTCTGAAGGGCACAGTAATGTCCGCGCAGCAGGCGAGTACGCTTCTGTTCGAGAGATTCGGAATCGTTGTCGCGGAATCCTGACAGAACGGGCAGCTTACCCAGAAACCACTCCCCTGCTCGGGCAGGGCAGAATAGGGGAGTGGCTGTATTCCAGCCTATGATCCTGCCAATGCTCCTGTACGGCCCGCGCATCCGTGTTACTATTCCCAATCATGCACCTGTCGATCGAGGACCATATCGCAACCATCACGCTGGACCGCCCGATGCGGGCAACGCCATCGACGAGCAGACGGCGCAGCTTCTGCGTGACGCATGCGAGCGCGTTCGGCAAGACGACGATGTGCGTGTGTGCGTCATTACTGAGATGGCACGGGTGACGGCGATTTCTGCGTTGGCACAGAGTTTGCGGGCGATTCCCCTATGCCGGACGAGTTCGCGCGCCTGCGTGTGAGCGAAGCCGTAGCCGCCATCGAGAAGCCAACCATTGCGCTCATAACGGCGACGCCATAGACCAGGGTCTTGAGCTTGCGCTGGCATGCGACCTGCGCGTGGCGGCGTCGGACGCGCGGCTCGGACTGACGCACTTGGCAACCGGCATCATTCCCTGGGACGGCGGCACGCAGCGCCTGCCCCGCGTCATCGGGCAGAGTCGAGCCACCGCTATGATACTCACATCGCGGTTGGTGGACGCTCAGGAAGCGATGGATATTGGACTGGTGAACCATGTCGCCGAGCGCGAAGAAGCAGCCGAATACGTCATGTCTCTCGCCACCACCATCGCCTCGCACGCACCCATAGCCGCACGCTATCTCAAGAGACGCTGCTTAAAGGCTCGGACATGACGCTGGCACAGGGACTCGGCCTCGAAGCCGACCTCACAGTCATCCTGCAATCCACAGCCGACCGCGCCGATGGCATCGCGTCGTTCCTTGAGCGGCGTCAGCCGAATTATCGCGGAGAGTGATTAGGGTAGTGTTGACATTTTGAAGTTATCCCTCATTATTTCTGTCATTTCGAGCGAAGCGAGAAATCTTGTGTGATGGGAAATTGCCGCATGTACAACGATTTTTAGATTCTTCACTCCGCTGCGCTGCGTTCAGAATGACAGAATAAACCTGCTCTTCAGGTCTAAAACGCTTTGTGTATCAAATGTCAACACGACCCTAGGGCTGATGTGAGATAGACTGATCGGGAAAGTGATGTCTTATCCATCCTGTCTGCTCCTGCCCCACTGATAGTCTGACGCACAGAAAGGTCGACGGAGCGGCTACTTCCCCGGCGCCACTGCCTTCATCGTCGCTATGTGCGACTCCACATCCGGTTCGTTGAATACGAGGCGTATCTCGTCCACGCCTGCGTCGAAGAATGCCTGCATCTGCTCGCGGCACTCCTCCGGTGTCCCTATGATGGTCGTAGAGTCAACCATCTCGTTCGTCACCAGCGATGCCGCCACATCCCGCTCGCGGTTGAGATACGCCTGTCGAACCTCGTCGGATTGCGCTCCGAACCCGATTCGGTGCATGTACCGATGGTAGAACTCGCCCATCCCACCAATGTAGAAGGAAATGTGGGGGCGCTCGCGACGCCGGGCTTCGTCCACGTCGTCAGTAACATAGATGGACACCTGCGGGCAGATGGCGATGTCGTCTAGCGACCGTCCCGCGGCTTGCGCGCCCTCTTCGATGTCCGCTATGAGCGGCTCCATGCGTGAGGGTGCAAGGAATATGGGTAGCCAGCCGTCCGCGACTTCGCCTGTGAGTCGCAGGCTCGGCTGAGTTAGCGACGCGATGTAAATGGGCAACTCTGAACGGTAAGGCTGAAACCGTATATGAAATCTCTGTAACTTGAAAAACTCGCCGCTGTAATCCAGACGCTCGCCTGCCGCCGCCTTGCGGATGATGCTTATATATTCGCGCATGCGAGCCAACGGCTTGCGGAATTCCTCGCCGTGAAAGTCCTCGATGACCAGCCTGCCGCTTGCGCCAAGTCCCAGGAAGAAGCGCCCCTCGGACATCAGGTCCATATTGAGAGCGGTCATTGCTATGTTGGACGGCGAGCGCGCGAATACGGGCACGATGCCGGTGCCGATGCGTATTCGCTCGGTGACTGCCGCCACCTGCGCCAGCGACGTGAAGGCGTCCTCGCCCCACGCCTCGCCCATCGTGATGCAGCTGTAGCCAAGCTCATCGGCCAACTTCGCTAACTGTAGCGTGTCCTGCCAAGACCCCCCAGGAGCACGCAATCCTGCTATGCCTACTTTCATGAATTACCTCTTCCGCCCGCTGATCAATAAAACAAGAATGTTCTGTATTTTAGATATAATACTGATTATCAAACTGGCTAACTGAAACACCATAAACGCCTTGCGTATTGCCTTTTTACTTGGATAACCTCTGTTCACGATACACGAAATACGCCCGCGTGGTCTATGTGTCAGCTGCAAAAGCGCCATACGACACATTGGCCACAGCAATAGGTTAGAAAGGCGTTCAGACACGCCAATCAGGGGTAATCAGGAGGAGACATGAAACTTGTTCGCGCTCGGGTAACCGACTTCAAATCCATTGACGATTCCGGCTGGGTCGATATAGATGCCGTCACCTCGATGGTCGGCAAGAACGAGTCGGGCAAGACGGCATTTCTCGGCGCTCTGAAGCGGCTTAACCCCGTTGACGGCGGCCAGGAGTTCGAACTCAAGGACTTCCCTCGCAAGGGCTATGTCAGGTATCGGAGGCGCCATCCATCCGATCCCGCCACCGCCGTCACAGCGATAATGACGCTGTCAGAGGATGAGTTTGAACTGCTGGCGGAGCACATTGGGGACGGGGTCTTGCTTTCGGAGGAGATTACGGTCTCTAAGAACTACAAGAACGAACTTAGCTGGGATTTTGAGATGGACGAGAGCGCCATCGTCCAGTATTTGCTGAGCAGCGCTGAGTTGCCGCCCGAAATCACCAGCCATGCAGGCAGCGCCGGCAGCGTGAAGGAAATGCTCAGCCTGTTGGAGGCGCTGGATGTAAAGCCGGTTGCGGTTGGCAGGCTCATCACGCGGATGTACGAGCGATTCGGTGAGAAGTCCGCAAGGGAAGTAGTCGAAGAAGTTCTGTTCGCGATGATGCCGAAGTTCGTGTACTTTGACGAGTACAGCACCATGCGCGGCAGAATCTCCATGCAGGACATGAGCAGGCGCGTGCAGGCGGGTGATGAGTTCGATGAGTCGGACCGCACTTTCATGTCGTTGATATCGCTGGTGGGCGCCGACCTTGAGGACCTGCAGCATCAGACGAACTATGAATACATGAAGGCTGAGCTTGAATCGGCGTCCATCAGCATCTCCGACGAGATGTTCGAGTACTGGGCGCAGAATACGGAGCTCCGCGTTGAGTTCGACCTGTCGCCCGCCGACCCTAACGATGTGCCCCCACTTAACGAAGGTACAATCCTGCATGTCCGCATCTGGAACAACCGGCACCGTGTTTCGGTGCCTTTCGACGACCGATCGAAGGGCTTCGTCTGGTTCTTCTCGTTCCTGACATACTTCTCCAGCATCGAAGAGCAGGAGGATTGCGACCTTGTGTTGCTGCTGGACGAGCCGGGCTTGAACCTGCATGCTCTGGCACAGCACGACTTCCTGCGATTCATCGACGAGCGGCTCGCGCCCAAGCATCAGGTCATCTACACCACGCACTCGCCGTTCATGATTAACCTGAACCATCTCGATCGCATACGCACGGTGCAGGACGTGGACGATAGGGGCACGGTAATCAGCTCCGACACCCTGAGCAATGACCAGGATACGATCTTCCCGCTGCAGGTAGCGCTTGGGCACGACCTGGCGCACATGCTTTTCCTCGCGCCGCATTGCCTCATGGTGAACTCGGCGTCGGACCTGATATACCTGCAGATACTGGGTGAGATTTGCGCCAGCAAGGGCTTCCAGCGCCTCGACCCGCGCTGGGTCGTCATTCCGGTGGGCAACGCCGACAATCTGCCAATGTTCGTATCGCTGCTCGGCGAGAGTTATGTCAGCGTCGCCGTGATGATGGATGTCACCCCGAAGAACAAGGCGAAGATGGAGTTGATCAACCAGAACAGCGTCATCCAGCGCAATACTCCGGTGAAGTGGGTGGAGGTGCAGAAGATCCGCACCGCAGACATCGAGGATATCCTCGATCCGTCTTTCTACCTGAAGCTGGTTAACGAGTCGTATGGGATGGAATTGCGAGAGCCTGTGTCCATGAAGGCTATCTCGGCGAAGGACCCGCGCATCGTGCAACGACTTGAGAGACATTTCGAGATGGATAAGATTGCGGGCGGACACTTCGATTCGTACCGGCCCGCGGCGTGGCTGCTGGAAAACCACGCACGGCTGCGGCAGGAGATCAGTGACGAGGCAATCGAAAGCGCCGGGTCCATGTTCCAGCGTGTGAACAGTCTGCTTCCGCACGACGGATTCAACAACGGAATCGCGCCGCGCCGCCCGGTAAACGGCAGCGCGAACGGCTCCAATGGCAGCACAGGCAAGACCAATGGCACCGCAGTCTATGGCAGGAAGCGTCCGACAGTGCCTTCATTCACACTCTAGGAGATAGTCTGGCACGCTCTAGGAGACACTTTTGGGGCTGACAGCCTGACCGCGAAGGTTTAACATGGGATGGACAGGAACTACGAGAAGTCAACTCGTATCCTGTCCATCCTGCGTTATTGCGCTAATCCGGCGGATGAGCCAAAAGCAAGAGTGCCGAGTGATGCAGTCCGGCGTACAACTGAGTTATGACGGCGCGCTTCAGCGCGTAATGGGGCTTGCGGATTTCGAGCGCTCTACGCACAGCCCGGGCCATGCTGCGTTTCACCTGGAACGCATGACATTGCTGATGGAGCAACTCGATTGCGCCCACCTCGCCGTGCCAACCGTGCATGTGGCCGGCACAAAGGGCAAGGGCAGTACCTCCGCGATGATTGCCTCGATCCTGACGGCGCAGGGCTACGAGGTCGGGCTTTACACATCACCGCACCTGCACAGCGCAACAGAGCGCATCCGCGTCAACGGACAGCCAATCAGCCAGCAGCAGTTTGCCGCCGTCGTGGAGAGCATCTGGCCAACCGTGGAGCGGATAGGCAGTTCGGGAGGCTACGGCGGCGTAACCACCTTCGAGGCTATGACCGCGATGGCGTTCGTCCACTTTCGCGATATTGGCGCCGACTTCCAGGTCATGGAGGTCGGGCTAGGTGGGCGGCTCGACTCCACGAACATCGTGAAGCCGCGTGTGTGCGCCATTACCTCCATCAGTCTCGACCACACAGCGACCCTCGGCGACACAGTTGCCAAGATTGCCTTTGAGAAGGCCGGCATCATAAAGGAAGGTGTGCCGGTAATCGTCGCGCCACAGACCGACGAGGCGATGGCGGTAATAGCTGATGTCGCACTACGGCGCGGTGCGCCCCTGCTATCCGTGGCAGAGCGCTCTTCGTGGCAGAAGCGGCGCTTCGACATGTGCGGGCAAGTCTTCACGCTCACGAGCGCGGAAAGCGCATACGAACTGGAGACGCCGCTGCTTGGTGACTACCAGATGGAGAACGCCGCAACCGCTGTCGCCATCGCTGAGACACTCAGGAAACAAGGCGTTGAGCTGGACGATGACAGCATCAGGCGAGGCGTCCGCGATGTGCATTGGCCAGCGCGCTTGCAGGTGCTCGCAACGCCTGACAAGGGTGGCAAGCTCCTTGTCGTGGATGGCGCGCACAATCCCTACTCGATGGAACGGCTTGTTGAGGCGCTGCGGGAGCATTTCTCGTATGAGCGGCTCATTCTGATATTCGGCGCGCTCAGCGGTCACAGCGCGACAGGCATGCTGCGCGCGTTGCTGCCGCTTTCGCCGGAAGTGCTTGCCACACATTCGCGGCATCCACGATCGGCTTCGGGCGCGACAGTGACGCAGGTGGCAGGCGAACTAGGATGAAGGTGGTGTTCACATCCGAGAATGTGGGCGAGGCGGCGCGAAGGGCGCTTGAAATGGCAAGCGAGAAAGACTTGGTGCTTGGCACGGGGTCGCTGTCCGTAGCCGCCGAAATCACGGAGGAAGTGCACAGGCATCCCGCCGGAGCTGTATCCCTACATGAGCATGCCTCGGCGATAGCTGAACTGAGTGGTTTCAGTCAGTCGATTAACCGCGGCGCCCGCCACACACTGCGCTGACAAGTGTACAATGTACTAATGCACTTTGAATGCACAGGACGAAGTTCTGTAAATTCCCTCTCCTGCAAGTCATATATCCCTAGGAGAATGACAATGTATATCGGAAGAAGACGAGTCGTCGTTACAGGCATGGGCGCGGTTACGCCGCTGGGCGATTCGGTGGATGAATACTGGAAGAGCCTTGTGAAGGGCAAGTCCGGCATTGGACCCATGACTCTAGCGGACCCGACGGAGTACCCTGCAAGGTCGCCGGCGAGATACCGGACTTCGACCCCGGCCAAGTACATCAACCCGCGGGAAGCGCGACGAATGGCTCGCTTTTCGCAGACGGCGGTGGCAGCCGCGGCGCTCGCCTTCGAGGATTCGGGTATCAACCTGTCCTCCGAAGACGAAGAGCGCATGGGCGTGGTCATGGGAAACGGCAACGGCGGCTTCCCGACCACTGAGGACAACGCGCGCACGCTGTTCAAGCGCGGCGGCATGAAAGTCAGCCCTTACTTCATTCCGATGATACTGCCGAACATGGCGGCGGCGAATGTAAGTCGTCTGTTCGGGCTTAAGGGATACACTTCCACCGTGATAACGGCATGCGCGGCAGGCACGCAAGGCATAGGCGAGGCGGCGGAGGCGATTCGCAGAGGTGCGGCGGATGTAGTGCTTGGCGGTGGCTGCGAGGCTGGCATCTGCCAGCTTGGGCTTGGCGGCTTTAACGTCATCAAGGCGCTCAGTCGGAGCGAAGTGCCGCCTGAAAAGGCGAGCCGCCCGTTCGATGCCAATCGTGACGGCTTCGTGCCGGCAGAAGGCGCGGCGATTCTAATACTTGAAAGTCTGGAACATGCCCTGGGACGTGGCGCGGAAATCCTTGCCGAGGTCTCAGGCTATGGTGTGTCCTCGGACGCATTCCACGCGGTGCAGCCGGACGAGGACGGGGCCGGAGCCGCGCGCGCGATGCGCTGGGCTATAGAGGATGCGGGAATGCAGCCGTCCGACATCGACTACATTAACGCGCATGGCACATCCACGCCCAAGAACGACATGGTGGAGACGCTGGCAATCAAGACGGTATTCGGCGAAGGTGCGTACGAAGTGCCCATTAGCTCCACGAAGTCAATGATAGGGCATGCGCTGGGCGGCGCAGGCGCGCTGGAGGCGGTCGCCTGCATCAAGACGATACGGGACGGCATCATCCATCCAACGATAAACTACGAAACCGCCGATCCCGACTGCGACCTTGACTATGTGCCCAACAAGGCGCGAAAGGCGCAAATCAACACCGTCCTGTCGAACAGCTTCGGCTTCGGCGGGCAAAATGCCTGCGTGGTATTCAGGGCATTCGAGGAAAACTGATAGACAGTAATACACAGAAAGTAAAGCAACACCTGATTCCGATGGGTTGCGTTTCGATTCAGGTGATGGAATGTAGATTTCATCTTCATCCCTCGGCAATTTCAGGATAGGCTATGACCTGTCCTGAGCAAAGGTGGGAAGGGAGTTTACAAAATATCAGGAAAATGCTATCTGGAGCAATTGTACTATTGCTGCTAAGGTGGTATATTGAAGTTGCTCCGTTAGGAGTGTTTTGACTACGGCCCCGTTAGGGGCCTTTTTCTTTTTGGGAACTCTTATGGCTGAAACTTACGTTTGTTTCATTGATGTGGGCTATCTGCGAGCCGAAGGAGCCAAAGCGCTTGGTGCGAGGGCGAGAAATGTTCGTCCCGATGCAGAGAAGGTTGCGGAATGGGCCAGAAGTCTCCGTGGACTGAAGGCAGTCGATGCTCAGTTCCTGAGGGCCTATTGGTATGATGGCGCGTTTGACCCTTCGCATCCAGAGTACGCTGGGCAGAGACGGTTCTTTAACGCGATTGCACAGACGCCCGGAATTCAGTTGCGTCTAGGTCACATTGCTGAGCGCCAACATCGGCTGAGAAACCCTATACGCAGCGCACTCAGAAATTCAGCCACCTCTCTGGGCGTGGAACCTGATCAGTTACTTGAAGAGTTTGATCGAAACTGGACGTTCTACCCGGAGCGTCAACAGAAAGGTGTTGACACACTCATAGCCTTGGATATGGTGCGCCTTGCCAGCCGCTCAGTCTGCGAAACCATGGTTCTAATTGCAGGTGATAGGGACTTAGCTGAAGTTGTACGAACAGTTCAGGACTTCGGCATACGTGTGTTAATTGCGAGCCCGAACTGTGCAAGCATTGCTCAGGAGCTCGCCCAGCTTGCAGATCACATAATTGGCATATCTGCGGAATCTATACTGCAAATCCGCGCCGATAGCTAAAGCCCACTCAAGGAAGAGTAGGTTCTAGTTGCTGACGGCTTCCTTCACCATGTTGTTAAGCATAAGTTGCATTGCCATGGTGTGGCTGCACTCTTCGCGGCTAGTGAAATAGTAGCAGGTGCAACTCCATTTGCCCGAATCGTAGGAAATTTCGTGGTCAGAATTGTCGCCTCGGAATGTCGCCTGACAGTTCATAAGCGTAACCCGCCCTTCCTGGGCGGCGTAATCCTTGGCTTTTTCCATTTTCCTTACGAGGCTCGAGTCCATAGAGTACCCTCCTACATGCTGACGGCTGCTGAGACCGCCGCTTTCTCTGCAACGCAGTTCGTGTTGATTCGCCCTAATTTTATCTTCTCGCGCTAGGCAGCGTCAATCTTGTTGGAAGACGTAATCGCCTTACACATGAAGTTTCCGGACGCTTTTCTCATAAGTCAATCGCGTATCGGTCTGTTCGATCAGTTTAAGCACAATTTGAGATTGCACTTCTCTCATACGGGGGCAATTACTTGTCATAGACGCGCTTGTGCCGTAATGTATAGTGCGGCTTTCTGTAACAGCCTACAATAGCGGACATGACAAGAAGTACCACAGTAAGAGACGGAGGTTATCACGATGAGAGCAGCGCGAATTGCGGGACCCAAGAGATTCGAGATTGAGGATGTGGATATTCCCAACATCATAGATGGCGAATGTCTCATCAAGCTGGAAACATGGTCGGTTTGCGGCAGCGACATACGTCACGCATACGGCCCCGTCCATCCTGAAGAAGAGTACCCAATGCGTGTCGGCGGTCCCTGCCACGAGGCGGCAGGCACAGTCGTCGAAAGCCGCTCCGACAAGTTCTCCGTCGGACAGCGCGTCATTGTGCTCCCCGGCCCCAGGACTGGCGGCGGACTCGTGGAGTACATCAACGGCGACGAAGGGCGCATGGCAGCCCTTCCCGACCACGGTGACTTGACTAGCTGGGTAATGTGCCAGCCGTCCGGCACCGTCCTCTACTCCTGCCAGCAGATGGGCACAATACTGGGCAAGAACGTGCTGGTTATGGGACAAGGCTCCATCGGGCTGTCCTTCACCGCGATATGCGCCCGCGCAGGCGCGAGCAAGGTCATCGCCGCCGACCTGTTCGACTATCGGCTGGAGTTCTCTAAGCGATTCGGCGCGACCCATACCATCAACCCCTCGAAGGAAAATCTGGACGAGGCGGTGCTGGAGCTAACCGGCGGCGAAGGCGCAGACATCACCGTCGAGGCTGGGGGCTATGCCGAGACGCTAGAGGCGGCGCTGCGGCTGGTGAAGAACCTCGGCAAGACCATAATCTTCGGCATACAGGAGAACGCCTCCGGGGAGAGGGCGCGGCTGGACACATCGCTCTTCCTGCGAAAAGCTCCGACGATCATCCCCACGCAGGGCGCGACCAGCGGCGACGCCATCACGCACATCGAGAAGATGATTGAGCTGAAAGAACGCGGCTGGTGGGACCCGGGTGAGATGGCAACGCACCTCATGCCCTTCGACGAAGTGCAGCGCGCCTACGACATGTACGAAGCCCGCGAGGATGAGGTCATCAAGTCGGTGATGACGCTGTAGCCGTCTACCGGCATCACAGCTTGAACTAATACCGCCCCTCCGCTGTCAAGAGTGGAGGGGCGGTTTGTGTTACTGCCCAAAGCAATCCGGAACATCTTGGCTTATCCATTTGTTATAAAATGTTCTACTCAACTAATTTGTTGGACTAGGTACCAGACGCTTGAGTTCAGTTTAAATACTGATATTGGGAGAGTTGATGGGCACACAAACTAGCTCTAATTCACAAGAAAATGTCCGGAAGAGCGAAGTCATAAAGAAAATCGAAGAAATAGCTTACAGATCATCGGGCGGCGAATTCATCTATCGAGGCGAACCCGAGTGCTATCTCGAAGTGTCTTCTGGCCTTTATCGTCAATATAAGGCGGATTATGACGAGAGGAAGAACATTGACTTTGAGGGCTTTGAGGTAGAGAAATTCAATATCGAGCTAGTTCAAGAAGAAATATTGGAGAGAGCCCAGAGGTACACGTCAGAGACGGACAGCTTTGAAATTTTGGCCGAACTTCAGCATTTTGGCGGCAAACAAATCTGATAGATTTCACTACTGATTATCTGATAGCTCTCTTTTTTGCCTGTGACGGCTTTCATGGCAAAGATGGCAGGATTATCCTCCTGAGCACATCGGGGCGTATGAGTCCCTACATCAAGAAATCCCGCATCTGAACGACCCGCATCACTGCACAGAAAAGCATATTTGTTCAGCCACCTACAGGCCTCATAGAGCCTGACAGTGCCATCATCATTCCCTATAGTCTCAAACCGCGACTGCTAGATTACCTGTTAGAGAACTACGGCATATCCAGCGCAACAATTTATCATGACCTACTAGGGTTCATCAGATACCAAGAGCTCCATGAAGTTTCCTATGCAGAATATTTCAGGGCATCGTATATGAAGAAGATTCCAGCATCAAGAGGCAATCGAGCATTACACCAATGCTATTGAACTCAATCCACAACTAGCTGATGCCTATAGTAATCGGGGCTTTGTCTACACGGGTGAGGGTGAATATGACTAGCTATACGGGATTTTCCACCAATGCACTAGAACTGGTACAGCCCACTAGCTTTGTAGGCATATTTGTCTGCTCAGGACTTTACTCTGAACCGCGGTTTCGCACACGCTGAAAAAGGCGAATATGAGATTGCTATAGAGGACTATAGCAGTTCGATACGTCTTATGAGGGACAGCATGCCTTTAACAATCGGGGCTTCATTTACAGTAAACTGGGCGAAATCGACTCTGCCATACAAGACTTCAGCGAAGCGATAGATATCGAATCCGATTCGGCAACTGCCTATCACAATCGTGGTGCCGAATTCCTCAAGAGGGCTGTGTTGACTCTGCCATAAGTGACCTTAGCACAGCGTTTAAGCATGTTCTATAATCTGGTCCGAACCAGAAATGGCTGCTGTTTATTTCAAACGAGGCAACGCTTTCTACGACAAGGGAAACTTGCTCTTGCGATACAAGACTTTACCGAGGCTATAGATTTGGCGCCGAATGACGACCAAGTACTATTACTATCGCGGCGCTGCTTATAGTAACATGACGAAATTGCTCTTGCGATACAAGACCCTCGACAAGTCAATTGAGTTAAATGATGGTAATCCATATGTCTATTGTAATCGTGGCTGGATCTGGTTGAGATTACAGAAATGGCAAAAGGCCCGCATAGATTTGGCGACGGCACTTATCTGGGGTTCGATGTCCCGCACTTCTTCGGACACCACAATGGCTTACTTCTGCGTAGGAGACTTCGAGCAGCGAGAGGGCTTAAAGTCCCGGAGGACATTGCAGAATGCTAGGGGGATAACTACCTAAGCTATGTCCTTGCACCCATCAATCGGAGTGCATGTGTCGAAAGGACTAAATCTGAAGAAAAGTTCCTTTATAGAATCATCTAACGGATGGGAATAAATAGATGGACAAAACGCTCCATGCATCCTGCCCATCCTGTTAATTCATGCTAGTTTCCGGCTGACCCGGGATATAGCTTCAATATGTCCGCCTGTGGCGGGTAATACTTGCCCGGCGCAACGCCTTCCGCCTCTATCAGTCCCTTGATGTGCTCCTCGCCCACTCGTGCTCCTCACCCAGTCTATGACTTGCTCCACGATGCATTCCGGCACCACAACAACGCCGTCGTCGTCCGCCACGATCAGGTCGCCCGGCCGCACAGCCACGCCGCCGCAGCCGATCGTAACATTCGCCTCGAACGGGTCTATCTCGTCTGCGCCGCCCATCGGCGTCCTGCCGCCCGCGAATACCTTCAGCCCGTAGTCCGCAACGATAGCCAGGTCGCGTATCGATGCGTCCGTAACCAGCCCTGCCGCGCCCTGCATCTTCAGTTGAAGCAGCTTCACATCGCCGCCGATAGCCGCGTACTTCTTGCCCATGCCGTCTATCACCAGCACATCGCCCGTCTCGCACGAGCCCATCGCCTCGTACTCCGGCGAGTCCGCGCCGCGGTGCGTCTCGGCGATGATGTCCTTGCGCGGCGGAACGAAGCGCAGCGTCTTTGCCCGCCCGACGAGCATGCCGCCCGGCGTGAACGCATGCACATCGCGCATGAAGCACGGCTCGTAGCCGAAGTTCCGCACCGCGCTGTACACCGTCGCTCCCGCGACATTCTTGTAACGTTCGATAATCGCCGGTGTGATAACGCTGTCTGTCATGTCAACCTCTCCTAGTAAGAATATTGGCCAGTCTGATACTAACATGGGGTGCCGAAAGGATACACGGAATAGCGCCAATACCCATCCTTTACATCCTGTTCATCCACATCGGCGTTCCCTGTGGTAATATTAGCGTTGCGAAATTCAATCTATCCCAAACCCAATTTATCCCAATATGAGGTGATACACATGGTGACAATGCTGCCAAAGGAAGATTACAAGGTCGTCGGCACTCGCCCCGTGCGGCACGACGGCGTTGACAAGGTAACGGGACGCGCCCTCTATGGCGCCGACATGATCCTCGCCGGCCTGCTTCATGGCAAGGTGCTGCGCAGTCCGCACGCACACGCCCGCATCAAAGTCAATCGACACCAGCAGGGCGGAGGCGCATCCCCGATGTCAAGGCTGTCGTTACAGCCGCAGACCTCGCCCCGATGTCCCCGATTCCGCAGGTCGCGCGCCAGGGCGTACCCCATCGGCGAGAACATTCTCGCCAGGGACAAGGTACTCTACAAGGGCCATCCCATCGCCGCAGTCGCAGCCGTCAACGCGCATGTTGCGGAAGAGGCGCTTGCGCTAATAGATGTCGAGTACGAGGTGCTGCCCAGCGTCTCCACAGTGATGGAAGCGCTCAAGCCCGACGCGCCCGCGCTGCACGAGCACTGGATCGAGCGCGGAGGCGATGACTACATAGCTGCCAGCAAAAACATCGCAGACCACGAGCAGCACTCCCTCGGCGACATCGAGGCAGGCTTCGCTGCCGCCGACCAGATATTCGAGCACGAGTACACCACGAAGACGGTGCATCAGGGCTACATTGAGCCGCACACCGCCACCGCTTTCTGGGCGGCGAACGGCGCGCCCAACGACCGCCTCACCATCTGGAGCAGCAGCCAGGGACATTTCGGCATGCGCGACAGCACCGCCCAGGTGCTGGGCATTCCCAACTCCCAGATAAAAGTCGTGCCGATGGAAATCGGCGGCGGCTTCGGCGGCAAGACGCTCGCATACCTCGAAGCGGTTTCCGCAGCGCTGTCGAAGAAGACCGGCAAGCCCGTCAAGTCAACAATGACGCGCATAGAGGTGCTTGAAGCGTCCGGCCCCACCGCCGGCGGCCACCTGAAGTGCAAGATTGGCGTAACCAACGAAGGGCGCATCACCGCCGCACAGATTTACTTCGCATTCGAAGGAGGCGCATACCCCGGCGCGCCCCTGCCCGGCTCCTGCGCAGCCGTCTTCGCGCCCTACTTCATCGAGAATGTGCAAATCGACGGCTACGACATCATGACGAATAAGCCCAAGACTGCTGCCTACCGCGCGCCCGGCGCTCCGATAGTCTGCTTCGCCTCCGAGAGTCTCATAGACGAGATCGCGCAGGCGCTCGATATGGACCCGGTGGACTTCCGCCTGCTCAACGTCGCCACTCCCGGCACACGCAGGGCTGACGGCGTGGTGAACGGACCCATCGGTGCGAAAGAAACGATGGATGCCATTAAGGCGCACCCGCACTACAATGCCCCGCTTGAGGGTCCCAACCGCGGGCGCGGCGTCGCAATGGGCTTCTGCCGCAACAACTCCGGCATGGCATCTGCGATCGCAAATGTGCTATCCAACGGCAGCGTCAGCCTCATAGAGGGCAGCATGGACATCGGCGGCTCGCGCACAGCGATTGCTCAGATGTTCGCAGAGACGCTTGGACTGCCAATCGAGGATGTCATCCCCACCGTCGGCGACACCGACTCGATCGGCTTCACATCCACATCCGGTGGCAGCGGCGTCGCCTACAAGTCCGGCTTCGCAGCCTATGAAGTAGCGAACGATGTAAAGCGCCAGTTCATCCAGCGCGCAGCCATGCTCTGGGAGACTGACGAGGACCAGGTCGAGTATGTCGATGGTGGCCTGCGCCACAAGTCCGACACCGAACTCACCATGTCCTTCAAGGAGCTGGCGGCGCGCATGCCTGAGACCGGCGGCCCCATCGTGGGCAGGGCGAACCTGAACCCCGGTGGCTCCGCAGGCTCTTACTCAGCCAACATCGTGGACATCGAGGTGGATCCTGAGACCGGCAAGGTTGAGATTCTGCGCTACACCGCGTTCCAGGATGTGGGCGTCGCAGTGCATCCCAGCTACGTCGAAGGGCAGATTCAGGGCGGCACCGTGCAGGGCATCGGCTGGGCGCTCAACGAAGAGTATTACATGAGCGACGACGGCGCCATGCTCAACAGCAGTCTGCTCGACTACCGCATGCCAACCACGCTTGACCTGCCGATGATTGACGCGGTGTGCTGGAAGTGCCAAACCCGGCGCACCCCTTCGGAGTCAAGGGCGTCGGAGAGGCAAACATAGTGCCGCCACTCGCCGCGCTCGCAAACGCCATCCACAGTGCGGTCGGCGTCCGCATGTACGACCTGCCCATGAACCCGCAGACCGTCACAAAGGCAGTAGCCGACAGCGAGTAGTGCGCATAATCCACATCTACACTTGAAGCAAGAATCGCCCCCGTCGAAGTTACTCGGCAGGGGCGATTTTGTTGTCTGTTTGACGATGGAGTCGGAGTCAGCCCGATACAGAATCATCCTTCCGTATCGTTAACTGTATGTGCCGGACCTCTACTATGCTGCTGTTGCTGTTGCTGCGCGAAGCGACGGTATATCTCCTCGTCGCTCAGGGTCTCGCGGGCGAACCACTGGTCCTCGATTACCTGACCCGCTTCCAAAATCTTGCCTATCACCTGTGTAGCGATGTCGATAATCTGCTGCGGAGTTTCGATATCCTCTATGGGCAGATCCTGTACCTCTAAGACAGCCTCGGTCAGAGCGCGCATCAGTTCCACCGGGCGCGACCTGCGTCGCCGACAGCCGCGCCTTCAGCAGGCTCTGCAGCACTGACGACCCGGAGTTTCGCAACAGCAACTCCGCAGCGGCTTCTTCTCTCCGCACGACCGTTACTCCCAGCGAACTTGCAAGGTCGCACAGGCAGTCCACCAGCGTATCGCAGCCGCCACCCTCACGTAGCGCCTGCTTGGCAGCCGTGTCCATTCCGCGTGCTACGCCCTCCGCCCGCTCCAGCCAGCGTCCAAGCCAGATGAGGTTATGCGCCCTCGCGTCCGTCAGCCAGTTATCCTTTGCAACGCTCAGCGATCGCGGCTCAGCCATGACTTGAATCACCTTTCAGCCTCCGAATTAATCATTTTCCCTAAAGCAGAGCAGGTCATGCGCTCTTTTCGGAAAGGATTTGAGGTAAGAAAATTTCACACTATCTTTATTGTACGCTTGTAGATGCGGCAAAGTGTTATCATTTCCGTTAACTTTTCCGCGAATTCTTTATTCCGTTTATTGATGACAGCCATGGTCACGCAGATTTCGCATTCTCGATGAGGCTCATGGCGTCGTCGAAAGACATGCTCTCCAACGACGGCGTGACCTGTGCAACCACCACATCCAGCCAGCCAGCACCCTTCGAGACGAACGATCCCTCTATGGGCGACGCCTGGGTGTAGTCACGCCCGGCGGCGAACTTCACGAGGTCCATGCCTCTGGCTATGGGCTGTCCGCGCGTCGGATCGGACGGTAGCCAGCCAAGCGTCGGATGCAGAAACTCCAGCCATGCATGCGTCTCGCCCACCTGCCCGCTCATCAGGCCGCTGACATAGCGTGTAGGTATGCCTAGCGCCCGCAGCATCCCCATCGCCAGATGCGTCATGTCCTGGCACACGCCCTGCCGCGTCTGCATCACCTGTTCCGCTGTCGTGGCGACTGTCGTGCTGCCGCGAATGTAGGTGATATTCGAATACACCCAGCCGACCACGCTGTCCACGACCTCAAGCAACCCCTGACTGCCGTCGGCGATCTGCCGCGCGGCATCTGCCACCTTCTCCGGGTCCACCATCGGCGTCGGCGACAGGTACTCATCCGAGCCGGCATCGTATGAAAGAACGCTCATCGCCACCTCTTCGATAGCCCACGGCGGGCTGATGAGACGAACATTGCCAACAGCGAGGATGGTCAGTTCAGTGTGCGGCGCTGTGAGACGGACGCGGTGCGTGGGATTGCCCTGGCGGTCCATGTACTGCACCGGCCGCGCGGCAGGCACCGTTATGACAGACGAAGACATGGGCGTCTGGAATGCGTCCACGCATGCCGAGAGGCGCAGGAAATTGTCGTTGAGGATGACAATTTCGGTATAAATATAGCGGGCGCCGTAGGTGTAGCTGACCTGCAGGCCCGCATAGTTTATCGAACTACCCAGGTTGGCTTGCATAGACCACCCGATGAGTTATTCGTCACGCGATTGCCTGCCCGCGATACCCTCGTCAGCCCGCCGGGGAACGCAGTGGCTTCGCCGTGACCGTTCTGCACCGCATACACGCGCAGGTCTATGTAGCGCTCATCGAACTCGCCTGCCTCTTCGTCGTAGATGACATGCTGCGAGAAGTCGATGGTATCCTGCGCTATCATGGCGCGCGGGTTCTCGATTATCTGCCGCGCCAGCTGCGCGCGGTAGCTTCCCTCCAAGGTCCGGCATGATGAATACACCCAGACCGCCGTAGCCCTGCCGTGTCTTCAGCACCATGTTGTCAAGGTTTTCCAGCACATAGGCGCGGCTTGCCGGATCGTCCAGGTCGTAGCTCACTGCCTGATCCAAAATCGGCTCTTCGCCAAGGTAGTGACGAATCATGTCCGGCACCCACAGGAACACCAGCTTGTCGTCCGCGACGCTCGTGCCCATGCCGTTCACCAGCACCACCTTACCGTTCAGATATGCGTCCGTGAGGCCCGGCACGAATATCTCCAGGTCCTCCACTCGACGATAGATGAGATCAACATGCACGTCGCCGTCCAACGTCTTCATCCGTACATCGCCTTCATAGCCGATGTACAGGTCGCTGCCCTCCACCAGCGGGATGTCCAGCAGCTCCGACAGGTAGCGATGCTCGAAGAACGCCGAGCCGAACTTGCTGTCGGTCAGCAGCGCGCATGTCGGCTCAGAATTGTCGCATAGTGAGGCGAACAGGTCGAGATAGGTATCCTTGATGTCGTAGGGCACGATGTCGTAGCCCTCGCGCAATTCAGGCATTACGGAGCTGGCAATTTCCAGCGACTTCAACTGATATGTGATGCCTGACGGTATCCGCAGGTTGTCTTCGAGAATGACATATCGCCCGTCGCTCTGCTGAACGAGGTCGATGCCGTAGATATGCGCGAACACATCCTTCGCCGGCCGAAAGCCTTGGTACTCCGGGTAGAAGAATTGGCAGGAATAGACCACATCGTCCGGCACGACTTCCTGCTTCCCCGTGTACAGGTCAAGCAGGAACAGGTTGAGCGCCTTCATTCGTTGCTCCACGCCCGCCTTAATGACCTGCCACTCGTCAATATCTATGAGGCGTGGAATCCAGTCTGACGGGACCGGGCGGAACTCCTTTGGGTCGAGCGCAAATGAGAAGGCATCCAGCGCCACCTCGCGCTTAGCCTGACGCCAGCGCTGACGCATGCCTTCGTCGCCCATACCGTCGAGCGCCGCCATAACGTCGGCGTAAAGGGGGCGCAGTTCGCCCGAGTCGGTGCGGTACTCGCTCACCGCAGCCTCGCTATGTCCAGGTAAGTGCGCCATGATGGCTTCCTCCAGTCGCATCAAGCGCTCTCGTAGGTCGTATAGCCCAACGAAAGCATTGCCATATTAACAGAATGTGATGTGCTAGGCGTATGCTGTGGAACGCCAAACATCAACATACATGATACATAAAACATGTTACATCCGTGTATCCTTTTTTGAATCATGCATCAATATGGCGTGCTAATGCGCTTAGTTGGAGACCTTGTCCACGCGCGTACCGGCAATCAAGTCGTGAATCGTCCTGTGGTCCGCCCTGAATATGAACAAAGCATCAACCAGAGCATAGATGAAGCCAATGAACGGAATGCTGCCTATGATGCTATGCACTAGGGTTCTGAGCAAGATAAGCCGCGCCCAGCCGGGATGCGCGCCTGTAACGCTGTCAACTATGCGTATCCTCAGGATAATCTTACCTATAGTCTGGCCTCGCATCGCCAATAGAATCATCTGCACGATCAGAACAGCCAGATATACGGGAATCAAGACGAGCAATCCGAGCAAGCCACCCTCCAAGCCGAACGAAACCACTCCAGCCAAGAATACGATAATGAATAGTCCTAGCACGATGAGACCGTCTATAATCACCGCAGCCAAGCGCACCCATGGGCTTGCCAGCTCGCTCGCAGGCTCCTCAGCCGGCATCCCACCTGATCGTTAGGACGATATGCCATCACTGCCCCCTTTCCCAAAAGAAACCCAAAGGTATAGCAAGCAAACTATACTTTGCACTTACAAGTGTCAAGATACTGGATTTATCTGCCGCTGTCGTCACCTTGCCAATACCTTACTGCTCAACCTGATGTATCATAGCCAGTAGCCAATGTCTAATATCCCGTCTATGCTGTATATCCGAACCGGATAACTGGAGATGTCGCAATGACCACTTACAGATACTACCGTTGGGACGGCAGCCAGCAGGTGTTCAACATGGACGCCGACGACCTCATGAACTCCATCGCGGACGACATTCTTGAGCACGGCGACCCGGAGCGCGCGCTCCGCAGCCTGTTCCAGCGCGGCATCGACGACAACCAGGGACAGCACGCTCCCAGGCCTGCGCGACCTGCTCGAACGCCTGCGCCAGCAGCGCCAGCAGCAACTCGAACGCTACAACCTCGACTCGGTGATGGACGACATCAAGGAGAAGTTGCAGGATGTCATCGACACCGAGCGCAAGGGCATCGAGGACCGCCTCCAGGACGCCGAACAGCAGCTTCAGGAGCGGGCGATGCCGCCGATCACCTGCAAGCCCCCATGGAAATGCTGCAAGACCGTGCCCAGCGCAACACCGACGCCCTAGACTCCTTGCCCGAAAGTCCCGGCGGCCAGATTCAGCAGCTTCAGGACTATGACTTTATGGACTCCGAGGCGCGCGAGAAGTTCAACGAACTGCTTGAGTCGCTCAAGCAGCAGATGATGCAGAACTTCTTCCAGGACATGAAGCAGCAGCTCCAGGACATGTCGCCGCAGGACATGGAGGGCATCAAGAACATGATTGAAGCCCTCAACCAGATGCTGCGCGATCGCGCCATGGGCGAGGACCCGGACTTCGAGGGCTTCATGGAGCAGTATGGCGAATACTTCGACCCGAACCGCCCCGCAAGCCTGGACGAACTTATCGAGCAGCTCCAGCAGCAGATGGCTGCAATGCAGTCGCTCATGGAAAGCATGTCTCCCCAGATGCGCAGCGAGCTTGAATCCATGATGGGCGCAGCGATCGACCCACAGTTCATGGACGAACTAGCCGAACTCGCGGGCATGATGTACGACATGTTCCCCTTCGACGACATGGCGGGCGAGTACCCGTTCATGGGCGACGAGTCCATGACGCTCGACTCCGCATGGAGCTTATGGGCGAACTACGTGATATGGACCAGCTTGAGCAGCAGATTCAGCAGGTCATGCGCAGCGGGCGATATAGAGGGACTAGACCTCGACAATGTGGAGCAGATTATGGGCGAGGACGCCCGCCGCCAGCTTGAGCAGCTTCAGAAGCTCATCCAGCAGCTCGAAGAGGCAGGCTACCTCAAGCGCAAGGGCGACAGGCTGGAACTCACACCGCGCGGCATCCGCAAGCTCGCGCAGCAGGCGCTCCGAGAGGTCTTCTCAGAGCTGAAGAAGGACCGCATGGGACGCCACGAAATATACTCACGCGGCGACGGCGGCGAGCGCACCGGCGAGACTAAGCCATACGAGTTCGGCGATCCCTTCGACATCGACCTGCACCGCACGCTGTTCAACTCCACGCTGCGCAACGGCCCCGGCACGCCGCTCCGCATCAGCCCGGAGGACTTCGAGGTTCATCACACCGAGCACATGACGCAGACGGCAACGGCATTGCTCATAGACCAGAGCCGCTCCATGGGCATGTTCGGCAGTTTCGCCGCGGCCAAGAAAGGTCGCGCTCGCCCTGTACTGGCTTATTCACAGCCAGTACCCACGCGACTACCTCCACATCATCGGCTTCTCAGACTACGGCATGGACATCGCTACCGACGACCTCGCAGACCTCACATGGAACGCATGGGTCTCTGGCACGAACATGCAGCACGCGCTCATGCTGGCGCGCCATGCTCTGTCGAAGCAGAAGGTCGCCACCAAGCAGATAGTGATGATTACCGATGGCGAGCCAACCGCGCACCTTGAGCACGGTCGCGCCTACTTCAGCTACCCACCAAGCTGGCGCACCATCGAAGAGACGCTCAAAGAGGTCAAGCGCTGCACGCAGGAAAACATCACCATCAACACCTTCATGCTCGAAGCCAACTACTACCTGATGGACTTCATAGACAAGATGACTCGCATCAACAAGGGGCCGCGCCTTCTACACCGACCCCAGCCAGCTCGGGCGATATGTGATGGTGGACTACCTCCGCAGCCAGCGCAAGCGAGTTGGTTAGTCAGTCAGTATTTCAGAGAGTCAGTTCATTTTCGGAGCGCAAACCATCAGTCCCTTCTCCCTTTGGGAGAGGGCTAGGGTGAGGGGATGTTCTTCAACATAGCCCCCTTATAGCCCCCTTTCCACCACGAACTACCGCCCAACTGCTAAACTGGTGTATCGACCAAATACCGACTGGGAGGCAGTCATGACCAAGTGGTGGCTAATCGGCGCAGCAGTATTCCTAGCCGTGCTCCTGATCGCAAGCATCGTGCTCGCGTTGACATCGAAAGAGGCCGAGTTCGCGCCCGGAACACCGGAGCACGCGGTGCAAAGTCTCCTCCGTTCCGTCGAGGCAGACGACATCGAGACTGCTTACGCGATGCTATCGCAGGAACTTCAGCAGAAATGCGAGCTTAAGAACTTCGCGGACGGCGGTAGATACCGCTCCGGGGACGACCGCGACATCCGCGCCACTTTACGCGCCACTAAGACAATTGACGATATAACCTTCGTAAATGTCGAGGTAACGCAGTTCTACGGCAGCGGTCCCTTTGACAGCGGCGAGTCATCCTACGACAGGCGCTTCGTCTTGCAGCAGGAAGGCGGCGAATGGAAGTTCACCGAATACCCCTGGCCCTACGACTATTGCCAAGAATCCGACAGCAATTAATTCCGGCTGACTGCTTCGATTGGCGGCCATAAATGGATAAACCATCTCTGCAGTTCCTCTAACTCGGCGTTCGCTATAAAAGGGATTTACCATGCCTGACGCACTGTTCTTCGTCTTCGGTATCCTCGGTTTATTCTTTCCTATTGTCATCATAGGTTTGATAATCTACGGCATCATCGTCTGGAGACGCCGCGCCTCCGAGCACGCGCCGGACGCCGACGATGACCCCGGCATCGGCACCGTGCGACGCCTGTACTTCTACGTCGTTGCCTTCGTGTCGCTGATGATGACCGTAACCGGCGTCGTGATGCTCATCCAGTTCATCTTGGACAGCATCGTGGGCAGCGTTGTGATTTCAGACTCCACCGTAAGGATTGCCGCCGGAGTTTCTTTGCTGATAGTGGGCGCGCCCCTATGGTACTTCCACTGGCGATACATTCAGCGCGCCGTTGCGGAACAGCCCGTGGAGACGCGCTCCATCCTTCGCAAGCTCTACATCTACATCACGCTTGCCGTCGCAGGCAGCATAGCCATCTATACGGCTTATGATCTGCTGAACTGGATATTCGGAACAGAAGACTTCAGTGGATACAGCATCGCCGCGGTCATCATTGGAGCGGGGTCTGGGCTTTCCACTGGCTATCGAAGAGCGTGAGGGGCAGCCCACACCTGAGACTATCGTAATCCGACGTCTGTACATCTATATCGCGTCTCTGGTCGGGCTGATAATGCTCTCCCTAGGCGTTCGGCGCGTGCTCTACTTCATCCTTCTTGAAGGCTACAACGCCCTGGCCGCCACACCACTTCTTGGCGATGAATCAGGTCTGTGGCGTCCCACCCTGCGCGAGATGCTATCGCTCGCAATCATCGGCGGTGGAGTTTGGGCGCTCCACTGGCTCTATATAGCGCGGCGCGACTACGACAGCGCGATACGGCAGGTATATCTGTACATCTTCGCGATTCTCGGCGGTGTCATGACCACCCTGTCCGCGCTTGGCATAATCATCCACGAGATATTGGTATGGGCACTCGGAAGCGTCAGCGCAGACTCGACTGCTGAACACTTCGAGTTCCTGCCCGGCTCGGTCGCCACCCTGAGCGTTGGCGCGGCGTTGTGGGCATACCACTGGTACAGGGTGCGTCTTGAGGCGGATATGTCCCCAAGCACAACTCTGTCGGCTCGCCGAGTGTACACCTACATTCTCACGGCAATAGGCACGGGAACCCTCGCCTTAGCCATATTCATGCTCGTAGGCGCGGCGCTCCGGCTCATTCTGGCGAGCTTCGCTGATGTTGTCGTTGGCGAAGACCAGTGGAAACTGCCTCTCGCAAGCATCATTACGCTGGCAGTTCTCGGCGGACCCCTCTGGGGATACTACTGGCGGAATATACAGCTTCGGATGCAGACCGATAGCGACGACGAGATACTCGCCACCTCACGCCGCATCTTCATATTCGCCGCACTGGGGGTGGGTGTACTCGCGCTACTGGGCAGCGTCAGTGCCCTGCTGTTCATGTTCCTGCGCGACCTGCTGGAAGTCTCGCTTTCCCTCGATACCCTGAACGACATGGCCGAGCCAATCGCCATCATCGCAGCAGCAGCAGCATTCCTGCCATACTACTGGTCAGTCTATCGTCAGGATCAGGATGCCGCGCCGGAAATTGTGCCCGAAGATTCTCCCGTGATTTCTGAGCCTGTCGAAGGGCAAACGCCCCGCAAGCCCGTAACGCTGCTCGCCGCCGACGACCCAAGCACTGGCAGGACAAATTCAGGACGCCCTAGGCTACGATATAGACACGCTGCGCTGGGCATGCAGATGCCGTTATCCTGCGCTCACCGAAGAATCAGCAGCTCGACTAGCCCAGTCCATCGCGGACGCGCCTGGACGCTACATCCTGCTTATCCCTGACGGGGACGGGCTGCGCGTGCTGTCGCACGAGTAAATATAAGGACCCTTACCCCGTCAAAGGTGAAACCGTCTCGGTGGTGTCCGCCGCCGTCGCAGGCACGTTCGAAGGAGGCGCATACATAGTGGTCATCGCATCGAAATGGTCAGGAGAAGTTTCGATAGAGGCCGTGCAGAAGGCCGTGCAGAAGCATACGCTGAATTCAATTAGCGAAATGCCGAATACTATAAGCGCATGCAAGAAGCACGAGAACGCGGCGAGGATTTCAACGAACCACCCCTACATCGGTGAGACCAAGGCGAAGACTAACGCTCGACGCTACCTTTATCCCGCGGGAGGAGATGGCGGCACAGGCGGAATCGGCGGCACTTCCGGACCAGTCCCATTCTCCGAAGGGAACACCAGCTTCCGCACCGGGTAGTTGATCTCGATCCCCTCAGCCGTTAGCCGCGAGTGGATCACCTTCACCAGGTCGCTCGTCAGGTAAAAGCTCCCCAGCCTGTCCTTCGCCTGCACGAACACCCAGAAGCTGATATTGGAATCTCCGAACTCGTCGTAGCCGAACCACGGCTCACCATCTACTGCGTACTCGGATTCGTTAACTAGCTCCTGCGATGCCTCGCGCACCACGCTCTCCACCACCTCCAGGTCCGAGTCGTAGCTCACCCCGCAGTAAACCAGCACATTCATCGAAGGCTCAGGACTGTAGTAGTTCGTGACGATGCTGTTAGCCATCTGTGAGTTAGGAATAATGACCAGATTGTTGTACATCGAGCGAATCTTCGTGCTGCGCCATCCAACTTCCACAACATACCCTGAGGGCCACCTTGCAGCTCGATGTAATCACCGACATTCAGCTCCCCTTCCGTCACGACATAAGTGCCGGCGAAGAAGTTAGCGAGTGTCGGCTGCACGGCGAGCGCCACCGCCAGGCCGCCGATGCCTAGCCCTGCGAGTATCGGGCTTATCGGGATGTTCAGCACCGACAGTGCCATCAGAAATCCCAGTGAATAGACCAGCAGCGGCATTATGCGTTTCAGCGGCGGCAGCAACCTGTCGTCCAGTTGCGTCTCCGTCGTCTGCGCCACGCTCTGGATATACCAGGTCATAGTCGCGTCCAGCAGGTGGTAAAGGAGATACGCCACCTCCGCAATGACGACTACCAGCCAGGCGCGGCGTATCTGATCGTCATAGCCCGTTATCAGGGCGTAGCGCGGGCTATCGAGATTAGTGAGGATTAGCAGCGCGAGGAACAGTCCGGACAGCGTGATGAAGAGTACCACCGGCCCGCGCACCACAGTCAGCAACTCTTCGTCCAGAGTGCCGGGTGTTAGACGCGCCACGCGCCCAAGGAACACCCGCATGACTACATTCGCAACACCGGCGGCAATCAGGAACCCCGCAAAAATCAGTGCCGCGCTCAACGGTCCCGCCCACTCCCACTGGCTAATAAACGGTGGCAGCATCTATATCCTTTCCATTCCTTCGGCTACGCTCAGGACAGGCTCTGTCCATCAATGTCAATGTACCTATCATTTACTCCACAGTCACCAGGTCTCGTATATTGTCAACGATCCCTATTCCGATGCCGTTCACATCCAGCAATCCGTCCACGCTCACAAAGTCCCCATTAGCCTCTCTGTAGCTCACGATTGCCTGCGCCCTCACATCGCCGATTCCCGGCAAGGTCTTCAGCATCTCCACATCCGCGCTGTTCAGGGTCAACCTTTCCGTCGGCGCCCAGTCCGTTCTGAGCCGGCGTCGAATTGGTATTGAGGCTCGACCCAGCCAACCCACCGGAGGGTAAAGCAACCTCTCCCTTCTCAGGAATGTGCCAATGGTCTTCGTCTTGGACGACCGCCGCCAGATTGATGGCAGTCAGGTCAGCCTCGGCGGTCGCACCTCCGGCAGTCAGCAGCACATTCGCCAGTCTGCTGCCACCGTTTACAATATACACGCCCGGATTGACCACCGCTCCGCTAATGTACACTCCTACCCGTGTTTCAGAGGGCATTGGTGTGCTCGTTGGCGCAGGAGCAGCAGTTGGAGCGATCTCCACAACCTGGATCTCACCCGCCGATGCGCTCGGCCACACCGTCATCACTACCCCGCCCGCAATCGCAAGCACTATCAGCGCGCCCAGCACAATGTAGGTGAAGTTCAGATTCATTCCCGCCCCATCCACAATTCAAGCAGCACAAATATGACGCAACCGCGCTCCAAGTGTCAAGAGTGGCGAATCGTAGGTATGCCAAACGTTCAAGAATATTGCGTCTGGTGAGTTCATCAATCGCGTGGATTCCAACTCTCGTAGGAGTGACGATTCTTATTGGCCAACGCAATCCGAGGATGCCCTCTAAAGTTTTCGCTGGACGAATGCGCGTCGTGTTGGATACACTCTAGGGTGGACTTGCGAGACAACAAAATAGAGATTGTGGGGCAGACAAAGCAAAATGAGCATGATGGATAAGCAAGACGAAGAATTTTCACGCGGAATGGTGGTGGTCGCGCACGCGGACGACGCCGAATTTGGATGCTCAGGCACGGTGGCGAAGCTGTGCGCCGAGGGTTGGGAGATGGTATATGTGATGTGCACGGACGGCAGTAAGGGCAGCAGCGATCGCGAAATCACGCAGGCTGAGCTCGCCGCCATCCGCCGCGAAGAGCAGATAAACGCGGGCAGGGTGCTCGGATTGAAGGATGTCGTCTTCCTCGACTACGAGGACAGCCTGCTCCAGCCCACGCTGGAACTGCGCAAGGACATAGCCCGCGAAATTCGCCGTTACAAGCCGGATGTGCTGATTACGATGTACCCGATGCGCAGCCTTAACGGAGGCTGGGGCGTCGGGCATCCCGACCACATGGCGGCGGGCGAGGCTGCGCTGCAAGCCGTATTCCCCACGGCTCGCGACCACATGACATTCCCTGACCTTCTTGAGGCAGGCTTCGAGCCGCACAAGGTCGCCGAAGTCTGGATTATGGGTCATCCGGAACCCGACCACTACGTCGATGTCACAAAGCACATGGACACTTCAATCGCGGCTCTTATGGAGCACAAGACGCAGATGAACGGGCGCGACGAAGCGTGGGCGCGTGAGAGGATGGGACACTGGAAGCGCGAGCGCGCAAAGGGCAGGGGCATTCAGCACGCCGAGGCTTTCAAGCGCATTGAGTTCCGCCGCTGATATGCGTTTGCGGTAACTACGCGCAACGGGCGCAGGATGCTAACATCCTGCGCCCGCGCTTTTCTCATATGGTCAGTATCAGTTTCGAATCCTGCTAAGGGCTGACCTCCACGCTGCCCCAGCATATCAGCGCGTCGTCATTGCGAAGCGCGCAGGCATGGTCAGTCCCGCGGCTGAAATCAGTGAAGGGACCGCTCGCCGAGGGAGTGGGTTCGGGCGCAGGTTTCGCCTCCTCGCCCGCCTCGGTAACTTCCATTGTCAGCGTGAAGTCGCCGCCTTTCTCAATATCGGATGTCGTCGCCTCTATGGTGTATTCACCTGCTTCCAGATTATCGACCACTATGCGCGAGTTGTAGTTGACATACGGTGTGATGTCGTCGTTTAACGCTTCTATCGCTCCGTCCTTGCCCTCACCTTCCATCAGGTACAGGTATGTGTCCTTCTCAGAGGACAGATTTATGGTTAACTTTTTGCCTGCATCCAAGTTACGCCCTCTTGCTGCGATGCGCTCCCAAGAAGGCTTGCAGGCACATCCGCGCCTATATAACCATCGAACTCAGGACCCGGCGATGCGCCATTCTCCTGCAGAATATCTCGTAGATCATCCGCTTCGCCCGTCTCTGTCAGGAAGATTACGCCGACAGACCCTCCGCTATTCACGGGAGCGTTGGCGGCAGCCGCATTGTGGTAGCATGTCAGCGATTTCTTGCCAACCTGCCAAACACCGATAACTGACAACCATTGCGGAGGACATCAATGCAAAACGAACCCACCGCCTTTCGCGTTGGCGACCCCGGCATCCGAGACATCTTCGGCGAAGCCTCCGCGCATACAGGCATGGCTCGATGTCGAAGTCGCGCTCGCGCAGGCGCAGGCGGAACTCGGAATCATCCCTGATACGCCGCAGAGGAAATCGAACGCAAGGCGCGCTACGAAAACCTCGACATGGACAACATCCGCGAGGGCTTGGCGCGAACGGGCCATCCTCTGGTTCCTATGGTCTGGGAACTCGACCGCATCTGCGAAGGAGACGCGGGCGGCTACATCCACTGGGGTGCTACCACACAGAACATCACGCAGACGGGCAAGCTGCTCAACTTGCGCCGCGCGCACAGCGTCTTTCTGCGTCAACTCGCAGAATTGCTCATCGAGCTTGCCGACCTAGCCGAATCCACCAAGGATGCCGCTCTCCCCGGGCGCACGCATGGGCAGCATGCCGTTCCCGCCACTTACGGTTACAAGGTCTCCGTGTGGATAGACGAACTCTGCCGTCATATCGAGCGACTGCGCGGGTGCGAGAGCCGCGTATTTGTCGCTATGCTCGGCGGCGGCGCGGGCACTCTCGGATCGCTCGGCGAGATTGGCTTGACGATCCAGGACGGCATCGCGGAGCGGCTCGGCATGGGTTCGATGTCCAATCCCAGCCGCACCATCAGCGACCATCTCGCCGAATACATAACGATCCTCGCCCTCCTCGCAGCCACTTGCAGCAAAATCGGCAGGGAAGTCTATACGCAAATGAAGCAGGAGTTCGGCGAAGTCGAAGAACCTGTCCCCGAAGGCACCGTCGGCAGCAGCACCATGCCGCAGAAGCGCAACCCAAAACTTGCCCAGGACATCGTTGCCGGAGCCGCCCAGGTGCGGGCGCTCGTCCCTCTTGCGCTAGAAGCGATGCAGACCGAGCACGAAGCCGACCGCACAACTAGCGTCATGATGGACAAGGCTCTCAACGAAGCCTGTATTCTCACGGGCGACATTCTCCAGCGCATGGTCAACCTATTCGCGGGCATCCGCGTCTTTCCGGAGAGGATGCGTCAGAATCTGGACCTCAGCGGCGGCCTCATAATGTCCGAAGCGATAATGCTCGAACTCGGCAGGCAGATAGGGCGACAGCAGGCGCACGACGCCGTGTACGAAGCGGCGCAGGCGTCTTTCATTGAAGGCAGGCCCTTCGCCGAAACGCTCGCTGAAGAGACCGAAGTCAGCGACCGTCTAACCGCCGAGCAGATTCAGGCATTGCTCGATCCCACCGCATATACTGGCGCGTGCAGTCTGTTCGCACAGCGCGGTGCGGCGCAAGCGCGTGAGGTCGCGAATTCTCTAAGCGAGTGAATTCCTAATGATGGCTAGACACCATCAACTATGATGACGCTGCTGTTCGTGGAGTCGATTCGCATCTGCTTGGGGACCCGCGTACTCATCGGATCCGTGCCACGCCTTTGCCTTTTCGAAGTTCTCGAACTCGATTATGACTGTGCGATGAGGTGTCCCTTCGCCTTCGACGACCTCGGATGCACCGCCGCGCACGATGTACTTGCCGCCATAAGCCTCGATGGTGGCCGGAACCAGCTTGCGATACTTCTCGAACAATTCCGCATCCGTTACTTCCACGTCCGCTATCACATAACCTGCCATTTAACTCTCCTTTACTCACGCTTTAACGCCGCTCTGTGATACCATTTTTGCCTGCTAAACATTAACACTACTGACGGATGCTCTGTCAACACAGCGGCAAGAAAGGGTTTGCGACGACGATGCTCGACTATTTTCAGATAACGGAGGCGCTTTCGCCTGAGGACCGGCAGACACAGACGGTGGCTCGCGATTTCATGGAGGCCGAGGCCTCCGATAGCGTGCTGGACTGGTGGGAGAGCGGTGAGTTTCCGGAGCAGCTTGTGCCCAAGATGGGCGAGATGGGCTTTCTTGGGGCGAATCTGCCGACTGAGTACGGCGCGAGCGGCGTCAGCAATGTCGCCTACGGGCTGATCATGTACGAGCTGGAGCGCATAGATTCGGGTTTTCGCAGCTTTGCCAGCGTGCAGGGCGCGCTTGTGATGTATCCGATATACCGCTATGGCTCTGAGGAGCAGAAGCGCACTTACCTGCCGCAGCTCGCCGCCGGGCAGATGATAGGCTGCTTCGGGCTGACCGAGCACGACGGCGGTTCCGACCCCGGCGCGATGAAGACGCGGGCGCGCAGGGATGGCGAGTCGTACATCCTCAACGGCGTGAAGATGTGGATCACCAACGGCAACATAGCGGACATAGCTATCATCTGGGCGAAAGACGATGATGATGTGGTTCGCGGATTTGTCGTGCCAACGGATACACCCGGCTTTCAGGCGAACCACATCAAGCACAAGATGAGCATGCGCGCATCGGTAACAAGCGAGCTAGTGATGGACGAAGTGCGAATACCGGCATCTCAGATGCTGCCGGAGACTCGTGGGCTGTCCGCGCCGCTATCGTGCCTGACGCAGGCGCGCTATGGCATCGCCTGGGGTGCTCTGGGTGCGTTGGAAGCAGTATATGAGGACGCGCTATCGTTCTCGCAACACCGTAGCACCTTCGACAAGCCCATTGCGTCAAGGCAACTGGTGCAGACTAAGCTGGTCGATATGGTAACGGACCATACCAATGGGTTGCTTCTGGCATGGAGGCTTGGCGTACTGAAGGATGCTGGCACGATGCATCATACGCAGGTGTCAATGGCGAAGCGTAAGAATGTGCGTGTTGCGTTGAATGCCGCTCGAAGCGCGCGCGAGATTCTTGGAGGAAGCGGCATCACGCTCGAGCATCCCACCATACGGCACATGCTCAACCTGGAGACGGTGGACACCTACGAAGGCACACACGATGTTCACACGCTGATACTGGGGCGAGACATCACGGGGCACAACGCGCTGGTGTGATCTGGCATTACTTGGCGGCTAATAGGGTGAAATACCAGACAAGTATTGTTATCGACATCAGAAGGATCATTACCGCCCGGAAGTAGCCGATAGCTATAATTCCGCTCAGCAGGTCCCTCGCAATGGTCAAGCAGAGCAGGATGGACCTCAGGTAGATGTAATCTACTGCGACTTTTAGCTCTTTAACCAAGTTGCCGCTTCCCTCACTGCCGCCCAGCCTGATGTTGAGTCCGATGTGGTGGAGCTGAGGGGACTCGAACCCCTTGCCTCTTCAATGCCATTGAAGCGCTCTCCCAGATGAGCTACAGCCCCACCTGCGCTATGGGGCCAGTAGATGGCCCCAACAGAGGTACGGATAAATATAGCAGACGGCTATGGTGTCCGCAAGGAATCGGGCAGGTTCCTGCTCTGTCGCGTGGGTGTATAATCGGCTAAAGGCTGTTTCACGGTCTTGTGTAGCGCTCATTGGAGGACATCCATTGAGCCAGGAAGGGAGGGCGCGGCTATGAGATTTGCGGCGTTTACTACAGTGGCGGAGTCGGCGGGAGAAGCTACCGATGCCACGGGATTGCTGGACAATCTTCGAAAGCAGACCATCCTCGCGGAGGAGCTGGGCTTCGAGGCTATGTGGCTTGGGGAGCATCACTTCGGGCCTTACGGAGCGGGCGACATACCTAACCCGATTCTGCTTGGGGCCGACCTGGCAGCCAGGACGTCACGAATTCGCATTGGTCAGATGGCGAACATAGCGCCGTGGTGGCATCCGATACGGCTGGCAGAGGATTTAGCCATTCTGGACAATATGAGCGGCGGTCGGGTCGATGTCGGTTTTGGCAGGGGGATCTGGCCGTATGAGGGGCCTCAGTTCCATCCTAACGCGGACCCGCGCAAAGACAAGGAAAACAGGGAGCTGTTCCGCGAAACGGTGGAGATCGTGCGGGAAATCTGGAGGAACGAGTATTTCTCGTATAACGGCAGCAACTACTCTTTCCCTGCCGAAGACACGGTTTTCTCGCATCCTATGTATTCGCCGAATCCGAAGTGGCTAGATGGCGAGAAAGTGACGAAACTTCGTGTGACGCCGAGGCCATATCAAGAGCCGCATCCCCCAATTTGGATGACTGTATCCACCGACAACTCGGTTACAACGGCGGCTGAACTCGGGCTGAACGCCTGCTATTGGCAGCCGCCGGCGCTCAGGATCAGGCAGCGAATGGAACTTTACGCGGAGATCAGGTCCAGGCTGGAGGGCAGACAGTTCAGATTGGGGGAAGGTCAGGCGGTTATGCGAACCACCTATATCGCCTCTTCTATGGAGGAAGCACGGCGCGAGGCTGAAGAAGCCGTTATGTCGTCTTTCATATTCAACGACCCGTTTCGAGGCAGGCAGGTGTTCACGAATCCTGATGAGGTGCTAGACCCTGACGTGAAGCTGGACTGGGATTTCCTTGAACCTCGCACTCTGTTGGTCGGCTCTCCTGAAAATGTGATAGAGAAGATTGAGGAGCTGCAAGAGGTATGCAGCCTGGAATACCTTCTTGTCTCGTTTTCGCACACGGGTCTACCAGTGGGTAAATCGCTGCAGAACCTGGAGAACTTCGCTACGAAGGTCATGCCCCACTTTGCATGACATATGCATAGGCTATCCCATTTAATGCGCCAATTGCCGTCATCTCCGTGTGGGCGCAAGTCGCGCTCGTTGCAGTTCTTCGGTCGTAACCGACGGCTGTAAGAGCAGCTCATCGTACAGCGATTCGGGCGGCTCCAAGTCGCGCAGGGCGGGTATGACCTGCTCGCCCATCAGCCGAATGGAGCGCATCAGCTTTTCGTGCTCGATGCCGCCGAACATCATCCAGTTGCTGATGTGCGTTGCGCCCGCGCTGGCTGCGCGCCGGAACTTCTCGATGACAGTCTCGGGGCTGCCGAAGTACAGCCGATCGAGAAACGCTTCGTCATCCAGTTCCCCATCGAACGGGATGGCGTTAATTGCGCCGTTGTTTACATCGTGGCGGCTCAAGCCGCGCTGGGCGCGAGTCTGCCAGCGCACATAGGGCAGCGCTTCGAGCGCCTCTTCATCGGTGGGCGCGACATGCGTCATGCACTGCAATGCCAATGATGGGCGCTGCGGTGGCTTGCCGAGAGCCTTTCGCGCTTGCACATACGTCGCGAGCTGCTTGCGGACGCCGTCCATTCCGAGCGCGCTTGACGACAAGGGGAGCATGTCCAGCCGTGCCGCCAACTCCATGGACTCGACGCTTGTGCCTGAAATCCATAGCGGCGGGTGTGGGCTTCTGCTTAGGCTTCGGGAAAACTGTGACCGGATGCTCGATGCGAATATGCTCGCCCTCATAGGTGAACGATTCATCGGATGTCCATGCCTTCAGCAGCACTTCCAGCGTCTCCTGGAACTTGCCGCGCGATTCGCCGAGGTCGCTGCCGAAGCCCGCCATTTCGTAGCCCTGGTAGCCTCTGCCGACGCCGCACATCAGCCTGCCGTCTATGAGATTATCGAGCACCGCAAGTTCTTCGGCGAGGCGCAACGGCTGCCATACGGGTAGTATGACGGACGCCGTGCCGATCTTTATCCGCCGGGTGCGCTGGCCGATGTAGAGCGCCTGCATCAGCGGAGCGGGCGAGTTGCCGTAGTTCGTGAAGTGGTGCTCGGCGATGAGGCAGTAGTCGAAGCCGAGTTCCTCTGAGTATTGCACCTGCTGGACGCCCTCCTCGAAGAGCGTCTTCCAGTTTCGCATCGTGGGGTTGGGCCATTCCAGAAACAAGCCGAATTTCAATTCTTTGTCCTTTGCTGCGGTGTGATGTCCGATGTGGTTAGTGTTTTATTCGACGGGTATCAGCAGGTAGCCTGCGGCTAGTTGAATCGGCTCATGGTCTCGTCTATGCCCTCGGATAGCAGGCAAGCCACGGCATCGGCAGCGCGCTCAACCGCTTCATCAACGACCTTGCGGTCTTCAGGCTCCATTGGCCCTATGACATGCTCAATCTGTCCTGTGCCTTCGGGCGGTCTGCCGACGCCTATCCTGAGCCGAGGGAACTCCTGCGAGCCTGCCGCTTCGATGACGGACTTGATGCCGTTGTGCCCGCCTGCGCTGCCCCTGCTCCGCAGCCGCAGTTTGCCCGGCTGTAGGTTGATGTCATCGCAAACGACGAGCAGACTTTCGGAGGGGACTGCGTAGCGCGCCCTCAGGTAGCTGACTGCCGCGCCGCTGCGGTTCACGAATGTGCGCGGCTTGACCAGAACGACGCGGCTAGATTCGATGTCGCCTTCGCCGATGACGGCAGACCTGTGCCGCCGTTCAAGGGTGATGTCATGCTTCTTAGCCAGCGCGTCGATGCACCAGAAGCCGGCGTTGTGGCGGGTGCCGGCATATTCGGGACCGGGATTGCCTAAGCCGATAATGATGAGGGAGGGTGGTTCGGCGCGGTGGCTGTCGCGGCTGCCGCGTATGAATTGTAATAGATTGCGCATATCGATATTTTACAACATTTGCGGATGGTGGGGCGTACCCGCATCAGCTAGCCGATAAGGGCATAATGACCGCCCCGCCCATGCTGCTGTGTCATACGCGGCAAAGCGTGATATTATGTACGGCAGTTCCACGATGATGGCGGAGCGAGTCGAATTTGACGCTGCTGCAAAGATATGGGTTGACGCCGGAAGAGATCGAGCGTCGCAGTCTTGAGATGGTGGAGGCCGCGATGCCGCCTACGCCGCATCTGACGCCGCATGAGCGGTATGTGCTTGGGCGCATCGTACGCGCAGAGGGCGAGCCGCAGATTGTGGACTCTGTGCGCTTCAGCGAATCTGCGGTTGAGCGCGGGCATTGCGGCGCTGCGAGATGGGGCAACGATTGTTACCGATGTGCGCATGGTGGAAGTGGGCACATCGAAGGCGCTGCTGAGGCGAGCGGGCAATCCGATCACGACTATGATTGACGCGCCAAGCGTTGCAGAGAGGGCGAAGCGGGAGGGCATCACTCGCTCGGCGGCTGCGATACGCGAACTGACGCCGCAAATTGACGGGGCGGTCGTCGCTGTGGGTAATGCTCCGACGGCATTACTGGCATTGCTGGACAGCGTTGATGAGGGCAAGGCACAGCCCGCGCTGATTATCGGCATGCCGGTCGGCTTCGTAGCGTGCGCGGAAGCCAAGGATGAGCTTGCCAAGCGTGCTGCGGCGCACATTACGATTCTGGGCAATCGCGGAGGTAGCAGCGCAGCGGCGGCAACGCTGAACGCGCTTCTGGCGCTGTCTATGGAAGATATTCTATGACTATGGCAAACGGATATAGCGACTTTGGCAACTCGGACAGTTCGTCCAATTCGGATTGGGGTGTGGTGCTGCTGGCTCATGGCAGTCAGCGCGGCAACCATACGATAGATGGCCTACGCGAGATGGTGCAACGGCTGCAAGAGCGTCTCGGTGAGCGCAATGCGAAGGTCAAGATGGCCTGCCTTGAGTTCATACAGCCGGACCTGCCGCAAGCAGTCGGATCGCTGGTATCCGAGGGCCGCACTTCCATAACTGTGATGCCATTCCTGCTGGGGCAGGGAACGCATACCAACGATGACCTGGAAGAGGAGATTGCGCGTTCGCTGGAGGCGTATCCACAGGCGCGAATCAAGGCATCCGAGGTATTCGGCTCGGACCCGGCGCTGGTGGAGATTGTGGTGGAGCGGGTACATGAGCACAGCGCATCGCTGAATGGCAAGTCAGGAAATGCTCCAAAGGGCGTAATGCTGGTCAAGGCGGGGACGCGCTCGGCTGCGGAGGACCATCTATGGCTGTACCAGATGGGACGCATGCTGGAGGAGCGGCTTGGCGCGGGCTACGCCGTGGCGGTGGCGCAGTCTCACTTCGGCTCTCCGACGATGGAAGAGGCTGCTGCCGAACTGGTGGAAAAGCAGGGAGTGTCTGCGGTTACATGCGTTCCCTACATCTTCTTCCCCGGCCTTATCCTTACGCGCAATATAATAGGCGGACTAGAGGCGTTAGGACAAAAATATCCGGATGTGGGATTTGAGGTTACGCCTACTCTGGGCGTCGAAGACGGCCTCGTGGAATTGACGGCGCGGCGTATCCTTGACGCATCACACGATTAGCGTGGTTCAAAATGACGAGGCGTGAGAGCGATTACAGCCGTCCGACCGTGAGGCGGCGCGGCATGCGAACGGGCTACACGACGGGCGCATGCGCGGCTGCGGCGGCTAAAGCCGCGACGATTGCACTGCTCAGCGGGAAGCCTGTTGATGAAGTTACTATTCGACTGCCCATTGGCAAGGATGCCACATTCCAGATTCATCGCTGCGAGATTGACGGTAGCGATGAGACGCCTGTCAGCGCACTTTGCTCAGTCATCAAGGATGGCGGCGACGATCCGGATGTTACATCGGGCGCGGAGATACGCGCGAGGGTATGGCGCGACGCCAATACTGAGAATGATGTGACTTTGCATGGCGGTGATGGCGTTGGCACGGTAACGAAGCCGGGCACGGGCATTCCTGTGGGCGATCCCTCGATAACTCGCGTGCCGCGCCGCCTGATTACGCAGTCTGTTCAGGAAGCGGCGGGTGGTCTGTCGTTTAACGTGGAAATCTCAGTCCCCGGCGGACAGGAAATCGCCAAGAAGACGGACAATCCGCGCCTTGGCATTGTGGACGGTATATCCATTCTTGGCACGACGGGCGTGGTGCAACCGTTTTCCACCGCCGCATGGCGAGCGAGCGTGAAATGTGTCCATCGATGTTGCCGCTGCCAACGACCTAAAGCACATGGTCATTACCACCGGCACTCAGTCGGAGTTGTTCGCAAAGCACTGGCTGGGGCTGGAGGATATGGCGTATGTAAATGTGGGCATCTTCACTGGGGCGGCGCTGAAGCGATGCGTGCAGCGCGGGATTCCGCGCGCGACGCTAGTCGGAATGATAGGCAAGTTCTCCAAGATCGCGATGGGCAAGTTCGTAACGCATGTCGCGGGCAATAAGGTAGACCCGGTGTTTCTGGCGTCGCTAGCGGCGGAGTGCGGCGCGTCCGACGACGTGCAGGCGGAGATGCGCGATGCGGCGAGCGGGCGACACTTTCAGGAGATTGCGCTGGAGCGCGACGTTATGCAAGTGTTCGACCTTGTGTGTGAACGGGTCTGCGATGCTGCACAGCAGTATCTTGGCGACAGAGCCGGCGACCTGATTGTGGACGCGATTTGCTTCGACTTCGAGGGTGGCATACTGGGCAAGGCGACCACCTCGACAGCTCCAATACCGCTTGTGGAAGCGGTGGCTTCCGATGACTAATGCCTCTGTTTCCGTCAATGCGAGAAGCGTAGATCGTCCGCTTGGTTTGCCGGATGACGCATTCGCGCAGAAGCGGCCGCACCGAGGGCTTATCACCAAGGCGGAAGTGCGCGCGGTAAGCCTGTATAAGCTGGGTCTGCGGCGAGATAGCATCGTATGGGATGTGGGTGCGGGGAGTGGCTCAGTTGGGCTTGAGGCGGCGGTTATCGCGTCGGAGGGAATGGTGTACGCGGTGGAGCGCGATGCAGAGTGTCTCGATATGCTGCGCTTGAACGTTGAGCAGTTGGGCCCTGACAATGTCGTCGTCGTATCGGGTGAAGCGCCGGACGCTCTTGATGCGCTGCCCGCGCCGGACTGCGTTTCGTGGGCGGCAGCGGGGGCAGGCTTAAGGACATCCTGGAGTGCGCTGCATCGCGGCTGGCAGCGGATGGGCGCATTGTGGTAAATCTTGCGTCCATCGAGCGAGTTGTACAGACACAGGCGTGCCTTGAATCGCTTGGATTTGACGCGGAGGTGACGATGATAAGCGCTTCGCGTGGCAAGTCACTGCCTGACGGCACGATGCGGCTTGAGGCGCAGAACCCAGTGTTCATCATCACAGGCAAGGGTGGACGGGATGAGTAGCGCAGGCGTCGGATGCCTCTATGGTGTGGGTGTGGGGCCGGGCGACCCGGAATTGCTGACGCTGAAGGCTGTGCGCGTCCTGAAGGCGGCGCCAATCATATTCACACCGCAGGCGACAGGCAGCAAGGACAGCCTTGCGCTCATGGTAGCTCGCAACTATGTCGATGAGTCAAGGCAACGTCTGATATATGCCTCGTTCGTGATGGGTGGGACGTCCGACGGTGTGTGGAGCGAGGCCGCGGAGCGCATTGCAGGCTATCTTTTGGGTGGCGAGGATGTCGCGTTTCTGACGCAGGGCGATCCGTTGCTGTATGGCTCGTTCATGTATGTGATGGTGAAGGTGCAGGCGGCGCATCCCACGATCCCGATAGAGGTGGTCCCGGGCGTAACCTCCATTACGGCGTCTGCATCGCGGGCAAAGATGCCCCTTGTGTCGCACGGCGAGCGGCTGGCCGTACTGCCTGCGATGTACGGAATCGACGACCTGCGGGATGTGCTGGCGCGCAACGACACGGTGGTGCTGATGAAGGTGAATCGCAGGGCGATGGCTGCGGTGTCGCAACTGGAGGCGGACGGCGAACTGAGTCGTTGTGTGTTCGTGCGGCGGGCGACCACTCCACGCGAGCAGATTGCGTTCAGCTTGCGAGAGATTGCGCCTGAGGATATCGACTACTTCTCCATGCTGATATTGAGTGGCAAGAAGGGACAGGTTTGACATTGCTGGAATGTACCAGAGGGAAAGGTGTACTTCATCGGGGGCGGTCCCGGGGATCCGGAGTTGCTGACGCTGAAGGCGAAGCGCATCATAGACTCGGCGGATGTGATTATCTACGCGGACTCTCTGGTGCATCCATCGGTGTGCGAGGGGGCTAAGGCGGGCGCTCAGGTTATCGGCAGCAAGACGCTGAACCTGGACGAAATCACTGAACTGATGGTGGGCGCGGCAACCGATGGCAAGCTGGTCGCGCGGGTGCAGAGCGGCGATCCGTCGATATACGGCGCGGTGCTGGAGCAGATGCGGTTGCTGGAAGCGGCGGGAGTGGAGTATGAGATCGTGCCGGGCGTGAGCGCGGCATTTGCGGCTGCCGCAGTGCTGAAGACGGATTCACGGTGCCGGAGGTGTCGCAGACGGTGATATTCACACGGCTGGAGGGGCGCGTGGCGATGCCGTCAGGCGAGAACTCGCGACCTTGCGGTACACGGCTGTACGCTGGTGCTGTTCCTGAGCATCACACGCATCAACAAGGTCGTCCGCGAACTCAAGGCGGGCGCCTACACCAATGAGACGCCGGTGGCAGTGGTATATCGCGTGGGGTGGCCGGACCAACTGGTCATCACTGGGACGCTGGGCGACATCGCGCCCAAGGTGAAGCGCGCGGGAATTACGCTTCAGGCGCTGGTGCTGGTGGGCGCGGCATTCGACACCGACATACGGCGGATAGAAGCGGCGGGTGAGGCCGCGTCTTCGCACCTGTACTCGTCCGACTATACGCACCTTTACAGACGGGCGGTTGAATTCTCTAAGAGCGATGCAGTGCATCAGGCCAAGAGTGAAGCCGTGCATCAGGGCAGCGGTGATGGCTGATGCTACGGCGATAGTCGCTATCTCGCGGCGGGGAGCGGCGATTGGAGGGCGTGTGCGTGATGCGCTCGGTGGTGGTGCGCTGTATGTGGAGCGGCGGTTTGCGGATGCGGTGGAAGGGGCTACGGCGTTCGACCTGCCGGCGCGCCCGCTGGTGGGGCGGCTGTTTAATGAGTACGAGCGGCTTGTGCTGATGATGCCCGTGGGGGCGGCGGTGCGTTTGCTGGCGGCGCATATTGGGCACAAGCACACTGATGCGGCGGCGGTGTGTGTTGACGATGCGGGGCGGTTTGCGGTGAGCCTGCTTTCAGGGCATGTAGGTGGCGGGGATGCGCTTGCTGAGCGGGTTGCCGATGCGCTTGGCGCGACTGCGGTGATTACATCGGCGTCGCATGTGTTGGGAACGCTTGCGGTTGACCTTCTGGGCAGCGAGTTTGGCTGGCGTATCGAGGCGAGTTCAGTGATGGTCACGCGGGCGAGCGCGGCTGTGGTGAACGGCGAGCCGGTGGGCGGGTGTACCAGGATGCTGGGTGAGCGCGACTGGTGGGATGCTGGCAAGCCGCTGCCGTCCAATGTGAACGTTGTGAGTCAGTAGAGGGCTGGCGCAATTCCCGAATGTGCTGCTGATAAGCGACCGCGTGGATGTGTCCGAGAGGGTCGCGGCGTTCAATGCCCAAGACGCTGGTCATTTACAGGCCGCGCAGTCTGGTGGTGGGGATTGGGAGCAGGCGGGGCGTTGGGTGGCGGAGGTGGAGGGGCTGCTGCGGGGGACATTCGCGGCAGAGCAGCTTGCGGTGGGGAGCGTTCGGTGCATCGCTACGGCGGAACTGAAGCGGGATGAGGCGGCGATTGGGCTGCTGGCGGAGCGGCTGGGGGTGCCGGTGCGGTACTACGGGGCGGAGGAGTTGAATGGGATGCCGGGGCCGTCGGGGGCGTCGGAGTCGCAGCGGCTGCTGGGGATTGTGGGGGTGGCGGAGCCGGCGGCGCTGCTGGCGTCGGGGGGCGAGATCGTCGTGCCGAAGGTGAGGTCCGCGGCTGCGACGCTGGCGGTTGCTCGGATAAATTACCCTCACCCTAACCCTCTCCCATGGGGAGAGGGGACATCCGTCTCGGCACCCCCATCCTAGCCTTCCCCCATCGAGGGGGAAGGGATTTCAGGGCTAGTCCACGAGGAAGCGGCGGAGTTCGGTTAGCAGGAAGTCGGGGTTGTCGGAGGCGACGGGATGGCCGGATTCGGGGACTTCGAAGAACTGCATGGATGGCTGCAACTCGCGCATGCGCGCCACGATCTCCGGCGAAAGGAAGTCGCTCTCCGCGCCCTTGAGTTCGAGGATAGGGCAGCGGATCTGCGCCCACTTCTCCCAGAGCAGGGGGACTTCGTTCTTGCCGAAGCTGCCGTTAATCCAGAACATATCGGGGTCGTGCTTGGCGACGTACTTGCCTGCGTAGTTGAGGCGGAGGCCGTGCTCGGCGGTGTTGCGGTAGTATTCGGGTGACGGGCGTGGGTTGCCTGCATGCCCTGCTCGACATACTCGTCGATGCTGCGCCATCCGAGGGGTCGGCGGTTCATGCCGCCAATCTGCTTTTGCGCGGATGCTGACGCTCATTCGGGGCCGTAGTCGAGGCAGATCAGGTGCTTGAGGTGAGGTGGGGTTGTCGCCGGCGTATGGGATGGCGTTGCGGGCGCCGAGTGATGCGCCGATGTAGTCGCAGGGGACGATGCCGATTGCTTCGGCGAACGCTGCGAGGTCTTCGGCGAATGCGGTTACGGCATAGCCATCGCGGGTGTGGGATGAGTCGCCGTGTCCGCGCTGGTCGATGGCGATGACGCGGAACTCGTGGCGCAGTTCGCGGGCGATGTGGTCCCAGTTGTGGGCGTTGCCGCCCTGAGCCATGCACGAGCAGGAGGTTGCGCGTGGAGTCGCCGCCCCAGTCGATGTAGTGGATGGTGAGTCCGTTGATGTCGATGTAGTGGTCGGTGGGTACGGCGGTCATTGTGTTCTCCTGGGGGTATTATGATGTGCTGGGTGGATGGGATTCATCACCCCCATCCTAACCTTCCCCCGTCGAGGGGGAAGGGACAAGTTGGTAATGCAAACCGCCTTGTGGAAGATGGCACAAGGCGGCGCTAATGAGACATTCAATTGAAGATCGATGAGGGCGTGGTTAGCGGTTGCGGCGGCGGCGGATGCGGCGCAGGCTGCGCTGCTTGTCGAGGCGGGTTTGCTCGCCCTTGGTGCGGAAGAAGCGCCGATTGCGCAGTTCGCGCAGTATGCCGGAGCGCTGCATAGTTGTCTGGAAGCGCCTTAGCAGGCCTTCGGGGTCTTCGCCTTCGCGTAGGGTTACATAAGCCAAGTGTGTTTCCTCCGTGAGTAGGTGCAACGATAGGATAGGCGGCATTGCGATATGCGCTTGGACGAGTATAAACACATGGGGCTGGGATTCTGTGTTGGGCAGTGCGCGATATTGCAGCGCTTGGCGCCTTTGGACGAGATTTCTCCCCTTCCCCCGTCAAGGGGGAAGGGACGCCGAGGTTAGGGGCTGCGGATGGCCGGTCTGCGGAATTTGCCGGCGAGGGGATTGGGCAGGACGGGTACGCCTTCGCGGGCGGCGGCGTCCTTTATCCGCCTGAGTGTGTCGGAGTATTCTGCGTAAGCGGAAGGTGGGGGAGGTGGCGGCTCTTTCGGGGCTTCGCCTTTTGGAAGTCGCCGGATTCGAGACGCGCTTCGTAGTCGAAGAGTGCCTGTTCTTCGGGGTTGAGGGGTTCGAAGTAGTAGTCGATTGACGGGTCGGGGTCGTTGCGGCTCGTAGTCGTAGATGTTTTTGTCGTCGGTGTTGTTGGACTTGCTGATGGTCTCGTCGCCGGATTCGCTCAGTGGCAGGGTCTTGGATACCGGCTCCATCACCCCCATCCTAACCCCCGCCTTCGCTGGGGGCAGGCTCTTCGCTCCGTCGAGGGAGAAGGGGGTTTTGAGAATGCCGCACTGCCTCTACCCAACACCTCCTCCCTGGGGAGAGCTTTGAGCTTGTGGCGGCCTCGTGGTCTTCTGAGTCCTGCTTTGCGCGAATGACGGAGCTTGAAGTGGCTGTGGCGCCTGAGTCATTCGGTGGCAGGCCTCTTTTCTTTGTTTCCTCTTGGACACCGGCTCCTCACTCTCGTCCTAATCTTTCCCGGTCAATCGAGGGTGAAGGGATTTGATGCGGCCGGCTTCGCGGTCCATCTTCTTCTCGTCACTCTCTTTGGCGATGCGTTCGTAGTCGGGTCGTCGTAGTTGTCGTAGTCGTCGTGAGGTTGTAGAGGCCGGCTTGGGTCTTCTTCTGGACCTACGGTGCGAGGCGCGGGGATTCGTGTCGTCTGCCAGTAGGCTGGAGGTGTCTCGGCTTGATTGCTGTCGTAGTTGGTGTCCCAGCCACGGCGCGAAGTCTTGTGCCGCGACATGCGGTGATGGATGAGTGGTTGGTGGTGAACCTAGGTCAAGGTCGGGGTCGACATCACTTCCAGAGTAAGCGGACGGTTCGTCGCTTTGTGCCGCGCTCGATCTGTACTCGCGCTTTCGCCTGGCGAGGTCGGTGTGAAGGGTGTCGTCGTAGGTCCGTTTGCCTCGTCTGGTGATGGCTGAGACTGCTGCGGCGGGAGCCGAGGTCTCGAAGCCGCGGCCGCAGGAGTTCTCTTTGCTGCCGCTATAGACGGGGTCATGCGGGCTTTTTGATGCGGAATTTCCTTTCTTCGTGCTTCGTGTGAATGGCCTGTCCTGCGGTCATGATGTGATGAGAAACTCTACGAGGGTGTGAAAGCTTCTGCGGTCTCGTGGCGACGAGATGGGCTATCTGGTAGTTGAGGATGTTCGAGGTGGGTTACGGAGTGCTGACATGGAGAAGAGAGGGGAATTTTTCTTTTTTTTTTTTTTTTTCCAAACCCCCCCCCCCCCCCATCAAACTTCCCCCTCGAGGGGAGGGGTCTTTGCTCGCCCTTCGATTGATTTGGGGTGAATGGGCTGCGTCGTCGCATTCGGCGTCGGGGAAGCAGTGAATTGAATTATTGGTGCTTTGCCGCGTCCATGCGGTGGAAGCCTTTGACGCCCCGGGGGTTTGACCGAGCATGTGTCGACGAGAGGAAGGCGGCGATGGTGTCGCCTTCGTCGGTGCGGTCGATGATTTTCTGTTGTAGTGAGAGTGGTGAGCACATGGCGTTAGTCTTCAGTTACAGTTCAACAGTGTTTTGTCGGATGATGTGGTTTGATAGGTGTGTGTGACCGAATAGAGTTCTTTATTATTGACTTCCATCATCGGACGAATGTTTGGGGTGGTCAAAGGGCGAATTCTGGCAGGGCAACAACTCATAAGGGGTTATGGTGGGATAGGTCTGTGGAAACATTTCCAGTTGTCCCCTGTGATCCGGAACGAAGCGAGAAATATGTAGTCTGTGAATGCGCTGGCAACGATTCTAGATTTTCACTCCGCTTCCGCCGTCAGAATGACAGAGAGGAAAGAAGAAATGACAGAGGAAGAAGAGAAAAAGAGGAAAGGGAAAGACGAGGAACAGAAAGAAAGAGGAGCTGCGTTCAGAATGACAGGGAGAGCGCTGCGGTTCGGATATATGAAAAGAATAGACATGATTCTCAGGGTTTTTGAAAACGGATTGGGATCAGAGCAACAGCGTAAGTCATTTATGTTGACATAAATTAGGCATCTTTGTAGTATTGGCGAGGCTTTGAGTCATTGATAGTTCGTAGTTTTTGAAGGTCAGATATTTTCGAATTGTTCTGAGAAATCTGTATATCTACGGAAACGTTCAGGACGTGTTCAAGCAACTTTGCGTCTCAGCGAACAGGCGCGGGTGAGAACAATGAACGAAAAAAAGTAAGAAAGGAGTTACACAACGATGAGAAGATTTATTTCGGTGGCAGCGGCGCTGGCGATTGTTGTCGTGGCTGCGGTTGCCATACTTGCAAGCGGGGAGGTTCTGTCGTTCTCCACACCAGGGTCCGATGTTTCTGTGGGTGTTAGGGACCAGCGGATACAGGGATCAGCCGCAAGTATGAGGATCTGGCTCCCAGAATCACTACTTCGGGGCCAGATTTTATGTGTCAAATATACACGGAGGGCAATATAGACTGCTTTGGCTCCAATACGCATAACGTCGTGTACGGGTGTCCCAGACGGTGATGGATTTACACAATAGAGGGGGCGATACATACGCAGCGCATTTCACCAAAAGCTAGATTCAGTCTTACGTTGGGGTTCAATAACTCTGAGGCCAGCACGACCCCACGCCGGCGACGCCTGAATCGACGGCCACGGCAGCACCTACGGCGACGACTGTTGCTAAAATGGTTGAAGGCCCGTGGCAACCGCAACTAGTGCTCCACAAGCGACTGCAACGCCTGAGCCGGATCCGTGTAAAATTGCTCCACCGGCTGCTTTCGTTCTTCCCATTAGCTTGTCAGGTTCGTGGGGTACTGAATGTTTTTATGAGGATGGCTTAATTGAGGATGTGGCAGCTGGTGATCGATACTTCCGCTGGACAAGTTTCGAGGTAGCTAGTTCTCCTGGATCTTGGGTCGCCACGTTGACATCAGATCAGGATACTGTGCTGATCTTGTATGAGTGGAATAATGAAACTGAGGGTTGGGATTTCATAGAGCAGAATGATATTTGGTCCAAGGCGGCAACACCAACCTCGGATCGAGTGGACTCCTGTAGCTGGCAAAGTGTATGCTCTTTCGATGACGACATATACTGCACCACACTGGGCGAATTCCGTTGGTGACAATTGAGGCTGGAACCGCAAATTCGCAGGGTCAGGGTTCGAAGTGGCGAAAGCACCCGGGCCAATCCATCATGAAGGTGTTGGCGCCGTGGAGCGAAGGCAG